ACATTTTTAATCTTGGCCTGCAGCAGTAATGATATGGAGAGTATTATTATTATTATTGCCATTTATATAGCGCCAACAGATTCCGAAGCATTTTATAATATTATGAAAGGGGGGATTTAACTATAAATAGGACAATTACAAGAAAACTTACAGAAACGATAGGTTGAAGAGGACACTGCTCAAACGAGCTTACATTCTATAGCAGGTGGGGTATAAAATACAATAGGGCAGAAAATAGCAATCAAATAAGGTGGGAGTGAAGCAGAGCTGGAGCAGAGAGTAGAGTGCTGCCCTTTAGGAGAGAGCCAGGGACAGGTATGTGAGGTAGAGGTTAGTCTTGGACGCTATAAACTTTCCTAAGGAGATGGCTTTTAAGGCACTTCTTGAAGACTAGGGGAGAGTCTGATGGTGGTAGGCAGGCTATTCCATAGGAAGGGAGCCACCCGCGAGAAGTCCTGCAAGCGTGAGTTGGCCATACTGGTGCAAGTAGAGGACAGGAGAAGGTCACGGGCAGAGCGGAGAGACCGAGAAGGGTCATACCTGAGGATCTGTGAGGAGATATTATTATTATTGTTGCCATTTATATAGTGCCAACAGACCGCAGCGCTTTACAATATTTTGAGAGGGGGGGGATGTAACAATAAATAGGACTATTACAAGAAAACTTACAGGAACAATAGGTTGAAGAGGACCCTTCTCAAACAAGCTTACAGACTATAGGAGGTGGGGTATTAGAAACATTAGGACAGGAAATATCAAGTAGGAGTGAAGCAGAGCTGGAGGAGAGAGCAAAGCACTGTCCCATAGGAGAGAGCGGGAGACAGGTATGTAAGGTAGAGATTACTCTGGGAGGCCATACGCTTTCCTGAAGAGATGGGTTTTAAGTCCCTTCTTAAATGATTGAAGACTAGGGGAGAGTCTGATGGCAGTAGGCAAGCTATTCCATAGGAGAGGAGCCACCCGCGAGAGGTCCTGCAAGCGCGAGTTGGCCGTACGGGTGAGAGCAGCGGTCAGGAGGTGGTCACGGGCAGAGCGGAGGGTATAAGGAGGGGCATATCTATGGATTAGTAAAGAGATGTAAGAGGGGCTAGAATTGTTCAGTGCTTTAAATGTATGGGTTGGCACTTTGAATTGACTCCTATAGCATACAGTGAGCCAGTGTAAGAACTGGCAGAGGGGTGAGGTGTGAGAGGACCGACTAGAGAGGAAAATCAGTCTAGCTGCAGCATTCATTACAGACTGTAGCGGGGCAATACGGCTTTTGGGGAGACCAATCAGGAGAGGGTTACAGTAATCCATGCGGGAAATTACTAGAGCATGGACAAGCTCCTTGGTAGCATCTTGCGTAAGAAAGGGGCGAATGCGGGCTATGTTTTTGAGTTGGAACCTACAGGACTTGGCAACAAACTGGATGTGAGACTCAAAGGTGAGACCAGAGTCAAGTATGACGCCAAGACAGCGCGTTTGCAGGGATGGACTTGTGTGGATATCACTGACTTGAAGGGAGAGCGAGAGAGGAGGATCAGTATTAGGAGGAGGAAAAACAAGGAGTTCAGTTTTAGAGAGGTTACGTTTCAGAAAGCGTGAGGACATCCAGTCAGAGATGGAAGAAAGGCAAGCAGTGACACGTTGCAGGACGGCAGGGAAGAGGTCTGGGGAGGAGAGGTATATTTGAGTGTCATCAGCGTACAGGTGGTAGTGGAATCCAAAAGAGGCAATAAGTTTACCAAGAGAGGCAGTATAAAGAGAAAATAGAAGGGGACCAAGGACAGACCCTTGGGGAACTCCAACTGAGACGAGGTGAGGAGGTATCCTTGGGAAAGGAGACACTGAATGAGCGTTGGGAGAGATAGGAGGAAAACCAAGAGAGGACAGAGTCACAGAGACCGAGCGATTGAAGAGCTTGAAGGAGGAGAGCATGATCAACGGTGTCAAAGGCAGCAGAGAGGTCAAGGAGAATTAATATGGAGTAGTGACCTTTGGATTTAGCGGAGATTAGGTCATTAGTCACTTTGATAAGAGCAGTCTCAGTAGAGTGGAGAGGGCGGAAGCCAGACTGAAGAGGGTCAAGGAGAGAGTTGGAATTAAGGAAGCGGGACACACGGGTAAAGACAAGTCTTTCCAAAAGCTTTGATGAGAAAGGGAGCAGGGATATGGGATGATAGTTAGAAGGGGAGGATGGGTCAAGAGATGTTTTTTTCAGGATAGGTATTACAGTGGCATGTTTAAGGTCAGCAGGAACAGTGCCAGAAGAGAGAGATCAGTTAAAGATGTGTGTTAGGGTAGGCACAAGAGAGATCTGATGAGGTGAGATGGGACAGGATCGAGCGGGCAAGTGGTGGGGCGAGAGAAATGGAGAAGCGCAGCCACCTCTTGTTCAGTAGCCGGGTAGAAAGTCTGGAGGGTAGGGAAAGCATATTTAGATATAAGAGGTGCTAGAATTGTTCAGTGCTTTATAGGTCAAACCATTTCACACGTGACTATAGTGTGTTGTGTTATTGTGCAATAGAACTAACCTTAACTTAAGTTCTTATTTATTTACATTTATTTCTCTTCGTGGTACACAATATGCTGATATGTATATCCACTAGATGGCGCTTTGGTCACACCTGGCAAGAATAGCTGGCCCAATCGTGACGACCACTGGTTGCTCCTTAGATAACTGCGTCCACGTGGTGATCACAGCACTACCGTCGTGTTGTTGAAAGAACAGGACAGGTGTAACACAAATAGTAACAATAAATGGAAGGAGATTTCCAAGAATGCAATAAATAAATGTGTAAGACAATCATTAATAAAATGAAAGATAAATGTTTTAATCAGTAAGTTTGATATTGCAGTGGTGGTGGTAACCAGTAGCTGTTGGTAAATAAAACATATGGGCCGGGATTGAGTCCTAAATACAGAGCAGTTATTGATATAACTAGTGGACCCATCTCCCCAATATCTTACTGGGTCACTTCAGAACCAGACATTTCCTGTAAAGAGAGATCTCATGTTACATAGTTACATAGTTACATAGCTGAAAAGAGACTTGCGTCCATCAAGTTCAGCCTTCCTCACATTTGTTTTTTGCTGTTGATCCAAAAGAAGGCAAAAAAACCCAGTTTGAAGCACAATTTTGCAACAAGCTAGGAAAAAAATTCCTTCTTGACCCCAGAATGGCAGTCAGATTTATCCTTGGATCAAGCAGTTATTACCCTACATTGAAAGATTATATCCTTGAATATTCTGTTCTTGCAAGTATGCATCTAGTAGCCGTTTGAACATCTGTATGGACTCTGATAAAACCACTTCTTCAGGCAGAGAATTCCACATCCTGATTGTTCTTACAGTAAAAAAACCTTTCCTTTGCCTTAGACGAAATCTTCTTTCTTCCAGTCTAAACGCATGGCCTCGTGTCCTATGTAAAGTCCGGTTTGTGAATAGATTTCCACACAATGGTTTGTATTGGCCCCGAATATATTTGTATAATGTTATCATATCCCCTCTCAGGCGACGTTTTTCTAAACTAAATAGGTTTAAATTTGTTAACCTTTCTTCATAGCCGATATGTTCCATTCCTTTTATTAATTTTGTAGCCCGCCTCTGCACTTTTTCTAGTGCCATAATATCCTTCTTTAGAACAGGTGCCCAAAATTGCACAGCATATTCAATATGGGGTCTTACCAGTGATTTATAAAGAGGCAAAATGATATTCTTGTCCCGAGAATGAATGCCCTTTTTCATGCATGACAATAACTTACTGGCCTTGGCCACTGCTGATTGACATTGCACATTGTTGCATAGTTTGTTGTCTATAACAATTCCCAAGTCCTTTTCATGTGTTGTTATCCCTAATTCGCTTCCATTAAGGGTATACGTTGCTTGTGTATTCTTTACGCCGAAGTGCATAACTTTGCATTTTTCAACATTAAATTTCATCTGCCATTTGAGTGCCCAGTCTCCCAGTCTATCTAAATCCCTCTGCAGCAAAGTAATATCTTGCTCACATTGTATTATTTTACAAAGTTTTGTGTCATCTGCAAACACTGAAACATTACTTTTAATGCGGTCTTCAAGATCATTTATAAACATGTTAAATAGAAGGGGTCCCAGAACAGACCCCAGAAACCTTCTTTATGGCGCTGTGTGTTTATTTTAGAATTATTTATTTCCTGCTCTGTAAATAGCCTCCTAGACCCTGCAGGAGCGTCCTGCGTGTAATTAAAGCTCAATTTACAGAGTGTATAAACTTAAAAAGCAAGTTAACATCTAAATAAAAATGAAACCATGTTTTTGTCCATAAAGGCTGCGTGTGTCAACACCAGGGAGGCGTGACTAGGGCTGTATAAACAAAGGGATTTAACTCCTAAATGGCAGAGAATTGAGCAGTGAGGCTGCAGGGGCATGTTCTATACACCACAACTATGCACCAAAACTGCTTCATTAGCGAAAGCTGTTTTGGTGGCTTAGAGAGCCCCTTTCAATCTTCAGGCTGTTTCTGGACAGTATATGCAATACAATGAACTCATAATCTTTATTAGAGAAGATTAAAATAAATAAATAGAAATTAAGGACCATGCACAGCACAATCTGTCATCGTCTGAGACTTGTACCAAGCTTGTAAGGACCAGCTTGAGACAAATGTGCTCGTAAAGGCCACCATTGATTGTTTAAAAAAACAAAAAAAGAGACTTATTTAGGAGAAACATTTAGTTCTAAATTCTCTTTTAAATCTGTAAAATCTACTGTTTTCAATACTGTGAAATCCCACTTGGAGTTAAACCAAGTCCTAAAATCCAATTCAATCTTAGTTGTTTTATTTACAGTTTATTTTTAATTCACTGAGACACGTCCGCTCTCCCAGTGTTTTTATTTCTCTGACCTGTAAGCAGGTTCAGTTAGTAAGTTATCAAGTTAAATAGAAGACGCTTTGAGAAGCCTGGCAGCCCTTGGCCCGTAGCCAAAGCTTATTACAAGTCCAAGAGGAATGTGTGCATTGCACCCTGGGAAAAGCTGTCACTTCGAACTTCCTTATTTTTGAGTTGTTGAAACCCAAAGCACTTGACGTTTGCCGTTTCCATATCATGCAGATTGCAAGGTGAACGAGTGTGGGAATTAGTGAGACGGGGTAAGTGGAACGCTGAATACATTGTCACATTCACTGAGCTAGCTATTTATTAACACAGGACATGCTGCGTTTAATGGAACAGATATTGTCATCAGGTGGAAGATTAGTCGAAAGCACATATTGTCAGGTAATGGCGAGCTAGTAAATGCTGCCAATTGCAACTTCCATTCTGTTCAGCCAACATTGTTCTATGATCATAGACACACGTAATAATTCAATAGCTTTAAGAGATCGGCTATTGATGATCTTGTAAATCTGGATTGTAATTCCCATCATGCTAAGCCAGTAATAATGAAATTAAGTGAATTATTTAAGCGATACTGTTCATGGCCATGGCTTGCTGAGTATTAGAGGGATTGCAGCCTACAGCAGCTGTAGGGATGAATATTTTTGTACCATGTAGTATAGTCACCTGCAGCAGAGAGTCAGGTTTATATACCGTTTATCTTATATAGGGGACACTTTCTAAATTGATATATATTAAATGTAAAGATTTACTGTACAGTATAAGCACGTCACGAGAAGTTTAACAAGTAATCTGACATGTTCCTTCAAAAAGTGCCCTGAAAATGAATGTTGTTTGTTGAGTTTTGGTTAAAGGAATTGTAAATGTTAGCTTATGAGTTATGCATTTAGGATCACTGTGACTCTCATCACTCCAGCCAGACCAAACCTGGTTGAGAGTGATAGTCGCTCCAGCATCTTCAGTATGTCCACTAGCACAACGGTGTGTATGTATGATTTTCTCAAGCCTCCATGATGTGGTATATTTTTGAGCATTCCTCATTCTCAAGGTCCTCTGCCAGAGGCCTGGGAGTCTGAGGGTTCTGCGTAGGATCTTAGCTGTTCCTAGAACTGCACCATTCTCACGTTCCTTCAATATACGGCAATGGTTACCGGCCCCAGCTTACCTGACCATCACTCCTGACCGATTTAAACAGGTATTGAGGAAATTAACTTTCTGCATTATTTGGGGGGCAGGTGAGAGCAGGGCTTTCAGTGGTAGGAAAACGTCATTTTTTTTTGTCAGGCTGTTCAAAAACTGGTAATTATATAATCAATCCAATGTAACAAGACAATAAACTGAAATAATATAATAAGCTTTAATCATACAATCAATTGCAATAAGGTGCTAAGCTGTAATAATACCATGAGCTGTAATAATGCAATAAACAGTACATTGTGTAATAAAATAATAAGCTGCAGTGATACAATAAGCTGTATAAATAAGATTAGCACTTTTAATATAGTTGGCTATAACGATAAGATAAGCTGTAATAAGATATTGTGCTGTAATAATGCACTACGCTTGTAATGATACAATACGTTGGAATATTATAATATACTGTAGTAGTTATGGTGCCTAGAGTGTCCCTTTACAAGTTCTGTGATTTATTTGTTTATTTTTTGTGGTGTTGGTTAAACCTACTATCCTTATTCCTAATTAAATAAATCATTACCCTCTTACCTATTAAAACACAACACCCCGTCGTGGGAAATTCAAGACAAGAATGAGGATAGTCATAGAAGTTTGAACCTACATGCAGCGTTTTACCGTTTCAGATATTCGGATGTAGTATTTAATCATTTGTTTTATACACTGTAACTATTTAAGCTTAATTTATTATTTATTTGTAATCATTATTATGTCCGCACCTACTGAACCTTGCCTTCTATCCTGATAAGAGTGATACTAAATGGCCTGGACAATGTTTTCACACTGTAATACAGATGCTGTAAGGAATATGGTGGAAACCTGGTTTTTGAGACAGTTGTTTTTTTTTTTGCTGTAGCTGGGATTTTATCCCGCTCTTTTTTGCAGATCCTCTCCAAGTCATTAAGGTTTCAAGGCGTTTGACCTTAATGTGCTTCTTCTTGAGCCACTCGTTTGTTGCCTTGGCTGTGTGTTTTGGGTCATTGTCATGCTGGACTACCCACCCACGACCCATTTTCAATGCCCTGGCTGAGGGAGAAAGGTTCTCACCCAAGATTTGATGGTACATGGCCCTGTCTATCGTCCCCGTGATGTGGTGCAGTTGTCCTGTCCCCTTAGCAGAAAAACACAGTCAAAGTGTAATTTTTCCACCTCCATGTCAGTGGGGATGGTGTTGTTAGGGTCATAGGCTGCATTCCTCCTCCAAACAGTTGAGTTGAGTTGATGCCAAAGAGTTCTATTTTGGTCTCATCTGACCACAAAACTTTCACCCAGTTCTCCTCTGAATCATTCAGATGTTCACTGGCAAACTTTATACGGGCCTGTGCATGTGCTTTCTTGAGCAGAGGGACCTTGCGGGCTCTGCAGGATTTTGGTCCCTCTCGGCATAGTGTGTTACCGATTGTTTTCTTGGTGACTATGGTCGCACCAACTGTTGTCACCTTTTCACCAAGCTGCTCGGCGATGGTCTTGTAGCCCATTCCAGCCTTGTGTAGGTCTACAATCTTGTCCCTGACATACTTGGACAGCTCTTTGGTCTTGGCCATGGTGGAGAGTTTGGAATCTGATTGATTGCTCCTGTGGACAGGTGTCTTTTATACAGGTAACGTGCTGAGATTAGGAGCACTCCCTTTAGGAGAGTGCTCCTAATCTCAGCTCGTTAACTGTATAATAGACACCTGGGAACCAGAAATCTTGCTGATTGATAGGAGATGAAATACTTATTTCACTCATTGACATGGAAATCAATTTATAACTTTTTTGACACACGTTTTTCTGGATTTCTTTTTGTTATTCTGTCTCTCTCTGTTAAAATACACCTACCATTAAAATTTTAGACTGCTCATTTCTTTGTCAGTGGACAAATGTACAAAATCACCAGGGGATCAAATACTTTTTCCCTCACTGTATACAGGGCCACCATCAGGGGGTGACAACCATGACGGTTGTCACTGGCCCGGCGGTCCTGGGGGGCCCGGCCGCCTGGGCCCCACGTGGAGCGGCGAAACTGCCGCAGGTGCATCTGCACCGGGGCCCATCAGGTGGCCCAAGCATTTAGGGCCACCTGATGAGCCCTATATTTTCAGGGGCCCGGTTGTGCAATTACATGGCCGCAGCGCTGACCGGGCCCCTGAAAATATAGGGCTCATGTATGTCTGTTTGTCAGTATGTATGTATGTCTGTGAGTGTATGTATATATCTATCAGTATGCATGTATGTCTGTGTATGTATATATGTGTGTATGTCTGTGTGTGTATGTCAGTATGTATGTATGTATATATCTATCAGTATGTATGTGTGTATGTTTGTCAGTATGTATGTGTGTATATCAGTATGTATATATGTCTGTGTGTGTCAGTATGTATATGTCTGTGTATGTTTGTATGTATGTATGTATGTATGTCAGTATGCATGTGTATGTATGTATGTCAGTATGTATTTATGTGTATGTCTGTATGTCAGTTTGTATGTATGTATGTATGTATGTTTGTACGTCAGTGTGTGTGTGTCTGTATCTGTATCTCCTTATGCATGTGTATGTGTCTATATTTGTGTATGTCTGTTTCAGTATTTGTGTCTGTTAGTATGTCTGTATCTTTCTGTGTGTGTGTGTATTCCTGTGGGCGGGATTTGGAGGCGGGCATCCGGGGCACAGACCTTTATCTATGTTACAGGCCCCACAATGAAGGAATGAAGGGGTTACTGGCCTTTAAACACTATTAGGATGTTTTGGCTGCCGAATGATCCCTTTCTCTGATGTTACCCTTATAATATCAGCGCAGCAATTTACTAACAACTCCCAATAGTTTTACTTTAAAAATATGTAAATCTTGACCCTGTTACACACTGCAATGCTGACAGCTAAAACTTTGTCATTTTACCATCATGTTGGGCAACAAACACATTGTTGCCCAACATGATGATAAAATGACAGAATTTTTACTTTTGATGAATCATTATTGCGCAGTTCATTTTGGGAAGCATGTTGCTTATTTTACCACTTGAAATTGTCAGTTTAGCTGACCTCATTGGCAAATACAAACCGCAACAAGCCCATTATACAACTCGGAAATGAGGAAAAATGTTTGTTTCAAATTTAATGTAGAAAGGAAAAAATTCTTCGTCAGCTATTCCTCTAGTTTGGCTACGTTGGCCTCTCTGAATTCTTCCTTTAGTAAATAGTCCTGAACTAATTTCACTTCTATGTAATATAGTGTTTGTAAAATGAATATGTATTAATGAGTAAGAAAATGTATTGCTTTTTAAAGAATTTGACCAAAAAAATCAGCGCAATAGTCGCAAGACTGTCAAGCGTGATTTATGTACTACATATTATGTATCTAATAGGTAACTAACTATAGGCTGTGCCTTTTTTTTTCTAAATGTTTTAATTAAATAATGCTTTAAAAAAATCTATATATTATTTAAAATGTTTTTTAGCATGCTATATGGCCTCTGTGTATTATTTTGTAACCCTGTGAGAGCAGCCGTCTTTCAGTCCTCCTATCGTCAGATACTCAGTGTATACAAACAATTGGACTTTGCAGGAAATGAACAGCTTGTTGGTTTTCATGAAATCTGACATGTTACGCAAATCCAACGCATCTCAAAAATGTGCTCTAGGATGTATTCTGGCTTTTATATTGCGTATAGTCTTGGCAGTATCGTTTCTGACCAACGACAGATAAAGATGCAAACCTTATGCAGTAGACTTGTGCAGGGTGGAGATTTGAATAAATTCAGAAGAAAATTTATTTTATTTTGCATTAAACAAATTTTAGCTATTCGTCAATTCATTTTGGATGAAATATTTGAATTTTGACATTTCCATTCAGATCAGCTGTGATCTTTCAGTGGTTTTGAAAGTAGATAGGTCCTTGATTGGGTATCCTTACGTGGGAGCGCCATATTTAAGGGTACCAACATAAAATGTGAAAGCATTTGTAATAATTCGAGTTGACACCAATAGGTACATAAATAGTAGCTTGGTGTAAATCAGAGCCCCATAATCAAATTAATATACATATTTATATACAGCACACTGAATTTACACTGAGTATATTGTTACAATGTATACCAGTTGTAGTTTAATATTCAGTGTAAAAAAACAAACAAAAAACAGGTAGTTTTCCAAGTGCCCAGTTTTCAAGTGAATAAAGTGTGTGTGTATTTATTTATTTTATCCTCCCTTCCAAATAAGAGACTGTTAGAGAAGAACCGTGAGTAATGGGAAAATATGATGTAAACTGTGAGATACGTTGGTGTTGCAGTTGACTTACACAATGGCAGATCTGTCAACGGACTGAAATATCAGTGCTGGAAATAGAGGGGTCAGGGGTTCTATTCTATTTAATTTAAAATATCATATAGTGCGCTAAACAACATACAGAAGGTAAACACCAATAATTTGCAGCATGTGATCTGGCCGTTGTTTTAACATGTCTATCGCGGAAATTCAGCTCAGACAAAACATTTAGTTTTTTTCTGAAAATAGAAAAATTTTCAGGTACACCCACATTTTGGTTCATAGGTTAAGAGAAGGAAGGCAGGAGGAGCAGTAACAGAAATACAAATCTATATACGGTATTAAATATACCAATACAGATTTATTTATATGTTCGCCGACTCCCACCCCTTGTGTTGGTTAGGCTGGGGGTCCTACGATTTTTATCAGACTGTACTGCTCTAGAAAGTGTCTCTGTTAAAATGTCAGTTGTCGTCAAATGTCCCCATTCTATAATTGTAAAGCGCTGCTGTATATGTTGGTGCTATATAAATGCTATTAATGATCACCAGTGGAATGTGCCTGCTGGTTCCCAATTTTTAAATCTCCCGCATTATGTATGGCAATATATTTATTTTCTTATAAAAATGTATTCTTATCAGGTGATTTATTGGAATGATCCTACGCCATTTTTTTAGAACAGTGTAATATAAAGTATATTTATTGAAAATAAAAATTAAAGACAATGAATATTAACTATTCCTAACAGAATTATTTACAAAAGTGAGAATTCAAAGTGAACTTCAAAATTTGGGTCAAAATAGTCAAATTGGGAAAAATCCTTCAAACCAGTTGGATTGTGTCTGTTTGTCTGTCCCAGTTTCTACCGGTATGTGTCCCGCCCTCCAGCAGATTGACCCTATGTTCTCTAACAGGGAGAGTATGCTAACTATGCAATGTTTATGCAGTAATTTCACACAGTGAATGAAATTATTTTGTAAATAATTGAGTTTATTTGTCATTAAAGGGCCCGTGATAACACAACCGAGATTCTGTGCCAGAGGAAAGACAGACGTCCTTTGTCCGTGTTGTCATTGGGTTTCAGGGCATTTAATGGTGGGTGACAGTTGTAGACTCTTTCTCAATGAGTTTTGCGGAGGATTGCAGTTTGTCTGAGTGAGAGCACAACAGGTCATTGTGAGAGAACAGCATCCATATGAAGGGATGGCGTGGGCAGGAGAGAGAGAGGAATGATAGAGTGCAGAGAGAGAGTTTGTGTAATAAGTGTGTAATAAGAGTGTGTGTGTGTGTGTAATGAGAGTTGTTGTGTAAAGAGAGGGAGAGTTTGTGTGTATAGTGAGAGATAAAGAGTGTCTGAATAGAAAGAGAAGGTTTATAGAACGTGTAGCAGTGAATAATAGATAAAATATGTGAGTGTAGTAGTAAGGATATGGAAGAATTCTCAGTACGTTTTATCAGTGACTACCAAAAGGCCCAGTATTAAAGGAGAGACCAGTGTATTACCAGACCTTACAGTGACTGGGCTCACAGATAGACGTAGGAAAGATCAGCTGAGCTGCCCAAAATACAGGCCAGGGCTAGAAAAGCTAATTATAAATACGTTCTGAAACACAAACACAGGACTAGGTCAAAGCCAGGTCTGTTACACAGGAACACGGGACAGGATAATGACCAGGTCAGGGACGTGACCCGGTCTGTTACACAGGAACACGGGACAGGATAATGACCAGGTCAGGGACGTGACCCGGTCTGTTACACAGGAACACGGGATAGGATAATGACCAGGTCAGGGACGTGACCAGGTCTGGTACACAGGATCATCGGACAGGATAATGACCAGGTGAGGGAAGTGACCCGGTTTGGTATACAGGAACACGGGACAGGATAATGACCAGGTCAGGGACGTGACCCGGTCTGTTACACAGGAACACGGGACAGGATAATGACCAGGTCAGGGACTTGACCCAGTATGGTACACAGGATCATCGGACAGGATAATGACCAGGTGAGGGAAGTGACCAGGTTTGGTACACAGGAACATGGGACAGGATAATGACCAGGTCAGGGACGTGACCCGGTCTGGTACACAGGAACACTGGACAGGATAATGACCAGGTCAGAACCCAGTCTGGTACACAGGATCACCGGATAGGATAATGACCAGGTCAGGGACGTGACCCGATCTGGAACACTGGATCATCGGACAGGATAATGACCAGGTCAGGGACGCGACCCGGTATGGTACACAGGATCATCGAACAGGATAATGACCAGGTCAGGGACGTGACCCGGTTTGGTACACAGGAACACTGGACAGGATAATGACCAGGTCAGAACTTTACCCAGTCTGGTACACAGGATCACCGGATAGGATATTGACCAGGTCAGGGACGTGACCCGATCTGGAACATTGGATCATCGAACAGGATAATGACCAGGTCAGGGACGTGACCCGGTATGGTACACAGGATCATCGGACAGGATAATGACCAGGTCAAGGACGTGACCCGGTTTGGTACACAGGAACACTGGACAGGATAATGACCAGGTGAGGGAAGTGACCCGGTTTGGTACACAGGAAAACAGGACAGGATAATGACCAGGTCAGGGACGTGACCCGGTTTGGTACACAGGAACACGGGACAGGATAATGACCAGGTCAGGGACGTGACCCGGTCTGATACACAGGAACACGGGATAGGATAATTATTAGGTCAGGCACGTGATCCGGTCTGGTACACAGGAACACGGGACAGGATAATGACCAGGTCAGGGACGTGACCCGGTCTGGTACACAGGAACACGGGACAGGATAATGACCAGGTTAGTGACGTGACAGGGTCTGGTTCACAGGATCTCCGGACAGGCTAATGACCAGGTCAGGGAAGTGACCAGGTCTGGTACACAGGATCACCAGATAGGATAATGACCAGGTTAGGGAAGTGACCAGGTCTGGTACACAGGATCACCAGATAGGATAATGACCAGGTTAGGGAAGTGACCCAGTCTGGTACACAGGATCATCGGACAGGATAATGACCAGGTCAGGGATGTGACAGGGTCTGGTACACAGGATCACTAGACAGGATAATGACCAGGTCAGGGACATGACCCGGTCTGGTACACAGGATCACCTGATAGGCTAAGGACCAGGTCAGGCACGTGACAGAGTCTGGTAGATTGAAACAGCAATCTGATACTGAATAACAAGATTAACGTCCGTGAGACCATAAAAGGTTGCTGACCTGTAGATGATAGATGTTTATATAGGCCCAGGCTCTTACGTCAGATTTGCGGCATTTCTGCCCATGCATACTAGGTGACTCATTTTCAAAATGACCAGAATTGACATGAATTGACATGGCTGTTTCATTTTTGGTGAATACACTTGGAATTCAACTTAATAGTATAGAGGGATGGGAGATGGGGTGGTCTTACAGTAGTGAAACGAGTGTGAAGGAGGGATTGTGTAGGTAGAGAAAAATATGGGAAAACTGTAAAGGAAAAAGACAAAAAGGAGGCCAGTGTCCACTGGATCATTGCAGAGACAGAGATAGAGAAACAGACCAAGACAGAGAAAGATAGCGGCAAGGACAAAAATGAATACTGACAGACAGTGAGAGAAGCAGAGACAGAGCAGCATCGACAAACAAATGATAGACTGCGGGGGAAGAGGTGGCACTGACCCTTTTATTATCCCGTTTTTGAAAGTTAGAAAATTAGTAGACCATGTTGTAGATCCGAAAGGAAAGTTGTATTTAAATATTTTTTTAATAGCGTCAATGGATACCTTCATACAGTGTCAATGTATACCTTCATACAGTGTCAATGTATCCCTTCATACAGTGTCAATGTTTACCTTCATACAGTGTTAATATATACCTTCATACAGTGTCAATGTATACCTTCATACAGCGTCAATGTATACCTTCATACAGTGTCAATGTATCCCTTCATACAGCGTTAATATATACCTTCATACAGCGTCAATGTATACCTTCATACAGCGTCAATGTATACCTTCATACAGCGTCAACGTATACCTTCATACAGTGTCAATGTATTTTTCTATACTGATTCCAGGAGTGATATTTTACATCTCTAAATGGAGAGGGTGCAGCCATGTCCAGTCAGTAAAACGACTCTAATATAAACGCTGCTCCCACTCTGACATCACAGCGCCAGTACTGACGTTGAGTGATGTCGCAGGATAACTTCCTGCTCTTGTAACAAGCACCAGGTGGAATGACCTTTGCTTTCACTACTAGAAAGGTGCTATATTTAGCTGCTCCCCCTTGTTACGCCAGCCCCCGTGTTACATTGTATAATGGCAGGAGAGGTGTCAAAGTATCTTTACCATCTATTTTTATCTGCCCTTAATCCTCCAGCTACCCAACATCTGATGACTGACAGTGAGTTAATCTGTTATAACACATGCTGTGTGACAGAGCAAGGTGTGGAATTCATAGGGTTAACAAAGCCATGTGTACGTCTGCGTGACCCACTTACTAATAGCTGCCTGTACAGACAAGTATTACACATGGGGTTAATAGCTGGCTGGGATAGTTGTCACATCAGCTAAACCACATGCCAATAGGAGGGGCGAGGGGTGAGAGGGTGCTCCCCTCCCAAACATGTAGTGCCTGCAGCTCTGAAAATAGTCTGTGTGTCATTACATTGGATGGAAGGTGTGCACTGCCTACATTCTGCTGCCCAAGGTAAGACAGTGACCCATATACAGAACGCTGGGTCACTCACTGCAGATTTATCGTGGGGAACTGAGGAGGGAATTCCAAGTTTTAGGCCAAAATCTGAAAAAAAACTAAAAACAGCTGAGTTGTGGAGGGTATAAGTTTTCTCTATTTTTGCGTTTTCTTTTTATCTTCTAAAATATTGTATTCTCTTGATAATTATCTACTATTCCTCTTTTAGTGAATAATGCCCTCAGTCTATCCTCTGTTATGCCCCAAGCACATTGCCAGCCATCCTTTCAATTGATGTCATTTAAATTCATGACCCCATCATACCCTTTACTTTGTGGTGATAGAGCTACCTGGGGACACTGGGGGGTCTACGTTCCAGTCCGCCATAAGAAGTAATTCTTTGGTTTATAAATTATCATGTAAAAATTCTATTAACACAACGAAATTATTTAAATTATAGTTTATTGGAGAAAATGGTATCACATCCTTACATGTTAATATCAAGGAATGGGATTCAGAGCAGGATAGTGAAAGTTAAATATGAAAAGGCTTTTTCTTTGTAAAAGTGGGCCAGTTCCACTGGTTTGATGGCTTTTTAACTCCATCTGGTCATGTAAAGATTGCAAGCCCCGGGCCTTGTTGTTAATGTCTGAAGTTCTTAAAACGATTGAGGAAGTTTTGTGCAAAGGATTTGCTTGTTTGTTGACAGTTACTTGATATTAGTATCGGCAACAAACCTTCTAACTGAATTCACTATTCTCGGAGGCTCACGTTACCTCTGTCTCTGCCTATAGATTCCTAGGTCATTTTGTTCATATCACTTGAATCTCTTACCCCAGAACACATTCTATAGCATCCAATGACCCCCAAATATTCAGATGTCTTAAATCAGGAGTCTGGATACAATATTCAGGGGTTATGAACTCATGCTTGATATCTTTTCTCAGATACTGCAAACACAACCGTTACTGGATAATCTATAGGACACATACTTGTGTACATCCTAAAACATTTCATATGAGTTCATTTGTAGTAGAAATTCTATTTGTGTTTTGTGTAAAATGGCAGAAAAGGTAAGCGTTTAGTGACTCAGGACTAGTTCAATACCTGCTTGATAACCCCGTATGACCCTCCAGCCTCTGGCCAATACATGGTTTCCTTTATGTTCCTTTGAATAAGACTGTTGCACTCATTTAGGTACTTCTAGAAAATATGTTTATCAACAACCGATATCCGTGACTGATTCTCTGGCTGAGTCTGGTTAGTGATTCAGGTTGGACACTCCTAGTGTCTTGACTTGAACAAAGGACTAGTGTAAACATCAGTGATTGCAAACCGTAAAAAAAAAAAAAAAAAGGTAAAATTAAAAAAATCCACTGCTTCCGGGATTCTACATCAGAATGCAGTTATTATCAACCATGCCTTCTCGGGCACTGCACACAGGCCTGGAACAACCGCACTTGGCAGAATAGAGCCATCTTGCAGCGTGGGTGCCGGGGGAACCATTGATGGTGCCACAGCACTCTTCCTGCTGTGCTTATGGTGCCTTGATTGTTCTTTTAAAATGTGGTGATTTTGGTGGTTAGTGTCACTTTTAGAATAAAATGGCCTGCATGTCCGTGAAATATTTCTGGACCACACTGTTTGCAATCCTGAGACTTGCTCTTACACTGTGTTATACCGACACTGTAAAATGGCTGTAGGCTTTCAAGGACATTATTTGATGCACGCACTATTATTTTACAACCAAATAAATGTATCCAGCGGTTTACCTCTCACCAAGTACATTACAGAGTAAAGTTATGTATCATGCAGCTTCAGTGCCATAGGAATTAAAGGGGAACTTTTATAATATTTTTTTTTTTATCCCCTATATTTACAAACCTGCATTTGTATAGAGAGAAGAATAAAGTTACACGTTGCAGCTGGGTGCTTCCATGTTTGCTCCCTTTAAATCACGTCTATAGTCGTTGCTATAAGCTCTGTCCTTTTCACCTGGCAGTTAGTATACAGAGAGCAGACAGAGAGGAGGAGAAATGGAAGTTGTTGCCTCTGCGTGCACGTGGTTGCCAGTATTGTGAAAATACACAATTTTTCGTATGTATAACATGATTAATCCACCTTTACACACTTTTTTTGTCTTTTCTGTAATGCACTAATATAATCTGTTTTCCTGACACTTTTTATTACTCATTCAGATTTTTTAGCTCCATTTTTTTCCTGATGATTTTACCAGTGATTACATTCACCGAATCAGACAAATGATTCAGATCGCTAGGAAAACAATAGGCGCATTTGCAACCTGAAGCATTTTTTTTTAGTCCTCACAATTGCTACTTACCTTCTGACAGTGTTGGGAGAAAAAAAACTATGTGTACTTTAGCACCTCTTTTATACACATCGAGAGCACCAATATTATACTGACAAAAAACTGTCAAGAAGTGAGCAAACAGGAAAAAAAAATTGGCCCAAGTAGAAAATGTGACAAAATTCTGGCACGAAAACATTCACGCCAAACCTGAAATATTTCTCCTACTCATGTTTGGTGTGTACCCATTCTGTGTCCGGACTGACCAGAATTGTGATGCCATTTTTCAGATTTTTAAAATAAATGTAAAAGGAAACGGGAAAAAAAATGTGCATGTTGTATAGCTGATTTTCAGTGTTTATAGTCAATGGTATAATTTACAGAGAAGTGACTGTTCTGGCAAGGCCACCCCTTAAGGAAGGAAAGTAATTACACAACGTGTTAACTGGCAGGAAATTGTTAGAACTTGTCTTCAAACCAGGGAGGAGAGGTTAATTACTGCTAGCTCACAGACTAGGCTCCCAGGCAATAGGTGAAGCTGTTTAGCTCCAGCACAGAATCGGCTTGTTTTAAATACTGGAAAAATACAGAAACGAAAGCTAAGAATCTGCTGAAACTCCACCAAGTTCTATGAGAATCTCCCATTCCCAGCGTTATTGTAAGTTATGTTTCCATTTGATTATTTCAAGGTCCAGTACCAGGTGCAGGACAGCTGACAGAGAAGGAGTGGATACAATTGGGAATCTACAATCAGGGGATTATTCACTAAACTCTGAATTGCAGTTTGAATGACAAGATTTAGGGTAAAGTCCTGCGCAGCAGTCTGGCTACTTCTGCCATTTGGAGATTCATTTGCCATAATACGGAATTCAGGGACTGAAGCTGCAGAATATGACTCGATCACAAACCAGCAATGTTTTTGTCAAAGCTAAAGTGTAAAAAATGAGATAATATATATTATTTTTTTGTCTGGTTGAGAATCAAGCAGCGAGTGTTTGTGTAATTTTCTGAACACAAATACTCCCAGACTAAAACTATGTAGTAGATAGAATGATCTCAAATAAGACACGGCACTGTGTTCCTTTAACCCGCTATGTAGTGCCATGGTGACATTTCTGTGCACAGTTTACGTTACGGTTTACTTGACTTGAAATGCATTTCAGCTGGTACAAATCAAACTCATTTTTTAATCCACACCCGAACAAATTGATCCATCCAGGATTTACCTGGGGATCCTTATTAAACCAGCGCAGATTAAAAGACATTTGATTTGTTTGTACCAGATGAAACACACTGTGCCCAAGACTATGATTTGCCACAGCAAAGCAAATGATTAGATTTTGTGAGTTTAAAGTAGAAATAAGAAATTATGTATTTTTTTCCCCTCCAACTTTTATTATTATTAATTTTTTTTTAATTATGGCGGGTTATTACATTTCCCCATTAACCAATAATACAATATTTAGGATAAGTTTCCAGTTCAGCAGAGGGGCAGACGTGTCTTAATTACTTCAAGGAACACTGTACTCACTATAATAACTTCATCTAGATCTGTATAGTACTTACAGTTGTTTCCCCCCCCATCTAAATATTTTATTAATTAGAAGGCTTGGAAGCATGGCTTCAAGCCACACCTCCAAGCACTTTGGGTATGCGTACCGGGAATGTGCATCCTGGCTCTCATATCCTTGCGTACTGTGATGTCACACATGCATGCGCAGTTCTGTCACAGTCTTCCATGGAGAATCATTACATGCAAGGTGGAGCATTGGATTGTACCTCATCCAGGAGGCACGCCTCCAAGGTGACATCACGCTCTGGGTGGTGCGCTGCAGTGCTGAGGAAGACTCAACGCTGGAAAGAATATCATTAGATCCATTATTTTACTTTTTTTTTTTTCTTAGTCTAATGCAGGCTGAGGGGATACTAAAACAAACTAGGGACATGAATACTGTAGCATTAGTGTTCGTTTAACAAATGTATGAGTGTTGCAATGATCTCACTTTCTTTATAAAGAAATCTGCAAGTAAATGCTTAATACATAACCCAAAAAAGTGGACAGTGCTAAACAATTCTTTAACAATGTGCAGCAAAAAATTATAAAAGTGATAAAACCAGCAGCAATCATAACCGTTAATACATGTTTATATGTTTCCAGGAACATTTTGTCATCAGTAAGTGTTCAGGACAGATATGAGAAATGTAGCAGAACACAGTGCTTAAACGGATATATTGCAATATATTATATTTGATAAATCCTGCTAATATCTGACGGCTGCTAACTTTTTGTGCTCTTTCTGAAAAGTATGTTTCTTACTTATTTCTGGCCTTCTAACTTTTAGTTTTTTCACGTTAAATTCTAAAAAAAGGACAAACTTGTCTCTTCTATAAAAAGGAGAGCGTGTGCATAGCCCTGTTTAGACTCTGTGATCTACGCTGTTATATAAACCGATAGCAGCAAGGTATGGATGATGGACAGCAAGGTATGGATGAAGGACAGTGTGATGAGACCAATCTCGCCACTGTGCACTGGAGGAGCCTGGTTGCCCGCCTGCTGCCTTTAGACTATGGCCCCATGTTGAAACACTTGATTTTCCCCTGCAAAGACACGAAAGCCGGGTCATTTGGTGCTTGCCCTGTTTGAGCGGTGATACCCCAGATAGCTATGCCATGGAGCCCATTCGTATAATGAAAGACTTTGGCTCCATGGCAATTGAACTGTATGTGTGTGATCTGAGCGCCATTCAGTAATAATGTGCGCTCAGATCTAAGCTATCTGGGGATTTGTTGAATGTACCTGTTTTATGCAATGGCTGCACAGATATGTATTTTTATGTATTTTATTGTCTTTTGCTGCCATGTGTTTAATGGAGTTTTGCCTCTGTCCTTGGAGATAATTGGATTACTTCTCAATTATGTCTAGGATAGAAGACTCGGTGGAACTGGTTTTGGGCAGAAAAGCCATGCTTCATTTGGTCACAAAGGACTACGATCTATCTTTTGAACCACTGGACCAATTTGTATGATTTTGACGTATGTTTGTATTTGGAGTATGCTGATGAGAATGTAAGTTTCATGTGAATGTGATGCATACTTTTAAAATTATGAATAATGTGGAAAAACTGTATTTCTCTGCCTGTGATAATTACATTACCCATTGTGTAAGGTAATTGTATCACGGCAGAGGGGAGGATTTTGTGTGGGAGTGTCTGAGTGTATTGTACGTGTTTATTGGTTGTTTTACAAAATCCTGTGGGTGGTACTAATGTGTATATAAGAACAATAAACCCACAGCTCTGTCTGTTCCTGCTTGACCCTCAAAACGGAGCCTTGTCTCGTTCTTGGGGGGACTTGTTGTATGCTGTTCCAGTTCGACTGCTAGGAGTGTAAACCTATTCGTATGATTTTTCCTATTTGGCTGTTTACAGCATTCGTATGTTTGAGAGCATTCGTATGCTTCTCCGGTTCGGTGGATTGGTGTCTACAGTAGCTGTGCCTGTGTCTCTGGAAGGGAAGATCTACTAAACGGCGGTTTAACCCTTTTATGCCTGGGGGTGCCGTTACAGACAGCAAGGTATGATCTAAAGGAGTTTAGGGGATATGATGAGATCCCATAGATTGATGGACACAGCCTGGTCAGGAAGTAGTCAAAGCGCTACGGATTCTTTTTTGCGCAAGTGCAAAATATTTGGGAATTTAACATTTTAAACATTTTTATTTTTCAATTTTCTGGGTATTTTTTCTTTTGTTATTATCAATGTCCTAGATTAAAAATAGCAGGAGATGTTGTACATTTGTGTCCCTTTATCATAAAACAATGTATCCTAAAGTTATATTCTAATAAAGAGGAATTGCCCAAGAGCTGGTAAGGGTGCAGAGGAAATGCAAAAATCCTGTTATGTCTGTAATTGCAAAATGTTTAAATTGCTGTGTAAAGCAGATGATGATTTAGAAAACCCCTGACGTATAGCTTATTAGCGCAAAACCACAAAGACTCAACGTCACGTGGCCTTAGCCACAGCGAGTTCAGTAAATCAAGTCAGGTCTTCCTTCTTTAAGGTATGGTATTTAGGCTGTAAAATCTATTGGCAAGATCCACAGTGATCTGTATATTTTAAAACTTTTCACAAGAAAATAAAATTATTGACACTCAAATTCTGGTACCTTAAAACCTCATGGCAGCATGATATGACCTCCTTGTGTAGCTATGGACATTGTGTGCAGCCCTGATGGTCATTCCATTTTGTAAGATGACCCTTTAAATAACAGATTGTTATAATAACTTAGATGATCCATGGTCCCAAAGAGTTTAACTTTGAGCTAGGAATTGCTTGGCACATGTTGGGTACCTACCTGGTGCAGTTTTGACTCACCTGAGTGAAACATACCACCAAGACACGATCCCCTGGGGTAATTCGAGCTGAACCTGCATTGTCTCTGGAGGAGAGCCACGAGGACGTTTATTCATTGTTGACTGGCAGTAGAGTCAATATGGCTTAGCGTCCTAACTATTTATAAATTATTCAGCCTCAAGCTTTTCTCGAACTTTTAAAACTAAAGAACAAAATATATAAATATATGATATATTTATAAAGCAGTGAGATGAACTTGGCGATATAATTCGTATTCCTTTTTTATTTTCCAAGTAATATCCTACTACGTTACATGCCTATAATTTAATGCTATGTTATGGCATATTTGGGAACCCTGTAAATCTCAGAGTAGGAAACTGATAAGCGCTAATTATAGAAGAGCAATAATGCCTCCGTATGATAAATATATCGAGAGGAACCAGCCCAGGAAACCTTCACACCCAATGCTGAATCCTTCCAGAGCAGCTCCCTGGAAATGTCCTGGTTGTCCATCCATGTCATTAGGAATCTACAAATCCAATTAGCAAATTTTCAAGAAATAAGATTTTGATTCTCTAAAAGTGGGTTTAGTGTAAATTTATAGCTGTCAGAGAGACATGGCAACATTTTGACTTTTTTTTTAATTTTAAGCCTAAATGGCATCTGTTTTGCAATATATTTCCACTCTATTAAGGGGACACTATAGTCACCAGAACAACTACAGCTTAACGCATTTGTTCTGGTGAGTAGAACCAGGCATTTTAGAGGTGGGGTTTTTTTTTGTTTTTTTTTTTTAGAGGAGGGCTAGATGGTGGTTTTAACACTATAGGGTCAGGAATACATGTTTGTGTTCCTGACCCTAAAGTGTTCTTTTTATCACTGTTTAGTATGTATACCTCAATGAAAACATGCACATGTTTAATTATAACATTTTTTATTTGCAGTTATGACATATATAAAAAACGCTTGCACATGCTGCAGATTATGGCAGTGGTAGTCAACCTTTTTCTACCTACCGCCCACTAATGCATCTTTCTTGATGGAAAAATTTCCTTACCGCCCACCAGTTTTCGCGCAAGCGCAGAATATTTTTTAGAAAGGAGGGTGTTTTAAAAATAAATGTACGTACATTTATCTTTTTATTTCTACTTAATGCATGTTTATAATGTTTTTAACTTTATAAAGTTTAATGAGAAAACAATAAAGTAAATTGAAATTACCTTTACTAGTGATTAATGAGATCCTTGAGGCTGATGCTGCGAGACTAAATATTTGATATCTGGTTCGATTTTCGTAAGGAACAAACGAAGGTCTCCTCTTTCGGTGATATTCAGACGGTTTCTCTGTTTGCTCATAATATGATTTCTCATCTGTGCGTCAGCTCCCCTCCTCTCCCTCCTCAATTCCCCTCACCACCTTTTTTTTCCCTTTTTTCTATTTTTTAACCTTCCTTATAGCAATGCCCAATAGGAAGGCTGAGCTAGGTAGCCCACTTACTATAGCCCACTATAACAGACAGACACACACACGACACACAGACACACACACAAGACACACATACTCTTCAATCTCTTGGTCTAACTCTTCAATCTCTTGGTCTCTATGACACAGCCCTCTCCTATCTCTCCCAACGCTCCTTCCGTGTCTCTTTTTCCAGTGGCACTTACTCTCCTCAAGGTTTAGTTCTTGGTCCCCTTTTGTTCTCGCTCTATACTGCCTCTCTTGGCAAACTCATTCATTCATTTGGATTCCACTACCACTTGTACGCCGACGACATCCAGATATACCTCTTCTCCCCCGACCTCTCTTCTGTTGTCATACAACGTGTCACCAATTGCCTCTCTTCTATCTCTGGTTGGATGTCCTCCTGCTTTCTGAAACTCAATCTCTCTAAAACTGAATTTCTTTTTTTTTTTTTTCTCCTCATAATGCTGATTCTGCTCCTTCACTCTCCCTGCAGGTTGACAGTACCTGCCTCACCCCATCCTTTCAAGCTCGCTGTCTTGGTGTCATTTTTGATCCTGACAGCGGTACCCGGTCGCAGGGGTACCGCCGGCTCGCACCCGGCCGCCCAGTGTCTCAAAATGAGGAAATCCCTACCGCCCACCTGGAATCCTGAAACTCCCACTAGTGGCTTATGGCTTCTTCTATCCATAGTTTATGGCTTCTTCTATCTCTCAAACCTTCCTCTTGCTCTCTCCTAAAGGGCCACACTCCACTCTCACCTCCAGCTCTGCTACTTTCTCACCATGTCGGTTTGCTGTCTCTCTCAATACCCTTCCTATTGTGTTTGTATACCCCACCTCCTCTAGACTGTAAGCTTGTTTGAACAGGGTCATCAACTACCTATTGTTCCTGTTACATTTTGTTATTGTCTCATTTGGTAAATTCCCTTCTTATTGTAAAGTGCTGCGGAATAAGCTGGCCCTATATAAAAACCAATAATAATAATTGACAAGATTTATTTATAAATGTGCCAATTTCTATCTGCACTTTTTGTGAAATAGAAAAAAAAAAGAGGACACACCTTTCACATATAAAACATTTCAGCAACCTAAGGTATTTTATATGTTTAAATAGAAATGTAGCTAACGGCAGAATGCCTTTTATCTTTAATCTAGGGGTGAACACCTACTGTCAATAACCGGATTCTATGAGCCTCACTCCTCTGGTGGATATTTTATACAGTTTACAATGTATAAACTGTAACATAAACTGCAGCTATTTCTAGAAACCTTGCTTAAATCCTGTAATTATTTAAGAGTGAAACCGACGCTACTGCCAGTCACTGACAATAGGGATATAGGCATCTTACTTTATATAAATGCATCTACTCTCCATATAACTCACTGTGTTCACAGGTCCTGGGTATGATTACACTATTCATTATTGTTATTTGTTAGAAGAACTAAAGTGACCAACCTTGCATCCAGACCTCTTCCCAACTTACCTTGCCTGGTTCAGAACCCGTCTCCAAGCTCTGCTCTATGCAGGACCTATAACGTAAGGTCCATTTCCAGATATATATAATCCCCATTCCGCAGTACTAAGATGTAGGCAGCCTTCAGCATGCCAAACGTTGTGGACTACATCTTCTACAATGCTCTTACAGCCATAATACTGGCAAAGCATCATGGGAGATGTAGTCCATAAACTGTGGAGTGCCATAGTTGCCCACCTTGGATGTAGAACATGGAAAAGGTTATAAACTAAAGTGAATTTCAAGGTCAAAATAGTCAAACTGGTAAAATTATCTAAGTCCGTTATACTTTCAGTTCAACTACTCTGGCCTTAAATTCGAAATTCTGACTTTAGTAAATAATCCTGACCATCTTCTCATACAGCGCAAGGCAACTCTGGAATAACCCACCAGGAAACCTTAAATCAAATGCAAACCCTTAACCTCCAAAAAGGACTCTCCCTCTCGTTATCCCTAATCATTTAAATCCTGATATCCATGTTCTGTATCTGCTAAATGGGTAACTGTGTCCCTATATTTAACTCTTCCTAAAAAATGTATTCCTTAAATAGGACTACAGAAGGGCTCATGACAAAACTCCTTTTACTCTGTCATGGTGAATGGAGTCTTTTTACATCCATTGATCTCGAGAAGCGGATTGATAACTTGTTTCCAGGGCTGTACGTTTATCTGCAGTCCCTGTCATTGAGCTAAGCAGCCGAGTATCTGTGGGATCATTTCCTGGTTTACAATGTGCAATGTGTCGGATTATTTGTCACAGATAATTGTCTCCAGGCTGTAAATCCAGTGTCCTTCCACCTGTCAATGAGTGAAACCAAAAGATGCCGAGTAGATATTATGAATGGGTTTTATTCGCATTAAATTTGTTGGAAATCCATTAAATCTTGTGCAATGCTGCAGCACTAGGGAGCAATGTGTTGTGTAAATATAGAAGGTGAATGCCCTGCTCATAAAGACATAAAACAAACTGCAAAGTAACAAGATAGCGACAAACTGGAAACTTTACATAATAAATAAATCACAGCATGTAAAACGCTACTGGGTTTATACTAATGTGAGGGGCTTATTTGGTTTTTATTCATTGTTTAGTTTTGTTTGTTTGAGGTCACTTAATTCTTTAAGAGCTCTCCATAGGTCTATTTAAAATATCCCAGTTGAATGACTGCTTGAAAGTGTTGGTGGTTGGGTGGTCTAGACGAATGCTGGGTATGGGCGGTTGGGTGCTCTAGAATAGTGCTGGGTGTGGGTCGTTGGGTGGTGTAGAATATTACTGAGTTTCGCTGGTTGTGTGGTGTAGAATAGTGCTGGGTGTGGGTCGTTGGGTGGTGTAGAATAGTACTGGGTTTCGGTGGTTGGGTGGTGTAGAATAGTGCTGGGTACGGGTGGTTAGGTGGTCTAGAAGAGTTCCCAGGTTTGAGTGGTTTATAATAGTTCTGGGCATGGGTGGTTGGTTGGTCTGGGACAAAGTCCTGGGTTTGGGTGGTCAGTGAGAAGGCAGTTTGAGGCCTACTGGGCCAACATTGTGGACCTGATAGCCACTGACATGTAAAATAGGTGCCTGGCTGAGAGCTAGTCCAAACCGCAGTAAATTAGGTGGGTGCTGTGGCTGTGCCATTGTCTACTTCCCAGGCATGTTATGGTTGCCTTGTTGTTAATACTTTCTTAAGTAAATTAAATGATTGTATGTAAAAAAAAAAAAATTACCTCAATATTTTTGCACATTTCATTAATAAAGAATGTACAAAACACACTAAATTTAAGCCCCACACTCAAACTCCCACTCCTCTGGGCAGCAGCAACGACTGCAGGATAAATCAGCCCAAATACAAAAACAGCTAAGGCAAAGACAGGTTAGCCTAATAAGGAAATGCTTCAATTAAGCCTGGAGTGCACTTTAATTATTAACTTGTTTCTTAATGTACAACTCTGCAGAGTTTGTTTCATTAAGGGTGTTTTATGAAATAACCACGCTGTGTTTTTCACACAGCCAAGGAATACAACGTAACTGTGGCAGCAGTGCCGTGATGTCGGGAGGTAAACCACTGTCAAGGAAACTGCACAAAAGACATATGAGTTCCCCGAGGGAGTCTCAGGAGGGCTCCCATACTAAGGTATTGTGACCTATTTTATATATTTAAGTTATTCAAAGATTGTGGGATGGATACTTGTCAAAACATTGAGCTTATCAGATATGAGCAAGGACTTGTGACTCAGTAAAATGTGAGGCTAGCTTAAAGGGACACTTTAGTCACCAAAACAACTATCTTAATTAAGTAGTTTTGGTGACTAGATCATGTCACCGAAGTGTCACTGCTCTATTCTCTGACATTTAGGCGTTAAATTCCCTTTGTTTCCTATTTCTATGCCCCCCACTTCCACAATACACTACCCCAACAACACAAGAACCCACAAGTTCTCCAACAAAATCTATCACCATACCCACAAACCGGATCAATCGCACACACCATATATCAATTCAACACCGAATCTGCACGACCGTCAAACCGCACCTCACCAGGCCACGCCAGCTACCTAGGGAAAATGACTACCCAGTAAAACGACCATAAACACACAAACTCATTCCCGAGGTCACACCTTTAACCCCTAACCACCAGCACATAATAGCATACCCCAACATCCGGTATATTAACCGATGGCTAGCACCCTCTCATTAACCCAACACGAGAACGGACGTTACAGGTTCCAAGTGGACAAAACATAGCATTCCTGCAATCCTGCACATACCTAGACTACCCACCCCAGTTCATTTATTCACATTAACGAGAATTTGTTACCTTGTCTCACCGACACTCACTTCAGTCATGACATCTCTCGGTACGTTTATACCGAATATCTGTATAAAACATTGAAATGCAAAAATAAAGAATTTAAAAGAAAAAAAAAAAATTGCATTTGTTTCTGTTTATGCAGCCCTAGTCGGTGCGACCCTGGTTGGGACTCACACAACCTGCACTGCATGAAAACACAAAAAGGAGGTTCCCATGGGGTCTAGAAGGCTGTTAACAGGAGATAATACATTCTAGCTTAAACATACTGTGCAATCAGGGCCGACGCTTCCTATAAGGCGAACTAGGCAGCTGCCATCTCCGGCCCTTTAAATGCTGCAGCCGCCTGAGCGCTCTAAAAGGAGCGCTCAGGCGGCTGCCGCACTGCCTCTCTCCTCACCTTCCCTTCCTGAGCTGGCCAGACTGATTGGAAGTGCACACTCAGTGGGGGGAGGGGAGGTTGGTAAGAGGGAGGGAAGGGTTGGAGTAAGGGGAGGGGGTAGGGGTTGGAGTAAGAAGAGGGGAGGGAGGGAGTGAAGAGGGGAGGGAGGGAGTGAAGAGGGGAGGGAGGGAGGAGTAAGAAGAAGACAGGGAGGGTGGAGTAGAAGGTGAGATGAGGAGAACATGTGGAGGGGGGGAGTGAGAAGAACAGGGGGGAGTGAGAATAACACTGGACCCGGGGGGAGTTAGAATAACACGGGAGAGGGGGTGAGGAGAAGGGGAGGTGAGGAGAACACTGGGTGGGTGGGTGTAAGAAGAGATCGCTAGGGGAGGGTGGGGGTTGAGGAGAGACCACTAAGGGGCAGGGGAAAGCTCTATAGGACGGGGCGGGGCAGGACAGGGAGCTCTTTCACACTACGCGCGCACACACACACAATGCATCCCTATACATACACAGAAACACACAATGCATCCCTACACACACAGAAACACAACATGCTTCCCTTACACACAGAAACACACAATGCATCCATTGCGCACACACTCACAATGCAACCCTTACACACAAAGACAATGCATCCTTTGCACACATACACAGAAACACACAATGCAAACACATACACTGCTTCTCTTACATACACACACACAATGCATTTCTTACAGACACTCAATGCACACACTTACAGACACACACGTTGCATCCCTAATGCATACAAACACAGATTCAAACAATGCATCCCTTACACACAACCAGAAACACAATAAATCCCTTATACACAAACACACACTGCTTCCACTACACACAAACACACTGCATCACCTACACAAAACGTTATCCTTATACACTACATTCCATAAGCACACACATTAGATCCTCTACAACAACACATAACACATTCCCTACACACTCCACTCTATGTGAGCGAACTCATGGGTGGAACATATAGGTGGACTTATGGGTGGGCCTTATGGGCATACTCTCCGTCAGGCCCTGGGGCCCAGACATTGAGCTGTGTAAGGGGCCCAAAAAAATGGAGCTGCTTCCCGTTCCCCCAGAACATTGAATTTGATGACTTCAGTTACAAACAGCCTCCAGAGAGCCTATTCTACACCAGACCAGTGGAGCCAAATCTGGTTGTAAGTAGGCAATCTAGTATATTATTAGTGACACTAATCTCTAATTTACCTCACATTAAAGGGACACTATAGTCCCCAGAACCACTGGAGCTTAATGAAGTGGTTCCGGTATCTATAGCCGGTCCCTGCAGGCTTTTTAATATAAACACACACTGTGTGCAGCACTGGCGTTAATTCATATGGGTGGAGCATTGTGATGTCACATGGAGGGGGGGGCGGCAAATTTTTCTTTTGCCTAGGGCTGCAAAAATCCTTGCACCGGCCCTGTGTGCAATAAAGGCAGTTTAAGCATTATATTTTACAGGAAGTGTTTAGGAAGGCTGTACAAGTCACATGCAGGGAGGTGTGGCTAGGGCCAGTGTCCTTTCACCTGTCAATGAGTGAAACCAAAAGATGCCGAGTAGTGATTATGAATGGGTTTTATTTGAGTAACTTTTTTTTTTTTTTTTTTTAAAGTGCCTATGGGGAAATAGTCCTGTTTGCCAACCCGCTAATGCACACAATATTAATTCAGAAATAATTTAATTTCTGGAGTAAAAAAAAACCAAAAAAATATCCATGGCATATTTTAGCCTCTTGAGGAATAAATTGTCAAACTTTTGCCTCTGGGCTTGTTGCAGAACTAAATGTCTGACAAAGAATGAAAGGAATTGTGGGAATTGTAGTCTAATAAAAGATGAAAGACTGGAGAATGTCAAACCTCCTCTGAAGAGCAGTTATACATCAGAAATAATAGGCAATATGCATCAGTGATTATTTGTTTGTTTTTAAATAAATCTTATAATTTATTTATTTTTTATCTACACAGACTGTCAGTCAAGCTGCAGCGACAACATTTATAAAAACAGAGGAAGATTTTTTGATAATTTTATCTCGGATTAATGCATTAGTATTGAATATTCTGCTGCGGCCCGGTAAGTACTACTTACCACTAACAAGTCTAAATTTTGCCGGAATTTCCCAGCTGTCCCAGACAGCGTATGCAAATGCAATGTCACACATTTATCTTGTGACAATAATATTGACATTTTCCAAATGCCAGCCTGGCCAATCAGCATCTCTTCCTAAAGATGTATTGTATCAATGCATCTCTATGGGGAGAGTTCAGCTTCTCCATGGAGGTGTCCCTAAGCTTTAATGTAAACCCTGCCTTTTCAATATGCCTGAATGAGAACATAGCAACAATGTACCATTTGCTTTCTGAGATATATTGGCAGAGTAAGAGATTAGTAACTTTTCTTGCACAGTCTGTTTTCTTGTGGGAAGCACTAAACAGGACTGGTTTGTGATTAAAACGCCTAGTTTGGATAGATACGGACAGGTTTAGGATCATATCACATTATAGGGATTTCACAGGAGTTGACTGAGGTAGTTACAGGTTGACTTTGTGTTAATTCTTAATTTTGAAATGACAAAAATAACCCGTCTTCTAAATACCCCTGTGTGTGGAGAACGGTCACTTCTCTGGAATTTACAATATGGAATAAAACCTTGCAGATCTCCTAGAATTGTGTTAACTGGTTTGTGAGTTGTTTTATAAATGATTGACAGGCAGCTAAGATGGAGGCGCCCAGTTTCCGGGTAAAGAAAGTGGGTTTCTACATTTAATTTTAGTTTTCTTTTTTTAATTTTATATAAGTAAGCAGGATATTAAAAAGTGACCATTCTCTTTTAAGGAATTAAGTACCGTCATTTGGTAATGAGCATATAATAATAAATAGTACTATGCGTCTTTTAAATCGTGTAATAAAATTTATTATAGAAAATGAATTCTGTACGTTGCTGTACTGTATGTTCTGTATCCTTACCATGAGCTTTGAACAATATAGTTAAGTAGCTGAGTTAACCCCTTCAGGACCACTGACGGTCCTGAACTGTCATAGCGAAAAACTGGCTGCGAGAAGCGATCTAAGATCGCTCCCGCCGGTATAACACTGTAACTATCTGCCAGACATCCCAGGCAGATAGTAACAGCCAACTGCAGCGTGTGAGCGACCCACGATCGCTCACAATTGGCTGCTGTCAAAGTGGATGTTACAAACACTCACTTTGACAGTGATCTCTGCCCCTCTCTCCTCTGTAGCGTTTTGTGAGGCGAGAGACAGAGATCGTGATCGTTTGTTGCAGTAGAAATTTTCCAGAGCTTTATACAGTATCTAAAGTGGAAAAAAAAATTTTTTTTTAACCCCTTCCCTGCCAGATCTGTTATGGCAGTGCATTTGTACTGTCTGTATTATTATTTTTTTTGCGCTTAAAGGGTTAAATTTGTTTTAAAAATCTGTGTCTTGGTCTGTCTTAGTCAGTCAGTTTCCTTCCCCCAAATCTCCATTAGATTTTTGTGACAGGAGTTAGTTTAGAGATTGCTGTTTAGTCTGTTTTAGTAAAAAAAAAAGTCTAAAATTTTTTTGTGTGTTTTGTAATTTTTTAGTCGTGTGTAAAACATGCAGCGTATGTATAACTTGCAGGATGCCTTCTTGGCGTCACATTCTGACACCACTGACACTGCGTCAGATTTTGACCCAGGTCAGTTTTCTGACACGTCTAGTCAAGACGACATGTCATCCGTGTGTGAGCCGGCTGAAGAAAGAAGCTGTGCTTCCTCTGCTACGCCGAATGTGGAGGAGGACTGGGTACCTCCACAGTTAGCTGAGCCCAATGTCCCCCCTTTTAGTGCCAACGCAGGCATTAATGTTAATGTGGATGGCTTCTCCCCAACGCAGTATGTAGAACTATTTTTAGGGGATACCATCTGGGAGGAGATTGCTTCCCAGACTAACTTGTATGCTACCCAATTTATTGATAACAATCCAGGTAGCTATACAGTCAGGGGGCATGACTGGCATCCCACAGATGTCCCAGAGCTTAAAAAATTCTGGGCTCTTACCAGGGCCGGATTAAGAGCACACTGGGCCTGGTGCTGACAATTATGATGGGCCTAATTACGGAATCTTATCGACCAAAAATACTAAAACAGTAATTCCTCCCAAGCGTCATCCACTGATGGAGATGGTGCTGGAGGGAAACTCATAGGATGCAGCTATAAGAAAAAACATACCCTATGCTAATCTCTCTCTAATTTATGCTTTCATCTTTCAAGTAAATCCATACCCCCTAACAGCAGTGTCCAGTGAAGCAGGAAGTCAATGGGCGGGTAAAAGGGTGGGCCACTGGTGCGAATCACGTGACCAGACCTGCCAAAAGGGTTGAACATGCCCAAAAAGGGGGCATGTCTGTCCAAAGAATTTGAAGGACAACCTGGCATGAATGCATGTCAGTCTGCCTGCCAATCCTGCAGGCTGTCCAACTAAGGGCATACTATGCAGACAGCACCCTGATCTTGGCATAAATGCATCTAATGATGCGCTCGCTCCACGCTTTCTAAGGACTGTCCCCTAGCACTCGCTGGTCCACTTGTCTCCTTACCTTCTTACTAGCAGGCAGAAGTTCCTGGTATATAGTCTGAGACAGAGAAAATGTGTATGTAGTGAGTATAGAAGAAAGGGGACATGCCACAGTGTTAGAGAGACCAAAGTCAGCATTACCTAAACTAATTTTACTGTCAGCCACACAAGTTTTGTTCCCATACATCCCTCTTAAGCTTACAAACTTAAAGGGACACTATAGTCACCAGAACAACTACAGCTTGTTGTATTTGTTCTGGTGAGTAGAATCATTCCGTTCAGGCCTTTTGCAGTAAACACTGTCTTTTCAGAGAAAATAACTCCACTGGCCACTCCTTAGATTGATGCTAGAGGTGCTTCCTGGGGCAGTACTGCCTAGTGTGCAGCACTGCCATTCAGTGTCTCCACCCTCTGCATGCAGACACTGAACTTTCCTCATAGAAATGCATTGATTCATTTTATCTTTATGAGGAGCTGCTGATTGGCCAGGGCTATGTTGGACTTGTGCTGGCTTTGCCCCTGATCTGCCTAGTTGACAGTCTCAGCCAATCCTATGGGGAAGTATTGTAATTTGCTCAGACCACCACTTCTGATGATGTCAGCAGACAGTCAGTTCAGAGGCAGAGCAAGCAGCTGCAGACTTGAATACAAGTTATATTTTACTATACTTAGGGAGGCAAGAAGGGGCCAGGGTTTGTGGTTTTAACATAATAGGGTCAGAAATACATGATTGTGTTTCTGACCCTATAGTGCTCTTTTAAGCAAGAGTATGTGAAGAGTAGTTAGGGTTGCCACCTTTCTTGGGAAAAAAATACCAGCCTTAATCATTTGTATAATCACAAGGAGTGACATCAGAGAAAATTCTGTAAAATCACCAACAAACTACTCACAGATTGATTCTGCTGTATAGATGGATTGCTACCAGTGTCTGTCTCGCAAGTCACCCAATGTCTGTGTTCTATGTATCACAGTGTCAGTGTCCCCATGTCGCCCAGTCCCCTAGTCTCCCAGTGTCTCAGTGTCCCCATTTCTCCCAGTGTCCCAATGTCTCTGTGTGTCCCCATGTCACTAGGACATGGGGACACTGAGACATTTAGGGAAACTGGGAGAAATGGGGACACTGAGACACTAGTGACACAGACACTGGGAGACATGGAGACACTGGGAGACATGGGGACACTAAGACACTAGGGACACAGAGACACTAGGGACACAGAGACACTAGGGACACAGAGACACTAGGGGACACGGGGACACTAGGGGACACGGGGACACTAGGGGACACGGGGACACTAGGGGACACGGGGACACTAGGGGACACTGGGAGACTAGGGGACACTGGGAGACTAGGGGACACTGGGAGACTAGGGGACACTGGGAGACTAGGGGACACTAAGACACTAGGGACACAGAGACACGGGGACACAGATACTGGGAGACTAGGGGACACTGGGAGACTTGGGGACACTGGCTGGGAGACAGACACTTGGGGAGACATGGGGACAGTTGTGGACATAGACATGGGGACACTGGGACATATAGGGACACTGGGCACACTGAGAGACATGGGACACAGACACTGGGAGACTTGGGGACACTGAGACTCTAGCAACACTGGATGGCGGACATGGGGAAACTGGGTGAAATCTCTCCATGTCCCTATGTCTCACAGCATCCCCATGTGTCTCAGCATCCCCATGTGTCCCAGTGTACCCTAGTATCTCAGTGTCCCCATGTTTTCCAGTGTCCCCATGTTTTCCTGTGTCTCAGTGTTTCCAGGTCCCCTAGTGTCTGTGTCACCTTGTGTCTGTGTCACCTTGTGTCTGTGTCCCCATAGGTCCCCTAGTGTCTGTGTCCCCATGTATCTCAGTGTCCCCATGTGTCCCCTAGTGTCTCAGTGTCCCCATGTCTCCCTGCTGCCTTTCCCCCTATCCCTCACTTACCTGAGCTGTAGAGCTGCTGTTTGTACTCTGTGCTGTGTTGCTGCTCCCCCACAGATCAGTAAGTAGCAGAGAGGCAGGAAAATGCTGGAACTTCCTGTCCCTGCCTCTCTACACACACGGTGCTGGTATTGCAGAGTAATCTCCATTTATACTGAGAAAAATACCTGTATTTGTATTGCCGGTATTACTGCAATACCGGCACGGCCAGGCAGCTTCAATTACCGGCTGTGCCAGTAAAATACCAGTCAGGTGGCAAACCTAAGAGTAGTGTAATGATGTCCCGAACGGTTCGCCGCGGACGGCGAACATATGCGGTAAACTTTGACCCTGTACCTCACAGTCAGCAGACACATTCCAGCCAATCAGCAGCAGACCCTCCCTCCCAGACCCTCCTACCTCCTGGACAGCTCACTAAGAATGCAGCTTCAAAATGGATGCTGTCCAGGAGGTGGGAGGGTCTGGGAGGGAGGGTCTGCTGCTGATTGGCTGGAATGTGTCTGCTGACTGTGAGGTACAGGGTCAAAGTTTACTCAATGATGAGTCCGCAGCGAACCGTTCAGGACATCACTACTAAGGACAAAATTTTGAATCTATTTAGCAGTTTGTTTCATTAGATTTTGTAGATCAGTAAAAGATTTTTTTTAAGTAAAAGTCAAAAAACATGTTTTGTTTTTTAATTTTTCACCATATTTTATTTTTTTTTTTTTAAATTATATGACATGATAAAAATAATAGTTTGTAAAGAAAGCCCTTTTTGTCCTGGAAAAAACAATATATAATTTGTATCGGAACAGTAAATGAGAGAGCGGACAATTACAGCTAAACACAAACACCACAAAAGTGTTAAAATAGCTCTGGTCCTTAATGTACAAACATCGCAAAAACAGTCCGGTCCTGAAGGGGTTAAACAGAGAAGCATTACTTAACTCTTTCATTGCTGGACTGTTTACCTTCGAGGGAACACACCTACAAGGCTTTCTTTGTTTAGAAATCAGTGTTAATTTAGTTTTAGTCACATTTTTTTGACTAAAAAGCCATTTAAATATTAGTCGTATTTTAGTCATCTGAATTGTTTGTTATAGTTTACTAAATCTCAAAAATGTTAGTTGACTGAAATCTGACTAGAATTGTTAGTCGACAAAATGAACACTGATAGAAATCTGCTGTTTTTGTTCTTTAGATGAAAGTGACTCGTTGGGCAAAGACCACTTAAAATCCATTGTTCAGGTCAATGAAAGATTTCACGCCATTTGGGATTTAACATCTGGATGTTGCAAAACTCTTAAACTGCGTCTTGGTGACTCGTCCGTGGACGTGAACGACATTTACATCGTGAAAAATCAAAGCAACCTTTTACAGGTGTATACCGAGTAAGTATATTGACATGTCACTGATACAGATTGCAGTGGTTAGATATGAGCAGAAGCCAAATATGCATTGCTGAAATCTGTGGTTTTTACACCAAAATGCAGCTTTGTACATCACAAACTAGCTCTGATTTGCTCACATACTTCCTTTTAAAGGAGGCATGTTAACCACTGACATCCTCAGTGAAGAGGAACATGTGAGGAGACAGAGAAACACAAAAAGACAGCCACACAAACAAACCAAAATCTACAGAGAGACAGCCGAGGAAGCAGATAGATAGAGAGAGAGAGAGAGAGAGAGAGAGAGACGCAGACAAATCACCATACAGAAAGAGAGCGAGATGTTAAAATCCAGAGATACTGAGTAAAGAAATGTACATTATTTATTCCAGATGTGGTCTTTGCCATGACTTCACCTCTCTGTGATACCAATAAAGTGGATTACATTGTATTTAAATAGAATTGCTGGTTATTCCTTATATTGTATATATTGGCCAAACCGCACCAACGGGGTCTCTGCACCGACTAGGTCTCGCTACTTTCTAAACAGAGATACAGTCAGGGGTACAGAGGGGGACACCAACTGTCAGAGAGGCAGGGAGAAAGGAAGCGAGAGAGACTGCTGGCAGTGAAAGACAGCATACCAGTGACAAATACAGAGAGAGTGCACATTTCAAGGAATGGAGGGCTGCAATGGTTAGATAGGGCCCATTACTGTTTGTTGTAGACTAACTTCCCATCACTCAGTCCAGGAGAAGAGGCTGTAATGGTTAGATAGTGCCTTGTACTTTTTGTAAGCCAGACTACCCATCACTCGGTTAAGGAGAAGAGGGCTGTAATGGTTAGATAGTTCCTTGTACTTTTTGTAAGCCAGACTACCCATCACTTGGCTAAGGAGAAGAGGGCTGTAATGGTTAGATAGTTCCTTGTACTTTTTGTAAGCCGGACTACCCATCACTCGGTTAAGGAGAAGAGGGCTGTAATGGTTAGACAGGGCCCATTACGGTTTGTTGTAGACCCACTTCCCATAACTCTGTTAAAGAGAAGAGGGCTGTAATGGTTGGACAGTGCCTTGTACTTTTTGTAGGCCAGACTACCCATTACTCGGTTAAGGAGAAGAGGGCTGTAATGGTTGGATAGGGGTTTGTTAGAGGAACTCACATTTTGTCATTGCCACTAAGCAGTAACCTTGACTGTGTTGGTGTCTCGTGTCTACAGCGGTGTCCCACATTACCAGCATTGATATTCCTGTAAAAGTAGAATCTTGTCGATGTGACACATTGTGTGTATTGGGTTTTTTTCACTCTATTTAAGCTTAATATTTTCCATTCGGTCTGAACACATACCACAGCCTTTGCACTTTCTTTTTAACTGAAGTCAGCAAATATTGGCTTCTAAATTATCCAGAACGTTGTTCAGTGTGAGGGAAAGACAAAGTCAGAGCAGTCTGTGGCCGCAGAAACTATCCTACATAACATTCGTTCAGTTTGGTTACTCTGGTCTTACTGGTGATATTAAGTGTGAATTCTCAATGCAGCCCTGTGAGAGTGATTAACTCCCAGAAAAGACAAGGGCAGGGTAAAATGATCTATTTTATATTCTGATTATTTAAATTTTTTTGCAGGTATTTTCTGGCCGTTACGAATCATATTGTGATCAAAGGATTTGACAAAGTCTCAAAACCAACAAGGTACGGTGAGCAACATGAGACTTGTGGAAGGTTTATTAACGGATCAAAGACCACACCGCAATAACAGTGATGTTTACTGATTTAACAGCAAATTATAGTAAATTGTAAACCACACTGCAAAATCCAGGCTAGAAATCACCAAGTTCGGACTATCGCGGTGTTGGAAATCTTCAAAATCAGCTATTCTAGCTTAAATGTTGCAATATGGGTTCCGATTCCTTATAATGTGGTGTTTAGTGAATAAACCCCCTCGGTATAAATAAATGTCACATAATTGGCTAAGATGCAAAAAAAATACTGTGTGTCTGTGTGTGAAAGAGAGAGAGTGAGAGAGACCTGGGACCATATAGCCACAGTCTTGAGGATATATATGAGTTTAGTGAATAAACCCCCTCTGTATAAATACATGTGGAGGGAGAGAGAGACACACACAGTCTTGACCAGGGCCGGCCTTTGGGGTGTGCGAGCTGTGCGGCCGCACAGGGCGCCATGGCAACAGGGGCGCCGGGCGGCCGACACAGCTCGCAGTCGCTCTGTCACTGGCCGGCCCGAGATTGTGTGAGAGCTGAGCCGCGGTCAGTTTCCGGAGCGTGGAGGAGGAGCTTGGGGCGCAGGCGCAGCGTCCAAGTGCTGCACCTTCACAGAGAGCCGCAGAGGGATCCGCTCCATGTGTGAGGGCGGCGGCCGGTGCTCTGCAGACAGGGAGGGAGCAGCAGCCTTCAAAGTAAGTACCTTATTTATTTTTAAGCCAAACATCTTTCATTAAATGGGGCAGGGTCTAATTAAGGGGGGCAGGGGACTAGATAAGAGTGGCACTGGGTCTAATTAAGGGGGGCAGGGGACTAGATAAGGGTGACACTGGGTCTAATTAAGGGGGGCAGGGGACTAGATAAGGGTGGCACTGGGTCTAATTAAGGGGGCAGGGGACTGATGAAGGGGTGGCCAGGGGTTGGATTATTTGGCATGGGATGTATTAAGGGGGCTGATGAAGGGGAGCAGGGGGTTGAAAAGGGGGGCATGGGACTGATTAAAGGGGGGCAAGTGGGTGATAGGGGTGGGAGGGTACTGATGAGGGGGTCAGGGGGCTGATAAAAGGGGGGCAGATGGCTGATAAATAGGTGGGAGGGAATTGATGAGGGGGCAGGGGACTGATGAAGGGGTGGCCAGGGGTTGGATTATTTGGCATGGGATGTATTAAGGGGGCTGATGAAGGGGAGCAGGGGGTTGAAAAGGGGGGCATGGGACTGATTAAAGGGGGGCAGGTGGGTGATAGGGGTGGGAGGGTACTGATGAGGGGGTCAGGGGGCTGATAAAAGGGGGAGGGGATTGGTGAGGGGGTCAGGGGACTGATGAATGGGGCAGAGGGCTGTTAAAGGGGTGGGAGGGGATTGATTAGGGGGTCAGGCGGCTGATGAATAGGGGCAGGGGGTGGGAGGGTGGGAGGGAATTGATGAGAGGGGCAGGGGACTGATGAAGGGGTGGCAGGAATTGATAAAGGGGTGGGAGGGGATTGATGAAGGGTAAGGGGTGGCTAGGAGTTTGACGAAGGGATGGCCAGGGCATTGATGAAGGGGAAGGGGTGGCCAGGAGTTTGATGAAGTGGTGGCCAGGGGCTTGGTGAAGATCTGGCCAGGGATTTTGGTTAAGAGGTGCAGTGGTTTTGTAGAAGGGGGTGGAGGCAACAGATTGTGAATGCTCCTAAAATAGTTTGAAGGGGTCCAAACAGAGACAGGTGAGGGGTGGGGGGGGGCACCACAAGATTGTTTCGCACAGGGCGCCTGAACACCTAAGGCCGGCCCTGGTCTTGACGATATGAATTCCACACAAATTGTATTGCTTTTATTAAGAGGTCTGGCAATTAAAAATAAAATAAACAAAAAGAAAAACCTTGCTCTCCTGAGCACTAACTCACACTTGTTACTAAATACAGCTGGGCGGCCTGCTGCCAACAATACAAAACACAAAATCGAGCACAGACCTTTTTCAAATGTAAATGTTTATTTTATCCTTCCGAACACGAAATTCATTAACGGACTTGTGTAGGGAGATATGCAGTCTCACACACTTTGTCCTTCTCCATGTGAATCCCTGACATGGAAATTTTATAGAAGCCTTGTGCTGATCATTGCTAACGGGTGAGCAACTATCTGGGTGATCCAGAACTCCTGGATTGGATTGCTCACCTGCTGTGCGGTATGTAAACTGTGGAGTGGAGCACTGGCCCTCCCTTCACTCCAAATGTTCCACCCCAGGAACCCATATTAAAAAACAGAATAGCTCTGACTAAAACAGACAGACATTCTTCCTGTGGCTTTTTCAGACCACATTTAGCAGTACTCGTGGAGAAATGTACACCCCATCCAAACGATGCCCTGCACTCTCTCACATATCCTCCACCCCAGCTCAAACCTTGTGGGGTGAGCGACCATTGTCACAAGGGTATGTTTACGTGAATGACCATCAGCATTTCCTTGTATATACCAACCATGTGCTCTATTGAGAAATGATATGGTTGTAAACTAAGGAACCATTAAATAACTCTGCTTTTGTTTTCTTTATTTTGACTCCTTCAAGTAAGTGGTGTGTGTGATCTGTTACGAACCTAAATTTCCTGCCCAACAAGTAGTACTTGAGAATTTCCACAGTTCACTTAATAGCTAGACACTCCTTCTCGGCTGTTGAATATTTATTTTCTCTGGGTGAAGTTTCCTGCTCTGGTGCAGTATTTGGTGTTCTTCATCTTTCCTGTGAGAGCATTGTTTCAAGTCCACCATCAGATGCATCTGTTTGTCGGATGAATTCCGTGGAAAAATTGGGTGTAACCAACACAGGTCAGTGTTGAGGTCAGTTAAGGCAGTGTTCCCCAACCCAGTCCTCAGGGACCACCAATAGTCCAGGATTTATGTATTTCCCTGTTTTATTCCAATGGAGATAATGTCAAAACCTTGACTGTTGGTGGTCCCTGAGGATTGGGTTGGGGAACCCTGAGTTAATGGTGGCAAAATTGGAAATAAATCTCCTGTAATAGCCAATAAGACCAAGGAAAGCCCTAACCTGTTTCTAAGTCAAGGGTCGAAGTCAATTTCCGCAAATTGTGTCTCGACTAACCCTCTCCCAACGAAATAACTGAGATATTTGGCCTCCTCTAGGCCAATAGTACACTTACTAGGGTTTACCGTCAGGTCAGCATTTAGTATGAAATAAATGACTACTTGCAGTTTTGGTAAAGGAGACTCCCTATCTTCACTCTGTATAACCACATCATCCAAGTATGTCGCTGCATAAGAGGTATGTGGCTTTAGGATTCTGTCCATCATTCTTTGAAACGTTGCTGGAGCCCCATGTAAGCCAAATGGTAATACTTTGTATTAAAAGGTCCATCTGGAGTAGAGAAAGCAGTTAGTTCCTTTGTCTGGGCTGTGAGAGGTACTTGCCAATAACCCTTTGTTAGATCCAGTGTGGTAAGGTACTGGGCTTTCCCAAGTCTTTCCAAAAGTTCATCAACCCTTGGTATAGGATATGCGTCAAATTTGGATATTGCATCAAGCTTCCGGTTGTTGTTATTAATATTTGTAAACCGCTAACAAATTCCATAGCGCTTTACAATGGGTGGACTAATAAACCTGTAATTGTAACCAGACAAGTGGGACACACAGGAACAGAGGGGTTGAGGGCCTGCTCAATGAGCTTACATGTTAGAGGGGAGGGAGTGGGATATAGTGACACAGTAACAGAGGGATTGAGGGCCCTGCTCAGTGAGTTTACATGTTAGAGGGAGTGGAGCATAGTGACACAGTAACAGAGGGATTGAGGGCCTGCTCAGTGAGTTTACATGTTAGAGGGAGTGGGGTATAGTGACACAGTAACAGAGGGATTGAGGGCCTGCTCAGTGAGTTTACATGTTAGAGGGAGTGGGGTATAGTGACACAGTAACAGAGGGATTGAGGGCCCTGCTCAATGAGTTTACATGTTAGAGGGAGGGGGGCATAGTGACACAGTAACAGAGGGATTGAGGGCCTGCTCAGTGAGGTTACATGTTAGAGGGAGTGGGGTATAGTGACACAGTAACAGAGGGATTGAGGGGCCTGCTCAGTGAGTTTACATGCTAGAGGGAGTGGGGTATAGTGACAGTAACAGAGGGATTGAGGTCCTGCTCAGTGAGTTTACATGTTAGAGGGAGTGGGGTATAGTGACACAGTAACAGAGGGATTGAGGTCCTGCTCAGTGATCTTACATGTTAGAGGGAGTGGGGTATAATGACAGTAACACAGGGATTGAGGGTCCCGCTCAGTGAGTTTACATGTTAGAGGGAGTGGGGTATAGTGACACAGTAACAGAGGGATTGAGGCCTTGCTCAGTGAGTTTACATGCTAGAGGGAGTGGGGGTATAGTGACACAGTAACAGAGGGATTGAGGGCCCCGCTCAGTGAGTTTACATGTTAGAGGGAGTGGGGTATAGTGACACAGTAACAGAGGGATTGAGGGTCCTGCTCAGTGAGCTTACATGTTAGAGGGAGTGGGGTATAGTGACACAGTAACAGAGGGATTGAGGCCCTGCTCAGTGAGTTTACATGTTAGAGGTAGTGGGGTATAGTGACACAGTAACAGAGGGATTGAGGGCCTGCTCAGTGAGTTTATATGTTAGAGGGAGTGGGGTATAGTGACACAGTAACAGAGGGATTGAGGGCCTGCTCAGTGAGTTTACATGTTAGAGGGAGTGGGGTTTAGTGACACAAAAGGTAAAGGTAAGACCACCATCTGGTTTTGGTACAAGCACAATTGGGCTACACCAATCACTTTGTGACTCTTCGATTACCTCAAAGTCCAACATTTTCTTTACTTCGGTTTTGCATTAAAGGATGTATTAAATAATGATAAGTTTTAAAAGGCTTCTTTTTTTTCCCTGTTGCAGCATTTATTGGAAAACCAATAAAAGGGGTTTGAAGACGCTGATCGGAGAGACGGATGATATCTCCCTGACTGTCTTCTTACAGAGAATCTTCACCGAGCCGTTCAGAGATCACGTCCAGACGTACTCATTGTTCCTGTCCCAGATCAATGGGAAGCTGGCAGAGGTAAAGTGCAGCCCCCCGCATTTCCTGCGTCATTTGCTTTCCCTGTAGGATGGTATTAGAAGAATCATGTTGTAAATGTCGCCATTCAAACAGAAAGATTAAATTGTAATCTCAATGCTATAACGGTAATCTAATCCTAAACGTCTAACACCAAATAAGTCTCATTATAATTAGCATGTACTATTTCACAGTGATGTACCCCATGCTGTAACTGCACGGCTGTGGAGTCCTGAGAGAGTATTGTGGTGTACCTCCCTGACATTTATCAATGTACGCCAGGCTTTGGGAGTTATGTTCATAGTATCTGCATGCAGGTAATCTCTAAACTAATGCTGGCAGCCTCCTAACTAATCAATGTGAAGAGGGCCACCTGACATTCTTACAACTGAACCACTGGTCTCACCCAATGCGTTTCTTGACATAGAGCATATACTCTGGGTAGGGCTGGTGGAAGGGTTTTTGCCGCCCTATGCAAAAAAAAATTTGCCGCCCCCCCATATGTCCTGCCTACCATGTGACATCACAATGCCCCGCCCATATGCTCTGCCATATGGGCCAACGCCAGTCTGCACAACGTGTCTTTTATCTGAAAAGACAGTGTGTTTACATTAAAAAGCCTACAGGCACAGGCTATAGACACCAGAACCACTACATTAAGCTGTAGTGCTTCTGGTGACTATAGTATCCATTTAATGTGCGGTAAATTAGAGATTAGTGCCACTAATAATATATTGGATTGCCTACTTACCACCAGATGAGGACAAGAGGCTGATGATGGGCTCAGTCTGGCTCCACAGGTCTGGTGTTTTTAACAATGCTCACAACAATTAACGAACAGGAAGCAGCTCCATTTTTTAGGGCCCCTTACACAGCTCAAAGTCTGGGCCCCCAGGGCGTGACGGTGAGTATGCCTACAATGCCCACCCATAAATCCACCTACATGGCCCACCCATGAGTTCTCTCACAGGTAGTGGAGTGTATGTGTGTAGGGGATGTTTTATGTGTTATTGTAGAGGATGCAATGTGTGTGTGTTCTTACAGAATGTAGTGTATAGGGATACCAATTTGTGTAAGGGATGTAGTGTGTTTATAGGGGATGCAGTGTGTGTTTGCGTGTAAGGAATGCATTGTATGTTTCTGTGTGTGTGTGTGTGTGTAAGGGGTGCAAGGTGTGTTTCTGTGTATTTAATTGAATGCAGTGTGTGTCTGTAAGGGGTGCATTGATTGTGTAAGAGATGCATTTAGTTTCTGTGGGTAAGAGAATGAGTGTTTGTGTGAACGTAAGGGATGCATTGTGTGTTTCGGGTGTGTCTGTGTGTGAGTAGGAATGCATTGTATGTTTCTGTGTGTGGGGATGCATTGTGTATGTGTGTAGTGTAAAAGAGAGGGTTTGTTGGGGTAGGATAGGGACTGAAAGGGGAGCAGCTCTTTATTTTTTTTTTATTTAGTGGTCCTTACCCCCCCTCCCCTCCCCTAGTGGTCCTTACCCCCCCTCCCCCTAGTGGTCCCTTACCCCTTCCCCTAGTGGTCCTACCCCCTTCCCCTGGTGGTCCTTACCCCCTAGTGGTCCTACCCTCCCCAGTGGTCCTACCCCCCCCTCCCCTAGTGGTCCTTCCTCCCTCCCCACGTCCTACCCCCTCCCCCACGGGGTCCTTCCCTCCCTCGTGGTCCCCCTCCCCTCGTGGTCCTTCTCCCCTCGTGGTCCTTCTCCCTCGTGGTCCTTCCCTCCCCTCCCTGCGGGTCCTTCCCTCCCTCCCTAGTGGTCCTTCCCTCTCCCTAGTGGTCCTTCCCTCCCTCCTTAGTGGTCCTTCCCTCCCTCCCTAGTGGCCCTCCCTCGTGGGTCCTACCTCCCTCCCTCGTGGTCCTACCTCCTCGTGGGTCCTACTCCCTCCCCTCGTGGGTCCTACCCCCTCCCTCGTGGTCCTACTCCCTCCCTCGTGGTCCTACCCCCCCTCGTGTGGTCCTACCCCTCCCCTCGTGGTCCTTACCCCCCCTCCCCTCGTGGTCCTTACACTTTGCATCTGACTTTGTCCACTATAAATTTATGCTGCGCTCCTACAGCATGGCTCTTTCCTCTGCAAAAGTAAGCTACTTAAACACCCTCATAAGCACAGTGTCCCACCAACCCAAACACCTGTTTCACACTTTTGATGCACTTCTTCGCCCTGTGACTCCCCCTCCTTCCGCCACAAACTTTGCATCTCATTTCACTGAGAAGATCTCTACAATCAGGAAAGAGATCTCTAATCTTTCTCCAACCAGTATCAATACATCACCCAACCCCACTCCCCCTGCCATCCTAAGCTCATTTGTACCTGCTACAGCACAAGAGGTTTCTGCTCTGCTCCTGTCCTCCCGCCCCACCACCTGCTCCCTCGATCCTATTCCCTCGCATCTCATCCACACTTTGTCTCCCTCTCTTGCTCTTCCTCTCGCTAACATTTTCAATCTCTCCCTTTCCTCTGGCACATTTCCCTCTGCCTTCAAACATGCAACCGTAACTCCAATTCTGAAAAAGCCCAACCTTGATCCCAACTCCCCATCCAACTACCGCCCTATCTCGTTACTGCCATTTGCCTCCAAGATTCTCGAGAGAGTTGTCTATGCCAGATTAACAGACTTTTTTGAATCCAACTCTCTGCTTGACCCCCTTCAGTCTGGATTCCGCGCTGGTCACTCTGTCGAAACTGCTGTGACCAAAGTATCCAACGATTTAATTGCTGCTAAATCTCGCGGCCAATACTCTATCCTAATCCTCCTTGATCTTTCTGCTGCCTTTGACACTGTTGATCATCAACAGCTTCTTCACATTCTCCGTAACTTTGGTAACTAGTGGTTCTTCCCCTAGTGGTCCTTCTCCCCTCCCTAGTGGTCCTTTTCTCTCTCCCTAGTGGTCCTTCTCCCCTCCCTAGTGGTCCTTTCTCCCCTCCCCTAGTGGTCCTTCCCCCCTCGTGGTCCTCCCTCTGGTCCCCTCCCCTCGTGGTCCTACCTCCTCGTGGTCCTTACCCCCCTCCCCTAGTGATCCTTACCCCCCTCCCCTTCCCTCCCCTAGTGGTCCTTACCCCCCCTAGTGGTCCTTACCCTCCTCTTCCTTCCTGCCTATGTAGCGTGGCCGGGCGGCGTGGAACGTGGGACAGCAACTTCTGTTTCCTGTACCTGCCCGCCGGCGGACTTAAGCGGCAGCTGGGTACAGGAAAAAGAAGTTCCTGTCCCGCGTTCCGTGCCGCCCGGCCACGCTACATTGAGAGACCGGCAGGAGGGAGCGCTCTGCGCTTGCTTCCTGCCAGTCACTCAAATCTGGCCGCCCTCCATACAGCAGTGCTGCGCCGCCTGAGGCTTGTAAAAGCACTCAGACGGCGCAGCATGAGGAGCCGCACCGGTGATTCTGGGCTCCGGCGCCCCCTGCTAAGGTGTGCCCTAGGCGGCTGTCTAGGTCGCCTTACAGGTAGCGCCGGCCCTGACTCTGGGTTACGTGGGACACGTGGTGCATAATACTAATGTTTGGTGTTTTATAAAGGTGAAATATTCTAAACAGAGAATGAGGATGCCTTTACTTGTGACATCTAACAATTTTAAAAAAGCATTTTCATTAAACACTAAAGTATAGTAAATATTGTAGTTTTTTTAAAAAAAATTTACGTTTTGAGTTTGTGGCTTTCTTGCAGGTTTTGCTATGAGAAAATCTGTTGGGGGAAAAAGCAACACACTGAAATAGCTTGCTAAATACAGGAGCTAAAAAGTACATGTGAAAATGTCATTTTTCTTCTATTTTTAAATGCTGATTCAAATTGGGAAATGTGCGTATGATCCTAATGCTGTGTGTATTGGCACACAGTGAAAATATCAGACCCAAAGCATCATAGTTTGTGATATTTAACAGATTGTGGCACTCTGTTTAATATCACACATCTGATAAAACAAAACCACTTTTTACTGGGATTTCTTTGTTTTTTTATGTCTTTATTTTACACATCCAGGAGCAAGCGAGATAAAAATATCCAGGTACCCGAGGGGAACAATCATCTTTGAAGTGATATTTGATGCATGCGCTACCATATTAGTTAAAAATAAATGTTCTAGCATTTGAAAGCTGGCAAGAAGATTTGATGTAGATATTGCTGCTCAGAAATACCTAAATAATTGTCATCTTACACTATTTAAATTTGTTTTTATTTATTTGCTAATCCATTAGATAAATATAAAGTTTCATAGTTTGGTACCTCACAGTATAGTAATTGAAATAAAAGAAACCCCTGTCTTGGAGGGTTAAAGTGACTGCGTATGTTTTAGGGATATTTGTCATTCACACAGGATTCCGATAAGGATGTTTTCTCAAGGAAGGTATGATATTCATTAATAATTTTTTTAATGTTTTAGGAGAGTGGAGAAACCTCATCGATAGACTCGCTGAATACGTTTGTAAATCTGCAAAAATATATCAGTCAGATTTTAGATGAAGCCTTCCAGACAAAAATGCTATGGGTGTCTTCATCAAGCAAATTAACAGTAAGTGGTATGAAAAGAACGGCACGTTTATATTTACTGCTAAAAAAAAATTATATTTATTTAAAGGGGAAGTTACAATAATGTGCTTAAAAAAAAATTGTAGGGTTACTCACAAAAGTGAGAATTCAAAGAGAATTTTACATTTTAAGGTCAGAGTAGCTGAATTGTAGCATTGCTGGCCTAGTGAATATTTCCAGATCAGCGATATTGACCTGAAATGTGAAATTTCCTTTAATTCACTTTGAATTCTCAGTTTAGTGTAGATGCCTGTTAATCTCATTTTATCATTGGCTTCTGTGGTGCTTCACCATTTACGGTCACTATGAGGATCTAGAAAGTATGGGTTATAAAGGAACGTTCCAAAAACCCTAAAACACTCCAGCTTCAGGTATGCATTTAGTTTTGAGATTCTACTAAATCAGACTGGTTCTGTGACATTGACGTAGAATCAGAAATATCATTTCGTCACATACAGTATGTGTGACAAAAATATGTAAATTAAAACGGTGAAATATTCTGCTGGTGAGAGCTTCTGAGGAACCTGAAGCATCTCTGAAATGCAGCTTTAATGTAAAAATACGTCAATATGTGGGTGTAATATCATACAAAAAAAGTACAATTATACTAAGAATCTGCAGAACAATGTGAGCCGCTATTGCAGCATGCAGTGAATCCCTGTAATGTGCTCAAGGCCTTCCCTAAATGGAGCCGTAAAATATAACCTACAAAGGTTGCTACAGAGTATTGCAGAAAAAAGTGGGCAGCAACTCATGGGACAAAATTCTATCTCCCTAGCTCTAACTACTTTGATAAGTTTATACCGGATTGTAAGTCCTATTTAAGTTTTGGAATATTGTGAGATTCTGAAACTCTGGTAAAATCTGATATCATTATGTTGCAGTTGCTGCCTATGTACAATTGATCTATCTATCTATCTTACAGGCAGCTCTGTGCACTCCAGATCGCAGGCTACAAGAAGATAGCAAAAATGTCCAGATAGCGGTCACTTCGGGCAGATACGACCGAATCCTTCTCTTTGATGACTCTTTGGTATTTCTTCAGGTATGTATCATTGCTAATTTTATCGCTGACATTAAGTGTTGTGACGCCATATAATACGTTGTTTGCTTCTTAATTTTGTCCTTTAGGGGATTGAAACTCACATCTGTGATTTAAAGACAGTTTGGGTATGTTCCTCGACAAAGCAGAACTATTTTCAAAACTTGTGAGTATCGACACATGCCAATCCGCAATACTTCCACATACATTTCAAGTAATTCCAGTTTTCCATAGAAGAAATGTTTCTGAGTTAAATTTGGTCTTTTTACAGGACCATTATCAAATAGTGGAGGGCATCATTCTTGTCTTGTCTGATGTTTGGCACATACGTTTAGTCCCCAGATAATACCACCAGGATATTGCACATGCCACGCAACTTTCTATATTTCGTATTCCATTTATAAGTTTACGGTCTGACTACTGCATTCATGAGGAAGTGTACTTAGTCAAGTGGATATTGAGAGACTAGGCAACTCCAGGGAAAACTCCCTTGCTTTTATAACCCTCCCTATCACACAGGTGCCTCATTCCACTGTCCTCTTTACTCTTATACTGCAGAGAGCCTCTGGAAAAAGGATTTCCAAAGTTAGTGGGTTAATCTTATAAGAGCAGGCATTAGGGTGTTTGAATAGGACCTGCCAAAAATGGGGCACATAGGCGTCAATGAAGTCAGGTGATTAAAAAAAAACAAGCAAACAAAAAAAAAACTATTGCATTTTGTGAGCTTTGAAGCTGGTATGTAGTGACTGAGTGAGTGTGCTACATATTCCGTACGTTGCCTGTGTGTGTGTGTGTACGTGTATTGCCATAACTTGGCTGTAGGATTAACCCATCTATTAACTTTTCTACAGCCAGCTGTTGCAGATCATCACTCCAGAGGAGGAATTTGTGCTTACTTCCAGAGAACCTCAAAATCAGGTTTGTTAAATTAATAAATATGATAGTGACAATTACAGGACACTTTGACCACAGATCAGAGATTTACCATCAGACAAGTTTGAGATGGATTGTTACAGTATACACAATATTATAAACAAAGTCTTTTCTTTCATTATATTCACTTATTTTAATCTGCATAAAAGCAAAAACTCCTCCACAATGTATCTAGATGATTGTATCCACAAAGTATGCTATATATTCAGAAATCTGAAACCGCTATCTAGTCATTAATGACTAGCAGAAGAAATTTCCTCGAAGTGAGCGTTGTCACTTTTTGTCTCGCAGGAATCTCAAAGCGAAAATAACTGCTCAGCTGTCAGAAATAAACACAAGTTGCAGAATCAGAAATAAAAAGATTAAGCTGGTATTTGTGGATTAGAATGTTTTGTTAGTTTTCGCTTTATCCAAGGGACGGTGTTGCAGGCGTTCACGCTAGGAGGACGTTGATCAGGGACAAAGTTCAGAATGTTAAATTATCGTCTTTATTAACTATAATGGCAGTTGTCAAATACATACTTTCTTTTACATCACATACATAATCTCCTTACACAGTCCTCATTCCAATCAAACTGATATTACTTATTTGACATTTTTCATACATTATCTATGATTCTATTATTTTTAGCAGCAAAATTACAGTTGTGATTTCTTTATTTTACAATATGAGAGATAGTGACCACACAGATCCATATTCAACTCTGGTCGGTATTCGCCCAAACAGGACATGGCACAGTCTCCAAAAATCGTGGTATAAGATCATGGCACAAATGAAAGATGTCTTGGGCTCACAATAAGGCTTTTGTCAAGTCCGCTGTGTTGTCCATGTATTTCACTGATTCTATCCTCAAAGTGATAGTAAATACAAAACAAGCATCTCCACTTAAACAATACAGTTTTGTTTATATTCGTGGGTGAATTCCCCGTGTCTCCTGTATATCCTTAAAGTGGATAAACTGTTTTTTCCAGATTTAGCTGAAATTGTTATTTTTGACATTCTGTGAGGTTTAGTTATGACTAATGTTAAATTGACCCTATGATTGCCGGATAAGTGCGTAATGCTATCTGGAGCTAGTAGGATTAAACAGGAGCCCTTACAAGTTGGTCCCTGTAAAAGCTTAAAAAAAAAACAATAAAGAGAAATAACTTCTGTCGTATGATTTCTCTTTTTTGACATTTATTACGGCACTGGGAAGTCAGCTTCCAAATATAAACCTTCATTAAGGAGGAATTCAAAGAATAAATAGAGCGCTTGGAAGAGATTATATTAATAGTTGTATTAAAAATAAAGCAGCTTTCACAAAATAGTTTAGATTTTGTGATAAGTATAATTATGGAGAAAAAGTACATTCATTAGGATTAAACCTAATCTGAAAAATAAATAAATATAGTCAAGGAATTTACAGAAACAAGAGATTTTTGATAACAAAATAACGAGTTTCTGATTGACATATAGTCAGTGGGCCTGATTACGTGGATTACATGGGAGATATAAATATATTTTTCTAAAAGTAGACTGGATCCTTGATCAAACAAAGATTGCGCGGTCATAACTTCACATATTGTTTTGCTCACAGGTTTTCCATTGTCTAACAATTTAATTTTATAGAGAATTCCACCTTGTATCTGCATCACTGACTGTCAAAGGGAAAAACAACAGGAACTAACCGTCTGTTTATCGTAATAACCCTCTGGTCTCCCTCCTCTTACAGTGTATTACAATACAAGCAGTAGGAGAACTCCTGACTTTCAAAACTAAGGCCAAATATCGGGACTGGAATTTGTCTGAATTCAAGTTTTCGTTTTCTTAACTTGGAAATTTTCAGCCTGAATTTGGAACTTGATTCTCAAGTCACCAAAATGTGCTGTTTAGTAAATAAACCCCTTATGTTAGAAGAAAGGCATATCTTCTCCGATATGGACGAGTGAAATAAAATGGACAAATGTGCAATATTCTAGAGCTCAATGCACCATGTTGGTATTTTAATTTATTTGTTTGTTTACATGTAGGCTGTATGGCAATGGAAACTAAACCAACTGATCCAGCAGAGGCTGATCGGACGCAGGAATTTTCCTCTCTGGGGGAAGGCTGGAGAAACCAGCGACCCTCCGACAAGTCGCGTGTCTACGTATACCTACAAGAATGAAGGCAGATTCAAAAATGCGACCTATGATGGAGACATGTCCTGGGGAAAGCCTGACGGAAAGTGAGTAACGTGTTTTTATTAAAAGTAACCCATAAGATGTGAGTTCTGTGCTAACATGGGTCCCTGAATGCTCACAGACTGTAGAAATTAGCTTAAAGGGGCACTATAAACACCGAAACAATTTTTTCATAATCAAGTGGTTTTGGTGTATAAATCATGCCCCTGCAGCCTCACTGCTCAATCCTCTGCCATTTAGGAGTTAAATCACTTTGTTTATGCAGCCATTGCCACACCTCCCTGCATGTGACTTACACATCCTTCCTAAACACTTACTGTAAAGAAAGATGCTTAACCCTCTTTTATTGCAAATTCTGTTTAATTTAGAATTTCTTATTGCTTGTTCTGTTAATAGCCTGCTAGACCCTGCAGAAGCCGGCGGGGAGGGGGAGAAGAGTGATTAAAGTTACATTTACAGAACAGAAGATAAAAAATGTCAAGTAAACCCACTGTGTTGCCACTCCTGATTAAAATTGAAACCATTTTTTAAAGCAGGCTGTGTCAGTCACAGCCAAGGGAAGTGTGTCTAGGGCTGCATTAACAGAAACAAAAGTGATTTAACTCCTGGCAAAGTATTGAGCAGTGAGACTTCAGGGGAATGATCTATACACCAAAACTGCTTCATTAACTAAATTTGTTTTGGTGACTATAGCGTCCCTTTATGCAAAAACACAAGAGATGAGCTTTGTCATATATACCTATTATCAGTCTTATTCAATGAGACTCCACAGGTAAATCCTGGACAGATGAATTTATTCATACGTAGGTTTATTGGAATTACATGTGTTTGTACCAGTTGAGCAGAATTTGCGCAATATTGACGATATTTAATTATTTAACAAGTTCCAGTTGTTAATTTGCATTTCTCGTTCCATCCATCCAGGGGCACGCTGAAATGGCCGGATGGACGGAATCACGTTGGAGATTTCCAATTTGGTCAAGAAAATGGGTAAGATCATGAATTTTAACTATAAATCCATATGTTAACTTTGTATTTTTATACCTTTTTTTTTTTTTTTGCTTGTTTCAAAAATAAAGAAATAACGAAGTAACACACAATCAAAAATATTGTCACTGAAAGACCTTGCAACAAAATTAACTGAAACAAAGCGACTTATTCGGGCAAAATTAGCTCATCTGAACCAATTAATCAATTTAGCTCTAGTCAAAGATTGGCTATTTTAGTCTAAATTTCTCCATTCAGATTATCTACAAATAGCACTCTAGTATATAATCCCATTAATATCACTTTATAAAAGCAGTGGCCTAGTGTTGGTTTGACCCTATTAATTCTCCTCTGCTTAAAGGTAACCTATACGGTAAATACAAAGTTTTATTCCTTACGCTATAGAACCCTCTGGTTGCCCCCTCCCTCGTACCTCCCACCCCCATTTTATAAAAGGATAAAAACAACTTTGTGTACTTGCCCAATTCCAGCACCAATCTTCCTTGGAGTTGAGTCGGTGCTCGGCCTCCTCCGACCTCATCTGAGTGCATTAGGCCCTCCACATGGAAAGCATTTCTTCATTTTTAGTGAATTTTAGTGACGCCAGATGTCCTCATGCAGAGCGTGAGAATGTCCAGCGTCAGGTGACGAAAAGCCAGTTGCCTCTAGTGGCTGTCTGATTGATTAAGCCACTCCTAGTCCTACAATGTAATTATTTCTCCAAAATTGCAGTGATTTACATTACAGGACTAAGTGGGACAGGGACACTTCACCCAGACCACTTCAACATTTGAAATACATGTTACGACTAAATGTTTGATATCTGCCAATAGAATGTATGTTTGAAGGACACTTTAGTTTCTGTTCCAGGCATAGTTCATTCTGTAACAGCTCTGTTAACCCCTTAAGGACTAAGCCAAATGTACACATTGTGAACAAAACAAAATGTAAACAAAACCTGGCATTTGCGCTACATGTCTGTCCAACCGTAATTCACCTCTTTCATATTAAATGCACCCACCCTTATTATATATCATTTTATTCAGGTGAAACAGGGCTTTCATTTAATATCAAATATTTAGCTATGAAACATAATTTAATATGAAAAAAATTGGAAAAAATACTATATTTTATTTTTTTAGTTCTACATGACATTTTAACTGTGAATGTCATAATACTGTTTGCTTTTACTGCAATAAAATACACATATTTGTATTCAGTAAAGTCTCACGTGTAAAACAGTACCCACTATGTACAGGTTTTATGGCGTTTTGGGAAGTTACAGGGTCAAATATAGTATGTTACATTTGAAATTGAAATTAGCCAGATTGGTTACATTACCTTTGAGACTGTATAGTAGCCCAGGAATGAAATTTACACCCATAATGGCATACCATTTGCAATAGTAGACAACCCAATGTATTGCAAATGGTGTATGTCTAGTCTTTTTTAGTAGCCATTTGGTCACAAACACTGGCCAAAGTTAGCGTTAGTATTTGTTTGTGTGTGAAAAAGGCAAAAAAATTCCAATTTTGGCCAGTGTTTGTGACTAAGTGGCTACTAAAAAAGACTGGACATACCCCGTTTGCAATACCTTGGGTTGTCTACTGTTGCAAATGGTATGCCATCATAGGGGTAATTTTCATTCTTGGGCTACCATAGGGTCTCAAAGGCAACGTAACCAATCTGGCGAATTTTAATGTGAAAAAAATGAAACACAAGCCTTATATTTGACGCTAACTTTTGAAAACATCATAAAACCTGTACATGAGGGGTACTGTTGTACTCGGAAGACTTCGCTCAACACAAATTTGTGTTTCAAAACAGTAAAAAGTATCACAGCAATAATATCGTCCATGTAAGTGCTGTTTGTGCATGAAAAATGCAAAAAAGTCACTTTTACTGGCGATATCATCGTTGTAATACATTTTACTGTTTTGAAACACTAATATTTGTGCTCAGCGAAGTCTCCCGAGTAGAACAGTACCCCCCATGTACAGGTTTTATGGTGTCTTGGAAAGTTATAGGGTTAAATATAGTGCTAGCAAATTAAATTCCCTTTACTTTCGGCATGGGTTGTCAGGCAGGTCCCGCTAATTGTAATGAATTAAGATACCTAATTATGTAAAAATATTACATAAATATATATGTAGAATTAATATATGTATATATATACGTATGTGAATCTATATGTGTATATATATATAATTTTTTAAAAATATTTTTATTTATATATAGGTATATATATATATATAGTGATATATATGTATATATTTATGTATGTAGATATATATATTATTTTGTTCTACGTGTATTTTTTTTTTCCAATTTGACAATTTTTATTTTTGTCGGAAGATAATGGTTCAGAGGGGTACAGAAAGGAAAAAAGGGGTGGGGGGGGTTCAGGGGGTTGCATTAAAAACCTGTTAGGATTGACATTACAGTTGATCATACCATTTGTTAGCATTCGTACAATTCCTGACAGTTCTATGTGCTTACATTGTGTAGTACTGATTGTGCTTCCAGACGTTTACATATGGGTTGTACAGTGGGTTGAGCGAATTATTGTACCCTGCCCTGCGCGTCCTCTGTGAGATGAGGAGTGGTACTTATTGTCCCTACATGTGGGTCTTCCCATGGTGGTGAGCAGGGTGTGCTTGTCCCCTCAAAAGAGACACAGATACAGATAGTATGCCCGTTCGAGGGGAAAAAGGTCTCCGTTGTGGAGGGCTATGAGTTGTCTGGCCATCTTTCCCTTGCGGGCTAATTCGGTCGCTGCTGGCCGACCTGTCTGGTCGTCTATGGTATATGATTTTTTTTTTTTTGCCTTCTCAGACTATCTGAGGTTGTTCCTCGGGTGCGTACCTCTGAACGGGGCCAGGTATAGGAGGAGGAGGGGAAAGACGGGGTGTAACAGGGGGGGAAAGGATAACTGGGATAACTAATGTGTCATGTGTGGCTGCTATGAACCATCGAGGTTCTGTTCTTACGTAGTTGTATCAGTGTTGGCAGTGCCCCTAGCTGCAGCTTGGAGGGTTCTTTTATCTATGTATGTGGTCCACATCTTTCTCGCTGTATCGCTCTCTTTGCCTGTTTTAGTTTGGTTCCACAATATCACCTCATAGTCCAGGGTGGTAGTGACCATTGCTGTCACCTCCGCCATGGAGGGGATCTGGGGGGTTTTCCAGTGTTTTGCCAGTAAGGTGGACGCTGAGGTGAGCGTGAGGAACATCAATTTAGTTATACTGTGGGGTATGTTGGCAGGCAGAAGTTTGAGCAAAAATGTTTCAGCGTTGTGTTCGAGGATGCAACCTGTGGCCCCTCTTATTATCTCTGCTATTCGTAACCAGTATGGTTGGACCTGAGTACATGACCACCAAATGTGTAGCATGGACCCTGTTTGGGTCAGACATCTCCAGCATTTGTCACTCATGTTGGGTAGATTCTCTTAAGTTTCGTAGGTACCAGGTACCACCTATATAGTAGTTTGTGTGAGGCTTCCAGGTGCGAGGCGCACGATGTGAGTCCCTTGTGGTTAGCATATATGTGGTTCCAGTCGTCTGGTGTGAGGGTTCTATTGATATCTCTGTGCCAGTCTTTTTGAAATTGCCACTCCGGATCTGGCTTATGTGCGTTTATGTGTCTGTAGCACACTGATAATGTATTTTGGGTGGGGGTGAGGTGAAGGCACATTTTTTCGAATGGAGTGAGGTTGGGAACAAATTGGGGTGGTGGTTCCTTGCCCGTATTGCTGTCTAGGAGTGTTTTCAGTTGCCAGTGTGAGAATGTTAGTTTGGCTGAGATATTGTATTTGGTCTGCAGTGTTAAGAACGGGAGCGGGCCGTTTTCGGTGCAGATTTGGTGTAGGTGTGTGATGTTGTGGGCTTGCCATGTTCTGTAAGGGAACGTGTTGTTGTGGAGTGCAATTGTTTTTAGTGGTGTTGCCATCGACCACGGTGTGGCTGAGCAAAATGCAACCCTGTGGTTGTCCCATATGTTGTATAGGAGTTTCGTGGTGGGTAGGGTGTCTCGGGGAACATTGCGTAGTGTCTTAGGCATCCACATAGCAGCTGCAAGGTCTGTTTGTCCTCCGCAGCTGGCTTCGATGGAGATTCACTGGGGGGTGTAAGTGGTGGAGTGCATTTGGAGCATGTTGGCGATGTATGTTGCATGGTAGTATGCCCTAAGGTCAGGGAATCCCAGACCTCCCTTTTCCGGGTGTCTCATTAATAAAGCTCGAGGGACTCTAGGGCGTTTTCCTCCCCAGCTAAATTTAATCAGGAGCGATTGTAGTCTTTGGATGTACGTCTGTTGTATGGGGATTTGTAGGGAGCGGAACATATAGAGGATTTTCGGTAATATCGTCATTTTGATGGCCGCAATGCGGCCTAGCCATGAAAGGAACTTGTTTTGCCATGAGTGTAGCGTTTGCTCCACTTCTTTGAGGAGCTTGATATAGTTGGTGGCAAATAAGCCTGAGTGGTGTTTTGTTAGCTTAATCCCTAAGAATGTCAAGTAGTCGGTCCTCCAGTCATAGTTGAAGTTGTGTTTGAAACGTTCCTCCTCTGATTTGGGCATGTTTATACACATGGCCTGTGTTTTGGTTAGGTTCAGCTGGTAATATGAGTGCGTGCTGTATTCTGTTATTTCTTTGTGGAGGTTGGGGAGTGAGATTGTCGGGTTGGTTATCGTGAGGAGTATGTCGTCCGCAAAAAGGTTCAGTGTGTACTCCCTGTCGCCTATTATTACCCCTTTGATGTTTTGGTTATTTCTGATGGCTATCGCTAGCGGTTCCAACGCTAGCACGTAGAGCACGGGGGATAATGGGCAGCCTTGCCTGATGCCGTTGGTTATTATAAAGGGGGCAGAACTGAACCCTGAATTGAGAACCGTGGCCGTTGGGGTGCTGTACAGAGCTCTTATCATGTTTTGGAAGTCCGGTGGGAACCCGTATCTCGACAACACCTCATGTAGGAATTGCCAATTGAGACGGTCAAATGCCTTCTCAGCGTCTAGGGAGAGGAGCGTGCTCTGTAGTGTGGAGCGGTTAAGGTAATGAAGTATGTCCAATACTTTCCGGGAGTTGTCTGGGCCTTGTCTGCCTGCCACGAATCCTACTTGGTCTGTTGAGATCAAACTGGGCAGGAATGTTTTGAGCCTAGCCGCATATATTTTAGCATATAGCTTGGCGTCAGCATTTAGTAGGGAGATAGGTCTAAAATTTGGGCAGATCGTTGGTGGTTTACCCGGTTTGGGTAGGGTTATAATGTGTGCTGCTAGGAATTCGGGCGGTAGGGTTCCCTGTTGCGTGGCTAGGTTGAGGGCTCGTGTGATGTAGGGGGTTAATATGTCCTTAAAAGTGGTGTAGTACAGATTGGTGAGGCCATCAGGGTCTGGGGCTTTGCCTTTTGGCATAGAATCAATGGTCTGTGTCACTTCTAGGGTGGTAATGGGGGCCGCGAGATCGGCTACTTGGTGTGCTTGGAGTTTGGGCATGTCAATTTTGTCGAGGTACTCCGAGATGGTGCGAGGGGTTGGCTGAGGTACTTGTGGGTTGTCCTTTAAGTTATATAGGGAGCTGTAGTACGTTGCAAATTCCTTGCAGATTTGAGTGGGTTGGGGCAGTTTCTGTCCCTGGGGAGAGAGTAAGTATGGGATCCTGGTTTGGGCTTGCTTATCCCTGAGTCTTTGGGCCAGAGTTTTGCTGGCTCTGTTACCCATGACAAAGGTGGTCGCTTTGAGTCGCTTCAGTGCATAGCTTGCCTTTTGGAAATTGGTAGTGTGGATTTGTCTTTGCAGGACAGCGATCTCTTCCTGCGTGGCCTTGGAGGGAGCCATTTGGTTTGTCCTGAATATGTGCATGTTGTTGTTGTTTTTTGAGGTGGGCTGCCCGTCTTATAAATATGCCCCTGATGACCGGTTTATGGGCCATCCAAAGGGTGAGCAAGGTAATGTCTGGGGTGTCATTGGTTTGAAAGTATGTCTGCATGTCTTGTCGTAGTGTTTGGGTGAATTGGTGATCAGTGAGAAGTTGCTCGTTGAGCCTCCAAGGGCCTCTGTTTTTGTAATTGTAGTGGTCTGCTAGTGTAAGTTCCACTGGGTTGTGATCTGACCAGGCAGAGGTACCTATCTCACATGCTACCGCGCGGTTCAGATGTGCGCTTTGCAAGAGGAAGCCATCAATTCTTGAGTAGGTGTTGTGTACCTGGGAGAAGTGTGTGTATTCCCTCTCGGTTGGGTGCAGTGTGCGCCATGCGTCGTACAAGCCGTGTGACTGTAGGAGCTTGGTTAGGGACTTACATTGCCTGTGGAGGACCTTGTGCCTATGAGGTGTATGCTTCGCTGTTGAGTCTAGCGCGGGGTCTTGGATCTGATTAAAATCTCCGCAAATGATCGTTGTGCCCGTTTGCGTTGAGGTTATGAGCCTCAAGAGGTTGTGGAGGTATCCACTTTGGTTTGTATTCGGCATGTACGTATTGACTATCGTGTATGTGGAGCTATTAATGGTGCAGATCAGTATAAGGTATCTCCCGTGTGGGTCTTTTGTGACCATTATTTCCTCAAATGCAAGGTGTCGGCTGATTAGGATGGAGACGCCTTTACGTTTTGTGGGCGCTGTGGCGTGATATTGGTGCGGGTATGTTGCTTTGCCCAGGACTGGGTTAGTGGTGGATTGGAAGTGTGTTTCTTGCAGGCAAATTATGTCTGCTTGGGCGTTTTTTAGATCTTTGAGTAGAATGTGTCTCTTGTGTGGGGTGTTCAGGCCCCTAACGTTGTGTGTGTGTATATCTTCATACTACTGTGTTAAGAGTGGGGTATGCTGTTCTGGAGCTCTGTGGATAGCTTGGGGTGCACAGGGTGCGCAGCTAAAAGGGCTTGCCATGTGATGTTGGAGTGCAGTGCTGACACATTTGGTTAAAAAAAACATACAATCATAAACCATAACATAATTAATATAAACGTAAAACAACATGTGAACGCCACTGTTGGGGCGTACAGAGGTATCAACTTGGAGGTCATGGGTCTAACCTCCTTGGTTAGGGGGTAGGTGGCCGTGTCTGGCCGGTCTAGGTCTGATCCCGTCCTGCAACGGTGGCCAGAGCTCGGTAACTGCTTGCACTGTAGGTCGGTTGGGGGCTACGGGGAGAAGGTCGGTGCTTATGGAGAGGGTTTAGTCTGTCTCAGTGCGGTCATGGGGGCTGCCCTGTGGGGTGGTGTTCATGGTTCTTCTGGTTATGGGGGGGGTCTGTTGTTCCGGTCTCCCACTATCTTTGTGATTTTTTTTTTTTTTTTTGCCCTTGGTATATTTTGTTTAGTCTGTCTTGCGTCATGATGTCTTTGTGGTTGTGGGGCCTGTGGTTGGGGGGTTCATCAGGGTTTTGAGAAAGGGGGTCCGTCTAAATTCGCTGTAGGTCCTCGTGACCTGTGTCTCGATCGCGTACGTCTTTACTTAGTACCGTGTGTGTCTAGTATCTGTCTAGTATCTGTCCCACCGGTGTTACCCTGTTATCTGGGCCCATGGGCATATTCCCCTATCTCCCATCTCCTAGCTGTTGGGTGTATAAACCCCGCTCTCAGTCCTTACATGTCGACCTGTCCCCGCAGACCAAACCTGTGGAGAGTGTCCCATAAAGTTCATCGCATCAGTCGCTGGGTGTTCCTTCTCGGCTTGGGCGTTTTCCATTCCCCTTGGATCTTGTCGATTCGTAATGGTCCTTTTTCGGACGTGGTCTCGGTTAGTCCCCAGGTTTGCAGAAGCTCTACTCCCTCTTGGTTAGAGGTTATCACGTGTATCTTGCCGCCTTTGTGGATCAGGAGTTTCACTGGGTAGCCCCAGCGGTATTGAATGGTGTGGTGCCGGAGAGTCTCCGTGATGTTGCGGTACGATCTCCTTCTCCGCAGGGTTTCCGCTGATAGGTCCGCAAATATCAGGACATCTTTGAATTTCTCGTTCCCGCTCCGTCCGGTTCGGTTGGCCTTGAGGATCTGTTCTTTCACGTGGAAATAATGGACTCGCAGCAAGACATCTCGTGGGTTGGAGGTGGGTAGGTGTGCGGGTCTCGCTGTTCTGTGGATCCTGTCCAGGATCAGCATATCCGCTGGGATATCTGGCAGCATGGAGTGGAAGTATTCAGTGACGTAAGCTGTGAGTTCGATTTGGGTGATTGCTTCTGGAATGCCTCTCAGTCGTAGGTTGTTACGGCGTGAGCGGTCCTCCATATCCATGAGTTTGTACTCACAGCGTTCCATTTTGCTTTCCAGCTCCTCTACCCTGTCAGCCATTGTGTTTTGGGCTACAGTGAATTCCTCCATTTTATTTTCTAAATGGGAGGTGCGGTTGCCAATGTCTGCTATATCTTTATGTAACTCTGCCACTGCTGCTTGTATTGTTACTTGCATTTTGTGTGCTAGGGAGTCCAGCATATGTTGCAGGGTCGGCTTATCCACCGCCATTCCCGCCAGTGATTCGCCGTCGGCGTCTGACTCGGCGCCATCTTGGGCTGATGCGTCCGCGTTTTTATTTTGCAGTGCACTGGCCGTGAAAAAGGACGCCTTGTCCTTGGCCTCTGGTGGTTTTTTCGTGCGGTGTTGGGACATGCTGGTAGGTGTTTTCGGTGCTCGTGGGTGCTGTGTTATCGCTGTGTATTAAGCTTTTCACGAGCCTGGCCGTCGGAGCTCGTTCAGCCTGCGACCATCCGGCTCGGCTTCCGGTCACGCCCCCCATCTATATATTTTTTAATTATTTATTTGTAATTATTTTTTAATTTTATTTTTTAATGTATTTACATATTTTTTTTTATATTATATATAAATATATATATATTAATAGTAAAATACACCTAGACAGTGTGTGTGTGTGTGTATGTGTATATACAGGGAGTGCAGAATTATTAGGCAAATTAGTATTTTGACCACATCATCCTCTTTATGCATGTTGTCTTACTCCAAGCTGTATAGGCTCGAAAGCCTACTACCAATTAAGCATATTAGGTGATGTGCATCTCTGTAATGAGAAGGGGTGTGGTCTAATGACATCAACACCCTATATCAGGTGTGCATAATTATTAGGCAACTTCCTTTCCTTTGGCAAAATGGGTCAAAAGAAGGACTTGACAGGCTCAGAAAAGTAAAAAATAGTGAGATATCTTGCAGAGGGATGCAGCACTCTTAAAATTGCAAAGCTTCTGAAGCGTGATCATTGAACAATCAAGCGTTTCATTCAAAATAGTCAACAGGGTCGCAAGAAGCGTGTGGAAAAACCAAGGCGCAAAATAACTGCCCATGAACTGAGAAAAGTCAAGCGTGCAGCTGCCACGATGCCACTTGCCACCAGTTTGGCCATATTTCAGAGCTGCAACATCACTGGAGTGCCCAAAAGCACAAGGTGTGCAATACTCAGAGACATGGCCAAGGTAAGAAAGGCTGAAAGACGACCACCACTGAACAAGACACACAAGCTGAAACGTCAAGACTGGGCCAAGAAATATCTCAAGACTGATTTTTCTAAGGTTTTATGGACTGATGAAATGAGAGTGAGTCTTGATGGGCCAGATGGATGGGCCCGTGGCTGGATTGGTAAAGGGCAGAGAGCTCCAGTCCGACTCAGACGCCAGCAAGGTGGAGGTGGAGTACTGGTTTGGGCTGGTATCATCAAAGATGAGCTTGTGGGGCCTTTTCGGGTTGAGGATGGAGTCAAGCTCAACTCCCAGTCCTACTGCCAGTTCCTGGAAGACACCTTCTTCAAGCAGTGGTACAGGAAGAAGTCTGCATCCTTCAAGAAAAACATGATTTTCATGCAGGACAATGCTCCATCACACGCGTCCAAGTACTCCACAGCGTGGCTGGCAAGAAAGGGTATAAAAGAAGAAAATCTAATGACATGGCCTCCTTGTTCACCTGATCTGAACCCCATTGAGAACCTGTGGTCCATCATCAAATGTGAGATTTACAAGGAGGGAAAACAGTACACCTCTCTGAACAGTGTCTGGGAGGCTGTGGTTGCTGCTGCACGCAATGTTGATGGTGAACAGATCAAAACACTGACAGAATCCATGGATGGCAGGCTTTTGAGTGTCCTTGCAAAGAAAGGTGGCTATATTGGTCACTGATTTGTTTTTGTTTTGTTTTTGAATGTCAGAAATGTATATTTGTGAATGTTGAGATGTTATATTGGTTTCACTGGTAATAATAAATAATTGAAATGGTATATATTTGTTTTTTGTTAAGTTGCCTAATAATTATGCACAGTAATAGTCACCTGCACACACAGATATCCCCCTAACATAGCTAAAACTAAAAACAAACTAAAAACTACTTCCAAAAATATTCAGCTTTGATATTAATGAGTTTTTTGGGTTCATTGAGAACATGGTTGTTGTTCAATAATAAAATTAATCCTCAAAAATACAACTTGCCTAATAATTCTGCACTCCCTGTATGTATATGTGTGTGTGTGTATATGTGTGTATATGTATGTGATCTAAGTATATAATTATTATTTTTTTTTACACTTATTAACATTATTTTATTTTACTTCCAGCCAGCAGGGGGACTACCTGTCATTACAGGCAGTCCCTCTGCTGGCAATGCAGCAGGCAGCTAACCCGGCCATGTGTTTGTGAGGGGCTGCAGGAGGTCTGATGTGCCGCGGGGGGCTCCCTGGGAGTCCCCCCAACCGCGATCCCTGGCGTGGGATCGCCGGCGACCGGGCAAGTAAAAAAAACGGAGGGCGTACTATTACGCCCGGCGGCGTTTAGAGCCGCCTAAAATAAGGCGTAATAGTACACCCTCTGGTCTGAAGGAGTTAAAGAAACACTCCGAACACATAAACGTCAACTTACTGAGTGAAAGTGTGCCTTTGTTATTCAGTTTATAAAATGCCAGTTTCAATACAATATAGTACTTTTATAAATTAACTTTGTTAACCCCACCCCCCCCAGCTTTTCAATCAGACAACCGGTCCTGTTAATTCCTGGTTTGTTTAGCTCAGTGAAACCAAACTCAAGAGGCAGCAACTGCCCAGAGCACCTGCCTTGCAAAGACTTCTCATTAGGTTACACTTGGAAGTCTGTGATTGGACAGCCACAGAAAGGCTGGGCGGGGTTAGAAGGGGAGGGCTTGCAGTAGCTGTAGGTAGATCCACAGCTAGTGTGAGCCAAGATTTTATATAACCCCAAATAAAACATCGAGCACAAATTACCTGCAAATCCTCTGTTATATGTATTAAATTATTAACATTTTTTTGGAGTGTTGATTTAATGTGTCCATAAGGGAGCACACTGTGACTGACACTGCTCTTTGGCCATAGGTTTGGAGTTTACTTGGTTCCCAGCTCTTTGCCGGACAGATATGACTGCTACAAATGTCACTGGCAGAACGGAGTCATGCAAGGCTATGGAATCTGTGAGTAAGTAGCTTCTATTCCGCCACATAACCAAGCTAAAGAGACCTCCTTTTACTCAAGGGCTGTGTGTTGAATTTGGATTTAAAATCTTGTATTTTGCAGAATTTTCCTGTTCAATATTTAGTAAATAATGACCTAAAGTGTGAATTGACAGACATTGAAAGTGAATATATACACTGTATACATAACTCTCCCTTTGTTGATTATATATATTTCCACCTTGCTGCTTCTAACTCTTTTTGTCGGTTTCTGTCTGTGTCGATTGCTGTCTGTGCCGGTTGCTGTCTGTCTCTCTGTCGGTCTCTCTGTGTTTCTTTTTGTTTGACGGTGTTTCTCTCTTACATTTGTCAGCCATTTACTGGTGATATTAAGATATTAAATTAAAAGCTGTTCTTCGTGGAATTTACCATATTGTGAATGTGGATTGCTTCTTGTTTGTTTTTGTTTTTTAATGAAGTTTTTTTTTTTTTTTTTAATGTTCTATAATCATAGAAACAAATAGTGTTGAATATTTCGGTTAATGTTAAATCATTCTTACCAGGTATGCTGATGAGTCCGTGTACAAAGGGTATTTCAAAGACAACATGCGCCATGGCTATGGGATTCTGGAAAATCTGGCATCAACCACAGACCCATTTAAATACACCGGCAATTGGCATAAAGACAAGATGTCAGGATACGGAGTCTGTGAGAGCACGCAGAAGTAAGTAAAAAAAAAGAAAAAAGAATTAAAACAATGGGATTTTCGTATTGAAGGGAAAGTAACTATTGAAATTGATTGATGTCAGAGCTGTGTGCATTGCTTTCCTACCAATGGCTGCAGCCACAGGGCTCGAGTCAATAGCAAAATCCAATTAACCACGAAAGGAGGAAGAGAACATCTGAGAAACATTGGGTAGAAACCGAAATTAGCCGGATTGGAACACAGAGAAAGAAAGGAAGGTCAGAAACAGGTAGAGGTATAGATAAAAGCCTGGAGTAGGAGACTGGAACTGAGGGACCAGCATGGAGTAGGAGACTGGAACTGAGGGACCAGCCTGGAATAGGAGACTGGAACTGAGGGACCAGCCTGGAATAGGAGACTGGAACTGAGGGACCAGCCTGGAATAGGAGACTGGAACTGAGGGACCAGCCTGGAATAGGAGACTAGAACTGAGGGACCAGCCTGGCATAGGAGACTGGAACGAAGGGACCAGCATGGAGTAGGAGACTGGAACTGAGGGACCAGCCTGGAATAGGAGACTGGAACTGAGGGACCAGCCTGGAATAGGAGACTGGAACTGAGGGACCAGCCTGGAATAGGAGACTGGAACGGAGGGACCAGCCTGGAATAGGAGACTGGAACGGAGGGACCAGCCTGGAATAGGAGTCTGGAACGGAGGGACCAGCCTGGAATAGGAGTCTGGAACATTAGGGACCAGCCTGGAATAGGAGTCTGGAACATTAGGGACCAGCCTGGAATAGGAGTCTGGAACATTAGGGACCAGCCTGGAATAGGAGTATGGAACATTAGGGACCAGCCTGGAAAAGGAGTCTGGACATAGGAATAGAGACTGGAATGAGACTACATTGAACAAAGAATGGATAAGCTGACATTTGTATAGCTCTTAGCATTTCAAATGGACAGAGAGTGACACTTCAATTTTAGGGTGTGGCTAAGAGTGGGGGCTGTTCTTGAGACATTCAGGTGACTTACCCATAACAATTTATAAAACTAAAAATGTAATGTAGAGCAATGAATCTTATTTACACAGACTGTTTCTAAACACATTTGTTATATTTTATAGGATAGTCCCTTCTTTAAGCCCAAATCCCTCCATCTCTTTCTAGGAAATCATTATTCAGAGTATATCTGGTTTTATAACGGAGTTCAAGCTGATGGGATTTATAGTTTTATTGTTGCTAAAAAGGTCCACATTTCCAACACTGTGAACATACTGGGTTAAATTGGGATATTTGTTGGGATAGCTTGCCAAAGACTCATAGTAAGTCCTGGTGCAAAACAATAGGGGCACTTTGCAATTAGCCGCCTAAGTTAAAATACAGATTTTAAAACGTATTTATTAGAAAAAGAATATATATATATTTTTTTTTTTTTAAGAAATTTCCATAAAACTCATTTTAGGATTAAGTAGCAAATCAGAGTAATGGTCTCCAGGATTCCAAATAATTCGTGGTGATCTTCCAATGGTGCCCATATTCCCTCACCCCTGAAACTCTATCTAGAAAAATACTGCAGACGGGGTGTGTGTGTGTGTGTGTGTGTGTGTGTGTCTCATCGCATTGGGAAGTCTATGGCAGCCACAGAAAGTCTGGTTGGGGTCAGAATGGGATGGCTTGCAGTAGCTGTAGGTAGATCTGCAGCTATTGCCCATTATACATAAACTAACTGAATTCAAGATGATTAAATGGTAATTACTTCTTTCTACAGAAGTGAGCGTTACATAGGAATGTGGCAGAAGAACCAAAAGCATGGTCATGGAATCGTACTTATGGATTCGGGCACGTGTTATCAAGGTGCCTTTGCGCTCAACAAGTTTGTGGTAAGTCACTTCTCTCCATAAGTGTGCATGGACCCTAACGCAGTGCGTGGACATAGATAGATATATAGAAACAAAGTATAATAACACATTGTCCCATTTTATTTACATTTAATGTAACCGGATATAGGGCACACAAAATAAGGAAAACATTGGGGATATTAAAAGGTGAAACCTCATTATCCTCCAACCATAAAATTTGGAAGGTAGCATATCTTACTCAGCAGGACACGTAGGGTCTAATTTATATATTTTTTTAACAACCCTGTAATGACAAAATATATTACAAGGCATTAGTTCCTGTTGACATCACCCATTTTACATTAAACTTCCACCAGTACTCCTTCCCATGACAAATATCTCCGCAAGTTATAAAGCTTAGATCCTTTTTTTGCTCTATGTCCTTCACTTTGTATCTGCGATGCTTTGTGTCCATCCAATGCCTTTAAAATCATTCAATCATTATTATTCGAGACTCTTTTTTTCTTTTACGTAATCATGGAGCAAACATGTTTTGTTTTTCTTTTTATATTTGATTGTATTTGTTGTGTAATTTACTATAGCTATTTTATTGCATATTCTATAAACTTACTTTTATAGTATTTGTTTAATACTTAACACAGTCGATTAATCTTTTTATTGTATTTGCGATGAACTGACTATAATTACAATTTATCTTTGTAAACGGACATTGAGTGGAAGATTTCTACATTTTTCCTTGAGGTTATTAACAGATGAGTAAATAAAGGTTGTTTGTGTTTATTTTTTAGGGTTCCGGTATTCTCCTTTCAGAAGACTCCTCCGTGTATGAGGGAGAGTTCACAGAGGAATGTCTGTTGGCTGGGAAAGTTAGTATTAAATCCTGCATCCCAATTCTCTTTCACTGTGCATATCCTTGTAATCTATTTAGGTCATAGTTAAACACGTCCTGTCACAAAGTAAATATTTGGGTGGAACGAACATTTAAAGCACCCGCTTACTTCTAACATTATCAGTCAGGGTTTTTTATGACAGCATTAAAGAGACACAGAAGTTACCATAACAGCTTAATGTATATAATACAGCTTATTGTATATAATACAGTTTAATGTAGTTATTCTGGTGAATTGGTCCCTGCAGAGTTTTTATTGTAAACACTATCTTTTCAGAGGAGAAAAACATTGTTTACATTGTTTCTTAGGGACACCTCTAGGTAAAGTCACTTAGATGTGTACTAGAGGTACTACCTAGTCCAGTGCTACACAATGTGCACTCCACCACATGGAGGTGTTGAACGTTGCTCATAATTCCATGCGTCTCTGTGAGGAAATGCTGATTGGCTGATGCCGATTGGCATGCACACTAGCCTCCCAATGTTTTCCACTGGGGAAGAATTGGATTGTCTGAAATCAATTTTGATCTCAGTGGTGCCAGCCACGATGAGACCGGCATGGTGTAAATAAAAAAAAGTGAGTTTAACCCCTTCCCGACCGCAGATGAAAATTTTCCGTCAACTTTGTCCTTCAGTTAAGGACCGTTGACGGAAAATTTCCGTAATTTACTAAAGTTAACCCCAGATCGCCGCGAACGCGGGGTTAACGGTACTCCGGTCTGCCTCTGTACTAGAGGCAGACCGGGAGCATCGGATCGTGCTGCCCCAGCACCAGTGCTCGCTCTGACAGCCTGTCAGAGCGAGCACATGTGCTCAGTATACTCACCTTACGCCTCCCTGCACTTCCGGGTTCTGTGTGAAATGCAGGGAGACGGATCAGTGCTGCTGATCTTCTCCCTGTGTAAAAAAAAATAAATAATAAAGTCCTGCTTTAATAAAATTAACCCCTTCCCTGCCAATTGATCACTGACTACAGTGATCAATTGGCAGGGTATACATTTTCCTCAGGGGTTAAATTTATTTTATTGATTTAAATATTTAAAAATTATATATTTAGCTAGCTGGGATGGGTGGAAGTTAGTGGGGAATTGGGGAATTTGGTGTTAGGCTAACTAGGGGTAAACGTTAAAGTTTTAAAATAAGCTTTAAAAAGGTTAAAAAAAAGTTTTAAAAAATGTTTAGTAATGTTTAAGTAAAAAAAAAAAAAATACCAACCCCCTTTACCCAGTCTAAATAAAAATTAACCCTTCCCTGCCAGTTGATCACTGCCTACAGTGATCAAAATACAGATCACAGTATTATACTGTAATCTCATTTCTTTTAACCCCTGAGGATTAACGTTTGTTTATTTTTTTTTAACCCCCAGGGGTTCAATTTATTTAATTAATTTAAATATTTTATAATTGTATATATTTTGCTAGCTGGAGTGGGTGGGAGTTATGGGAAAGGAGGAATTTACTGTTAGTGCTGCCTAAAAAACGTTAAAGTGTAAAACATTTAATAAGTAAAAAAAAAAAGTTTAAAAATGGGTTTTACAAAGTAAAAAAAGTTTTACAAAGTAAAAAAATACATTTAAAAAATGCACATTACCACTACACTTGGTACAAGCTAGCAGAAAAATGATCCCACGCCAAGGTTCAAAATATGCCTTTTGAATTGCCCTGGGATGTCTTCTTTAAGAAATGGTATGCCTTTATGGTGTAATTGTAATATGTAGCCTGCTCAAGTGCTCCAAAGTGGGACACGGACGCATCAAAACCCTCCATGAAAATTCACACTTAAAAACCTTAACTTGTCACGTCTCTTTTACAGTAGTGTAACTTCACAAAATAGTGTCTAGGTCATACAGTGGGCATATTGTTTCTTTTACTCAGAAGACTTAGCTGAGCATAATTTGGGGGGTTTGAACTTAGTGGCACATATGAAATGTACAAAATGCCCAGCAAAAATGTAATACGTATGTAAAAAAAAATGCCCCAAATTATTTTTTACCACATACTTTGGCATATATTGGTGAAAAAAATGGGGGCGTGTTAAGGCACAATATGCACCATATGAGATACCTTGGAGTGTCTACTTTTACAAATGGTAGGCCTTTGTGGGGTTTTTTTGAACAGTCAAACTGCTATAATACCCCAAATTGAAGCATAGGCCCATTAAATCCGCCTACTGTAAATGTTGAAACGGACAGGTCTCCTATATGGCACTGTAGCTTCACGAAATAGTGCCAAAGACATACAATGGGGGTATCGTACTCAGCAGAAGTAACTGAACACAAAATAAAATTTTGTACAGGAATAGCACACACAAACTTTACAAAATATACATGAGAAGTTCTTTGTTATAAGTTTGTGTGCCAAAAACCCCCAAAAACTAAATTTTACTCCAATATTTAGCAGAGGTTGGCGGTGAAATGGCTTCATAGAAAGTGTCAAAACAACCTTAGGTAAATAGCCCGTGATGTCTACTTTATATAAATATATACTTTTGTGTGGCAATTTTGTTTTCTTTTATGGCTATTAAGTTTACAATACTAATACCAAATTCTAAACTCGCTCCACATTAAAGGTTTATTTTACTCCTTGTACTTTGTAACTACCAAAAAAAAACTTAAAATCCCAGACACATTATATATTCTGTAAATCAGAACAACTAAATTAATTTATTTTTAATTACTTTCTTTAACCTCCACTAATTAGGCATACATTATTATAGCAAAAACTGTACAAAAAACACAAAATTGTTCTTTTTTTGTGTGCATTTTTCTGTATTTTTTAAAATAATAAATAAGTGTGTATAAATATGTATACACATCAAATTACATCAAATTGAAGCCCTTTCTGTCCTTTAAAAAATCAGTATATAATATGTGTCGGTGCAATAAACGAGAGAGATGCAAATTGCAGTTGAACGCATAGAGCAAGAAAATGCAAAAATTGCTTTTGTCATTAAGCGTAAGACGAGCTTCTGAAGCTGTGTCCTTAAGGGGTTAAACACCTTTTTACTGTGATCTAAGGAGGACCGGAGACCTAAATAGTTTAACACTATAATATTAGGAATACATGTTAGTGTTCCATTAACGAGTCCCTATTGAAGGTTCACAATGATAGGATCAGCTTGTTATCCGCAATGTCATGAAAGCCATATGGATAAACGATTTCATCTAGATCAGATTTACTCATCGTCCTATACGTAGTCAAAAATCATGCATAAAAAATATTTTTCTTATCTATTTAAGTGCTATAAACGATCACAAAAGCTAAAGATATCATATTTTTATGTATTTTTCACTAATTAGCATATTTGTGTATAATCTAACAGGCCCCAATAGGAAGTTTCTAAGTCCATTGTATTTTTAAATTTATTTTAAGGGGAAGCTCACGTTTAACAATGGATTTACTCTGGTTGGAAGCTTTAACAAAAGCCAGACCGCAGGTCTGCAAACCCAAGGAGTCCTTCATACTTCATGTGAGGACCAGAATGGAATCATGAAGAGGAAATTGTAAGTAATTATCAGAACCATCTCATTACCAGAATTTATTTATTTATTCGTTTTTAGGCCTGAATTCTAGGCAATGTCATTAATGTAAGACGTCCCAGAATGTGGTATCCTTTGAGTATATTTTATTTTCAAAAATGTTTTTCTACATATTGCACCACTAAGTGGTGCATCTTAATTTGGTTGATGGCTACATATTATAGTTGATAACATTTTCTCCATTAACTGATATTTACGTGAGATGATTTTGGAGAAGATCGGTGTGGTTTTACGATTTTACAGTTTTGTTACTGCAGTTGTCGAAAAAAAATATTCAAAGTGTCAAAATAATATATTGTGATCTCTTCCTGAACTTTCCTAGTGACAGAGCTGCATGTTTATTACCCATTAGAGATTCTACAAAATATTATTTGTATATGTTTTGTATTTTCATTCCAAAGCCAGCTTGGTGTTGGGTTATTACCTGTAGAGGAGCGATGGCATGGGATTTTTGAGAACTTCCAGAAATTCCTTGAATCGGGCTGCAAAAGAGAAACGGAAGAATCATTCCTAGGTTTCCATGTGAAATCAAACAAGAAACTGCAGAAATCTCAGGAGTACCTGCACTGTCAGAGGTGAGAGACGGATGGGAGTATTTATTTATCTCTAGTACCTGCACTGTCAGAGGTGAGAGACGGGTTGGAGTATTTATATAATTCTAGTACCTGTACTGTCAGAGGTGAGAGACGGATGGGAGTATTTATTTATCTCTAGTACCTGTACTGTCAGAGGTGAGATGGACGGGAGTATTTATCTAACTCTAGTAACTTTACTGTCAGAGGTGAGACGGGCGGGAGTATTTATCTAACTCTAGTACCTGTACTGTCAGAGGTGAGAGATGGACGGGAGTATTTATTTATCTCTAGTACCTGTACTGTCAGAGGTGAGAGACGGACGGGAGTATTTATTTAACTCTAGTACCTGTACTGTCAGAGGTGAGAGACGGACGGGAGTATTTAACGCTAGTACCTGCACTGTCAGAGGTGAGAGGCGGATGGGAGTATTTAATTCTAGTACCTGTACTGTCAGAGGTGAGAGACGGACGGGAGTATTTATCTCTAGTACGTGAACTGTCAGAGGTGAGAGACGGATGGGAGTATTTATTTAATTCTAGTACCTGTACCGTCAGAGGTGAGAGATGGACAGGAGTATTTAACTCTAGTACCTGCACTGTCAGAGGTGAGAGATGGACGGGAGTATTTATTTAACTCTAGTACCTGCACTGTCAGAGGTGAGAGACGGGTTGGAGTATTTATATAATTCTAGTACCTGTACTGTCAGAGGTGAGAGACGGATGGGAGTATTTATTTAATTCTAGTACCTTTACTGTCAGAGGTGAGAGACGGACGGGAGTATTTATCTCTAGTACCTGTACTGTCAGAGGTGAGAGACGGACGGGAGTATTTATTTAACTCTAGTACCTGTACTGTCAGAGGTGAGAGACGGACGGGAGTATTTAACGCTAGTACCTGCACTGTCAGAGGTGAGAGGCGGATGGGAGTATTTAATTCTAGTACCTGTACTGTCAGAGGTGAGAGACGGATGGGAGTATTTAACGCTAGTACCTGCACTGTCAGAGGTGAGAGGCGGATGGGAGTATTTAATTCTAGTACCTGTACTGTCAGAGGTGAGAGACGGACGGGAGTATTTATCTCTAGTACGTGAACTGTCAGAGGTGAGAGACGGATGGGAGTATTTATTTAATTCTAGTACCTGTACTTTCAGAGGTGAGAGACGGACGGGAGTATTTATCTCTAGTACGTGAACTGTCAGAGGTGAGAGACGGATGGGAGTATTTATTTAATTCTAGTACCTGTACCGTCAGAGGTGAGAGATGGACAGGAGTATTTAACTCTAGTACCTGCACTGTCAGAGGTGAGAGATGGACGGGAGTATTTATTTAACTCTAGTACCTGCACTGTCAGAGGTGAGAGACGGGTTGGAGTATTTATATAATTCTAGTACCTGTACTGTCAGAGGTGAGAGACGGATGGGAGTATTTATTTATCTCTAGTACCTGTACTGTCAGAGGTGAGAGACGGATGGGAGTATTTATTTAACTCTAGTACCTGCACTGTCAGAGGTCAGAGACGGGTTGTAGTATTTATATAATTCTAGTACCTGTACTGTCAGAGGTGAGAGACGGATGGGAGTATTTATTTAACTCTAGTACCTGCACTGTCAGAGGTGAGAGACGGGTTGGAGTATTTATATAATTCTAGTACTTGTACTGTCAGAGGTGAGAGACAGACGGGAGTATTTAATTCTAGTACCTTTACTGTCAGAGGTGAGAGACGGATGGGAGTATTTATTTATCTCTAGTACCTGTACTGTCAGAGGTGAGAGACGGATGGGAGTATTTATTTAATTCTAGTACCTGTACTGTCAGAGGTGAGAGACGGATGGGAGTATTTATTTAACTCTAGTACCTGTACTGTCAGAGGTGAGAGACGGATGGGAGTATTTATTTAATTCTAGTACCTGTACTGTCAGAGTTGAGAGATGGACGGGAGTATTTATTTAACTCTAGTACCTATACTGTCAGAGGTCAGAGATGGACGGGAGTATTTATTTAATTTTAGAACCTGTACTGTCAGAGGTGAGAGACGGACGGGAGTACTTAATTCTAGTACCTTTACTGTCAGAGGTGAGAGACGGACGGGAGTATTTATTTATCTCTAGTACCTGAACTGTCAGAGGTGAGAGACGGATGGGAGTATTTATTTAATTCTAGTACCTGTACTGTCAGAGGTCAGAGATGGACGGGAGTATTTATTTAATTCTAGAACCTGTACTGTCAGAGGTGAGAGACGGATGGGAGTATTTATTTATCTCTAGTACCTTTACTGTCAGAGGTGAGAGACGGATGGGAGTATTTATTTAACTCTAGTACCTGTACTGTCAGAGGTGAGAGACGGGTTGGAGTATTTATATAATTCTAGTACCTTTACTGTCAGAGGTGAGAGACGGACGGGAGTATTTATTTAACTCTAGTACCTGTACTGTCAGAGGTGAGATGGACGGGAGTATTTCATTCTAGTACCAGTATATCTACTGTCAGAGGTGAGAGATGGATGGGTGTATAACTCTTGTACCTGTACTGTTATAAGTGAGATACAGACGGGAGTGTTTATCTCATTCTATAACACAATGCTCAAACACCTACGTGACAAGTGTAGCAGGACTTTGTTGAGAAAACATCTTACTATTCCATTTCATGCAGGTTTAATTAGTAATTTCTTAATGTTTAGATATGTTGACGTGCTGTCATGCAAGAGGTCAGTATACGCTACCTGACTGATGATCAAACTGCTTTTAACATTGGAGTGACGGCAATTTAACCAGTAGTAAGGGATGTGGTCATTACAGTAGCTTATATTCACTTATATTATCACATAGTAAAAGCTAATATTTCACGATGGGTCACAATTAAAGTACCACTGTCACTTTTTATGTTTTTCATAAAGTTGGCATTTTTATAGAATAAGTTATAGAATCTTGGTTGGAAATTCACTGAAATTCCAGTGAGATCAGAAGAAGTACAAGAAATGGAGTAGAAACTAGTGAATCCAATAAATTATACAAAGTGCAACACTGACAAGTCAGGTAAGAAATGGCACAACATAATGCGAAACTGTATATTCAAAGTATATAAAATATGTGTCAAATGGCCACTCACAATTTGTAAGAGATAAAAAGGCCTTATCCATAACTGCAGTGGGAACCAGGCTGTGAGCGACCAGGGACCCTCATTCGGAGTTACCTGCAGTATCACAAAACTTCATAGACCTTCCTCCAATAGCTACCGGTCTGCCGGCACCACCACCAAATTTAGGGAGTTAGATATTCAAAGCTGAAGACTGCGAACAGATCTACATCCACATCCAATATACTGAAGGCCTTTTTTATCTCTTACAAATTGTGAGTGGCCATTTGACACATATTTTACATATGTTTAAATTATGTTGTGCTATTTCTTCCCTGACAGGGTAAACCTTATTTTTATACAATGATATTTCCTGAAGATTCTATTGAGGAAATCTTGTGGGCTCTCTATTCTTGAAGGGAAGTTTATTTATTTATTCATTATATTAATTGCACTTTGATCACTAAAAGCACTCGATTTAATTGTGGAAGTCACTGCTTTATAATACTTAACACCAACAAGTATCTGTTGCAAAATATGAATACTGTGCAGAATCATAACCTGATTCATGATGGTTTGTATCTATCCATTTGTCTGTCTGTTTATATCTACCATGTTTCCCCGAAAATAAGAAAGGGTCTTATATTAATTTTTTCTCCAGAAAACACACTAGGGCAGAGGTAGGCAACCTACGGCACTAGTGCCATGCACGGCACTCAAGGTGTCTTTGCATGGCACTCAAGGCTGCTAGAGCCAAACGCACTCTGGCCTATCAGGAGTCCTAATACGAAAAGGTGGTGAAGGACAATCCTCAATTTAAGCATTGCAGCACGTAGAGGAAGTAATCTCAGATCACTTCGTTCCAGCACTTGTGAATGAAATCCACATTGGAGTAGAGCAGCCTGCAGCTGCTGTTGCAGCTCCTGTCCTTGATTGGACCCCGGGGAAGCCATCCACACTGCTAGATATACATAGAGCTGCAGAATAACTCTCCCCTCATACAAATAATACGAACAGCCCACAAACAAACATACACACAATCCGCACAAACGTAACCCGCTAACAATCCACATACATGCACACAACCCCACATGCAGCCTCTCACATGCAATACCCCAAACAGCCCCCACACACTACCAAACACACAATGTGACATTTCCATTCACACACAATTCCACGAGCAGCCCCCATACACAGCCCACGTTCATATGTATCATACACGATACCATAAACTACTAATGAACATATACAATATAATAGTTCATATACGCACAAATACAAAGATACAAAGCAATTACAGGATAAATAACACAAGCAGAATACGGCAACATACACACCTCAATTTAAAACAATAGGACCGGCACGCTATGGGACATCACAATCCTATATCGGCACAGTGCTGCTAAAAGGTTGCCTACCCCTGCACTAGGGCTAACATTTATTCAAAGACAATCGTGTCTTCTTCTTCTGGAACATCATCATAGTTCTCCAAACCCTGAATTCCTGAGTTTCTTGCGACTCCATTTCCCTAATCTCTCATGTCCAGCGATATAGCTCTCCTTAAATGAGTACTTCTTGGCCATGTAGCCTGCTCAGTGCATTGGCAACACTACTGTCAGTGATTTTATCCCATTAATTCTTCACCCAAGTCACAACCTCTTGCAGGCCAGGCTTTACAAAGTTTCCACGTTGATTACTCTCCATTCTTTTTGTATTCATGTATTCATTGATTTCCATGCTCTTTGGCCACCTCACAAAACAAGTGTCAGCATTAAATCGACCCACTTCCTTATAGCTGCTTGTGTGCATCAGGCTTTTTCGGTTTCAAGAATCTAAATGCCTGAAACACGTTCAATCTTCTCTTTCTTGCCCTTGGTGATGAGTAGAGCTGGGGCTTTCTTTCCATCCAGACGAATTGCCAAATTGCAGGTAACACGTGCGCTTTCATAACCAGTGGAGGGAAAGTATTTGACGAGGCACCCCTCTGATCAATCGTCGTTTGAGATCCTTGGCCCATAAACACTGCAGTTTCTTCCATAGCAATCATGTTGGAGAGTTTGTACTTAGAAAAATCGATGTGATCAACAAAGGACTTGAATGCAAGTGCATGTTTAATAATATCAGTATCTTCCAGCTTCAACAGTGTTGTCAATCTTCTTAGTGACAGTTCATGTCGCTTAAGGAAGTCATCCAGCCAGTGTTGTGATGCTTTAAAAACGTCTGAGGATAATTCTAACTGTGGTGCTGTTACAAGGGCAAATGCTTGAATATCAGCCCTGTGCACAACCAAAGCCTTTGCTCTCCTGTCAGCAATCCATTCACAGATGATGCCTTCCAGCCCAGGAAATAATGGTTGCTGACCTGATCCACACTTGCGCTTCTTGGCATTTCCTTCGTCCACCTGTTGCTTGAGATTATCGTATTTTGCTCACCATTTTCAGATCATTCGAACATCCAACTTCATCGCTTTGCAGAAAGCCGTAAGATTCTTGCCCCTGGAGTTCTCTGTGATTCCTTTCTTGTATGCAATGGAATAGTTCTTTCTTTTTGCACTCATTTTGTCTGGGTGTCAAAATATTACAGACTTCCGATTTTACAACACTGTCGGTAAGTGAGGATGCACTACTGTAGCAAGCATGTGCCAAAGATCAGGTCTACGTTTGGGGAAATTCCCCCGAAAATAGACCAGTTCAATAGTGCATGGAATCACGCGAATCTATGTTCAGGGAAACTCTCTCGGACATAGATTAGCGTACTCGTGAATGGAAATCCGCAAATCTATGTTCAGGGGAAATTCCGACTAGGGCTTATATTTCGAGCATCAATCAGTGCACAAATTTATGTAAACCTTGCTGGACGTCCCAAGAGGTTCGTTTAATGACTTCCCACAGCTGACACCAATAAATGTTTTTTTAAGGAGCCACATCCAGCACAGCCCACAACAAGTCCACAGGATAATGGGAAATGGACACGTCATTTTGATGTATCAGTGGTGTAGGTACCCCTGTAGTTTAGCTAAATTCCTACAACATGTTAGATCATAAATAGGATTTTAGCATAATAAAGTTATTCATATAAATGAAAAATAAATTTATATTGTGCTGCCTAAATCTCATGAAAATTAACAAATTAAAAATGTGGGGAGTAAAACGGCTAGCTCTGTCATTTTATTATTCTCCTGCAAAACCTGATCTACAAACTAATATTTCACTATAGAAGCAGTTCATTTGTATCGAAGGAGCCAGTGATTTTCCCACCTATTACCTGGACACGGGTCTCTCACTATAATCAGCAAAACAACAACGAGAGTGGCTCTAGTTTTCTAGTTTCCGTAATAGTCTTCTAACATAAAAACTGGTATTTATTATTTTATTTTTATTTTTTTTAGTGATGTTTCTGGTGAGATAGAAGATATTTTGAAGGAAATGAGTCTTCAGCTAGAACAAGAGTCCATGCAGTGCTATCTGGAAAAGGTACATATTCTTTTATTTTAATCTAATTTCTCTGCTGGTTGTAGTTTGAGCTAGGAGAATTTACAGATTTTTATTCTACACGATGTTTCCCAGCGAGGATTATTTATGGGCTCACTATAGCAGTGATCAGGGCACACAGCACACAGACTGCCATTTTTAGCTTTATTTTACATTTGGGATAATCCCCTTATAACAAGTAAATACACTTCTGGGACCAAGTTTAAGAGGTTGGAAGGTAACCCTCATACCGATCACTCTATGTCTATCTCCATCCAGGCTTTCAAGTCCTCTCACCACCCATTGATGAAACTGATGAAGGAACTGTGTGTGGTTTTCCAGGCTACCTACTCGGGAATTGGGGCAAACTTTCACCTTCTTTCAATGGCCCAGGAGGAGATAAAACACTATGCTACAAAAATCTGGGAGTTATACAGGTAAAATGTATCTTGGTAGAGATAATTATGTTTATTGCGTTACTGATTTACTAATATGCGGACTCTCTTCTTTAACTAAAGAGTTTACATGAAAAATCTTCCAGAGATTCATTGCAACTGCAAAATACCCATGTGCTTAGCCTTTACACCATCTCATCTCTTACTTTTACTACTACAGCCTTTCTGCTACCCGCAGGCTGGTCATGGCCTTTCCCCTTCCCCCTAATACTGCAATTACTCACTCTATAAATCTTTATAAAGCAGTGTCCATTTTCTAATGCTGCTCTCTCTTGGTTTAAAGAGCGCTAAAGGTTATGGCTGGTGGGGCAAACGACATGGCGGTCCCAGCCGGTGAGGATGAAGAAGAGAGAAAGTAAGTAAAGACTGTATTATATATGAGTGGGATTTCTGATTGTTGTAATATGTGCTCAATAGGATAAAGACACATATTTTGAATAGAGAAACTCAGAAACATATTTTCCAATAAACAGAGTATGGAACTGTTTAGGGACATCAGTCAGAGAGCACTTACCGAGCCCCTTATTTTGGCATGCCTACTAATAAAAAAATTAACACTTTTTTAAAAATTATTACATTTTTGGCCCTGGACACATGTAAAAATTATTAAAACTTCACTTCCAGAAAAAGAAAAATTGGTTAAAAGTAAAAAAAAAAAAAAAAAGGAATTTGGTTAAAAGTTCCCCAGTTGGTTTAATGAAAGTGTTAATATATAGTGACATGGTGCTTCGTCGGGATGAGCGGTGATTTGTGTAAATTGGCAACACCATAAGCCGTAGAGGCCTAGTATTTACATAAAGTGTATTAAAACATGGGGGAGACAACTGAGCTAATATAGAAATGCATTATCAATATTTTTTAGACTTCAAATCGATTTTGTATTGGGGGAAACCTGTCTCATCCATGTGGCATTTTCAGTTTGGCCACATTTCATCAGTGCAATTGTGAAAATATTCAGATGAACCAAAATAGAATATATACATAATTATGTAAATATTTTGCCGTACACGGATGCATTTTCCTGCCATTTAGTTGCTGTTTCAATAGCCAATCATAATTTCCCCTCCATATTAATCATCATTTTTCGGTGCCACGGGTAGAACTCAGAATCAAAAAATATTTTTGTCCATTTCATTTGTTCTGGACCAATCACCCAAAAATCAGATGGACCACAATTTGTTTTGAGACTGAAAGCACGAGTCTATTATTGTTTCAGAATTTAGTAGCAGATGATTAATTATAAATATATATCATGTCATTTTATTTCTGTTGTCTCTATAATGCTAACCAAGTGCCCTCATTGAATTATTGCTATAACATGGACATAAAGCTGGTTTTTAGATCTATCTGAGTAATAATGTGTTTTCTAGGAATGTATTCAGTTTATTGCTGACTTTGATCTTCCATTGCAGTGAGGCCCTGAATTCATACACTGTGGTCCTTCCCATCCTCCTGCCGTATTTCTATGCCGATCTCTTCATGCTATACATGCTGTATTACCAACAGGAAGACGCCTATTACTGGCAGGGCATCGTCCGCCTGGGGATGCTGACCGACACCAAGCTGCTGCAATTCCTGGATGTGCAGAAGTGAGTGTGCCTCTGCGGGTCCCAGGTTTAGATTTAACTTCAGATCATCTGTAGAAACATTAACCAATAGCCACAATGTATCAGTCCCCGCCTACTGTAACGTTATACAATCTTCATACTGATTTAATTTGTGAACTACATTTCCTTCTCAAACATTCTCAAAAGTGGGAAATATATTGCTGAAATATCTGCAGTGCCAAGATTAGACATTAGTATCCAGGGTCCGTGACCTCGGCACCCTAGCTTTATCTAAGCTACGTTACTTATGATGCCTTTATTTAGGGTGCTGTAGGTAACATCACTGCTCCAAATGGTTATTGAGCGTAACATTCATTATAAGAGACATAAATATAAGCAATTTAAGATCCCAAAATTGATTCTGATGTTTTTTCCACAGGTATAAAAATTTCAGCAAAGGTGAAGAAAATTCCCTTTCAGCCATGCTGCGCCAATCTGCACCCCCTCATAGAGATGCATTTAATCAGTTGCATCAATATGGGGAATGTTCAGTGCCTCAGTGCAGAGCGTGGAAACACCGAACGTAGGTGCTGCACACAGTGCTGCACTGAACTAGGAAGCACCTCTAGTGGCCATCTGAGCAACTGTCACTACAAGTGTTACTATGCAGTAATGCAAATACTACCTCTTCTCTAAAAAGGCAGCATTTAAAGTGCTTAGGCTTCAGCGACAGGCAATAGACATCAAAACCACTACTTTACGTTATGGTGGTTCTGGTGACTAAATTGTCTCTTTAAATGATGGTTACCTTAACGACTGTACATGTGGACATGCCCATCACATGTGCAGATAAGTTCCCTAAGCTTCACAACCTCTGAAACACAAGGAAGAGTGGCTGGGACAAATGTGTCAGTCTATATGGTGACCGTTACCAACATGTTAACATCTTATAGGATTCTTCCTAATCAAAGTACACCATTCTTCAAAGATCTGGCTCCAGCCCGCACTCCCCAACCTGATCTCCCAACTCATATACAGAAAATGGGATTCTCTTTTATATGTGAAATGCAGCAGACGGCCACAATTTATACATTTCCCTCTTTGTATTTCATTAGATTCTTATGGCCCCTGAAAGACATTAAGCTGACAGCCAATCAGGTAAGCGTTTCATTGCTACAAATGGTTAAACGCAGTGCGATGCAATAATGAGCCTTCTCCGAATCTCTCCCAATAAGCAGCTTCATATACATCCCTTACGTAATAAAGAGTGAGAGCAAATTAGTAATCATGTATTTAAGCATGATGGGTACATTTAGCTTTTGGTGTCTCCGTTTTACCATTACCCAGATTAACCCTTATTTATGGAAACTGGAACGATGACTCACAGGGTTTACTCATTAAACACTCATTGTAATGAATTGAACATTTGGGCCATAAATAGCTGATTTGGGGGAAAATTATCCCAGAACATTCCAGACCCAGCGTGGTTATTATAGCAGAATTTCTGCAGTTTGTGTTCATTATTTTTCTGTGTTTTATACCTCAGTTGGTTGTTTCCCACTCTTGCCCCAAACACACATATTATAGGGTAGCTTAACCTTAAAGAAAGCACATCATAAAAAGGTTGGATCAGTTGTGATTGATACGTAGTTACAATAACAAGATAGAAAACCCAGCCCAGGGTAACACACAACTCTCTCCCTCTACAGGGAGTGCAGAATTATTAGGCAAGTTGTATTTTTGAGGATTAATTTTATTATTGAACAACAACCATGTTCTCAATGAACCCAAAAAACTCATTAATATCAAAGCTGAATATTTTTGGAAGTAGTTTTTAGTTTGTTTTTAGTTATAGCTATGTTAGGGGGATATCTGTGTGTGCAGGTGACTATTACTGTGCATAATTATTAGGCAACTTAACAAAAAACAAATATATACCCATTTCAATTATTTATTATTACCAGTGAAACCAATATAACATCTCAACATTCACAAATATACATTTCTGACATTCAAAAACAAAACAAAAACAAATCAGTGACCAATATAGCCACCTTTCTTTGCAAGGACACTCAAAAGCCTGCCATCCATGGATTCTGTCAGTGTTTTGATCTGTTCACCATCAACATTGCGTGCAGCAGCAACCACAGCCTCCCAGACACTGTTCAGAGAGGTGTACTGTTTTCCTCCTTGTAAATCTCACATTTGATGATGGACCACAGGTTCTCAATGGGGTTCAGATCAGGTGAACAAGGAGGCCATGTCATTAGATTTTCTTCTTTTATACCCTTTCTTGCCAGCCACGCTGTGGAGTACTTGGACGCGTGTGATGGAGCATTGTCCTGCATGAAAATCATGTTTTTCTTGAAGGATGCAGACTTCTTCCTGTACTACTGCTTGAAGAAGGTGTCTTCCAGGAACTGGCAGTAGGACTGGGAGTTGAGCTTGACTCCATCCTCAACCCGAAAAGGCCCCACAAGCTCATCTTTGATGATACCAGCCCAAACCAGTACTCCACCTCCACCTTGCTGGCGTCTGAGTCGGACTGGAGCTCTCTGCCCTTTACCAATCCAGCCACGGGCCCATCCATCTGGCCCATCAAGACTCACTCTCATTTCATCAGTCCATAAAACCTTAGAAAAATCAGTCTTGAGATATTTCTTGGCCCAGTCTTGACGTTTCAGCTTGTGTGTCTTGTTCAGTGGTGGTCGTCTTTCAGCCTTTCTTACCTTGGCCATGTCTCTGAGTATTGCACACCTTGTGCTTTTGGGCACTCCAGTGATGTTGCAGCTCTGAAATATGGCCAAACTGGTGGCAAGTGGCATCGTGGCAGCTGCACGCTTGACTTTTCTCAGTTCATGGGCAGTTATTTTGCGCCTTGGTTTTTCCACACGCTTCTTGCGACCCTGTTGACTATTTTGAATGAAACGCTTGATTGTTCGATGATCACGCTTCAGAAGCTTTGCAATTTTAAGAGTGCTGCATCCCTCTGCAAGATATCTCACTATTTTTGACTTTTCTGAGCCTGTCAAGTCCTTCTTTTGACCCATTTTGCCAAAGGAAAGGAAGTTGCCTAATAATTATGCACACCTGATATAGGGTGTTGATGTCATTAGACCACACCCCTTCTCATTACAGAGATGCACATCACCTAATATGCTTAATTGGTAGTAGGCTTTCGAGCCTATACAGCTTGGAGTAAGACAACATGCATAAAGAGGATGATGTGGTCAAAATACTCATTTGCCTAATAATTCTGCACTCCCTGTATTGTTACACAACGGTGAATAGTGTACACACAGTAAGTGTCCAGGCCTGTTAAACTTTAGATAATCCATCCACCTAGGATTCCCATCATCCCATCGTTCACATCTGTGAACCTTGACACCCTTTCCTTCCTCAACATCACCTGTTCAGTGAAATTCTAGGGGAAATGTAACTATATATTCTTACATATTTCTGTTGTCCTGTAGAGATACTCGATAGTGAGACACAAGTGTTTCCAATCTGCTATTGAATGCCTGCAGAAGATCATGTAAGTCATTCATTCATTAATTTACAGGATTCATTAAACGTGTCGTAATATTTTAATTAGTAATGAACAAGTCATGCATTCTCAGCTATCTGCACTTAGTACTATGTTGGTGCTATGTAATGTTAACAATAATAATCCCATTTTACAATCTACAATATTGTATACCTGTAACAAGTCAATTATCTTTTTGAAATAAAGAAACCTAAATAAAAAAAATAACCCAGGCTATTGTAGGAAATCTTAGGGCCGTGACTGACCATACATGATTACCCGCGCGGATCTCCCAGTCCCACGCTGTGCTATAAGTAAAAATTATAGCACATTAAAGAGAGGAAAAGTACAATAAACATGATGCTTTATTAACTAATATGTCTCACTACAGGCCCCTTGTTCCTCTATATAAAAGGTAGTCTATAATAAGATATAATTTTTTTAATATAACAATGGTTGGCGCTAGCCATAGTTCAGGCAAGATAAACTATAGGCCATAATCCTCCGGGGTAACAGACCTGATTTACAAAGTGTGCGTCTTCTAAACTCAAATTATTATGGCACTGTATGTTTGCACGTAGCATGTCTTTTAAGAACTCTTGCTCCATATTATCATTAAAATTACATGTAGAAAATTTAAAATACAGTATACTCTGATCCTAATTACTTAATTTATTGCAAGTCAGCTGGCTCACGGTTATTCACTCTAAATACCTTAAAGTTCTTAGTAAATCGTTGAGAACTATAATAATGCAAAGTTAAACATTTCCCGAACATTCCACATGATGACGTCAATAGGGTTGCCTCTTTCAATATAAGTTATTCTCATATTTTCAGGTATTATAAACTCAATTTAATTTATTTTGAGTTAATGTAAGTGTGTAATATAGACTACAGTAAATGGCAGCAATGGCTAACCGGACTCCTCATATAATTGTGAATTGTTCCCTTTTTGTCTAGCCATCAGTGGTACGGGGAGATTAGACATTACCAATATAGTATAGAACGTAGTCTAAGAACCAAGATATATAATTAATAAATAAATGAATGATGATAAATACTAACGTTTTCAGAACGGTTATGGATCCAAGCCAGAAGCTGGAAATCATTCTGAAGACATATACGGAGATTGAAAAAACGGTTTCGCGTGTGGTGGATGGTGATTACAAGTTGCCCATGGACGATTTGCTGCCATTATTGATCTACGTGGCTTCTCGAGCTGGGTAAATATCTGTAACTTTGCTAAAGATCCTGTTCCGTTTCTAGATTAACATGTTTGTTGAAGCATTTTGTTCTGGGACATGTTTACAGGTGTTTGTGGTTTGAATGCAGACATGAAAGATTCACACGCTCATGACACAGACCTTGTGAAAGAGTTTTCTTCTACATTGATGTAGACATTCACAGGAACGGGCAGACTGGGCTGGTTTTCATACTATTTTAATGCACATTGAGCCGTTTGTAAAATTCACAAATTGGATCAAGTGGCCATGGCAACCAATGTAATGTTCCCGCTAATTGACCCAGAATTGCTTTGTATACATGTGGACCTCGATAGTATAGAATTCACAAACTAAGATCCCCACGTAGTGATTTAATGTGCTGTGCAGCTCACTAGAATCTTTTCGAATCTATAACATGTTGTGTGTTTTACAATTTACTGCTTTAATAGGATCCAACATCTGGGAGCAGAAATACACTTTATCTATGATTTGATGGACCCCAGTAACAGGGGAGGAATATATGACTTCTTGTTAACAGCTCTTGAGGTAAGTACCAAGGAATTAATCCCACCTTACACATCCTGTTGTTTAAAGGGTTAACAGAGGTGAAACTTTGAACTTAATGGTGGGAGAGGAAAATGCTATCTTTTATAAGCTCTGCATTATACAGAGAACAATCTGCAACCCAGGAAACCATGATGGTGAATAATCTGTAATGTGTATTGTGCTGTCATGTTACTGAATGAGAGGTGACTGATAACACTATGTGAATTGTATCCCCGCAGTCCTGTTATGAGCAGATTCAGAAGGAAGAAGTCCGGCTTTACAAATGCTAGCACCGATGTCTGGACATGGACTGTATGTAGTGAGAAATAATCTGGCCCTGAATCAGGAGCCCAAGAACATTTCTTGTATATATTATCCTATTTCAGGATCTATAATTATTGGGAGACTTTGGGCAGGTCTTCAAAAAGACTTAATTTCAACACCACGGCAACTGACTGCAAGTTACTGACAAAAATCACTCAGGATGGAGATTATCTGGAAAATCTTATATCGGAATCGAGGCTTTGGATTGTAATCACAGATGTGTGTGGAACGTTTTGGAACATAGAGCAAAATAAGAAAAAGAAGGAATGGAACGGTAATAAACTAATCCCAGACACTGGGTCTGGAATACAGGGAAAAGACTAAATCAGAATATTTATTTAACAGGTTTACAAGACCACAACAATATATTATTCCTAAATATCGTTATAATATCATTATAATATCTATGGGACGTAGAGTGTCAGTTTGGACACCATAAGAATTTAATTGAAATGAAGTTGTTATGGTGCCAGGAGGCTCCTAGCACTGGCATACCTTAAGTGGTTACTTTGTGTGGTTACTGATTACATTTACCAGTTATTGTGAATTCGTTGGATTCTACGAGGACATTCCGTATCCTATACACCTACCTTATAGAGCGACCTGTGTTCCCACACACAGGTACCGTTCAGTGTTTAATTCTCTATTCCCAGGCTGGAACTAATTGGCTACTTCTTAGTTTTGGTTTTAGATGTACATAGTTTGCTTATTTTTGTGATGTACAGGACGTTTGGACTGTATTTTACAATTCTTTTATTAAAAGTTACGTTTTATTCTTTCCAACTATAGTTGGGCTTCCACTCTTTGGGGAATCATATATACCCCTTTTTTCCCTTCTCTACTTATATTCTCAGCTCAATATACTTTTTTGGTGAATTCACACGTAGAAACATAGAATTTGACGGCAGATAAAAACCATTCTGCCCATCTAGTCTGCCCAATAAGGGGTTACCCCACTCTCAGGAGTTGCATAAGACACACACTATTCGATTATTCACCTTAAGTTGTTAAACCTTTCTCGAGCGGTTTATCCCCAAAGTCTGTGAGTGGTCACTTGACGCTCTCAGCCAATCAGTGACTCCTCATTCATAAAACTGGCTTGAAAAAGGTATATTTTTTTTCAAGTCCTGACTGTAATGTCAATCTAAAAGAGATAAGGGATTTATGGTTGAAAGTTTTCCTGTCTTTCTCCAACTCTAAGTTGACTTAGACTCCATAGTAAGCACCACTTGCATGGCTGACCTTACGATTACTACACAGACAAAATAGTGTTCCATCCACTAAACGCAAATTCTTATTATTTTCTAAGGGCTAAACGTCTAGCCTGTTATTTAAATATTGACTACCTACGATCATGATAGGTGGGCTAATCACACAGGCTATATACAGGCAGTGGGAAGGGCAGAGCAAGATAATATCTCAAAATATTCATGAGGATTTCCCATGATGCTCTGCCATCTTAATAGCTGAGCTTGACTGCTGGCTGAGTATCTTGGAAAATATCCACTAACACAGGGGTAGGCAACCTACGGCACTAGTGCCATGCACGGCACTCAAGGCTGCTAGAGCCAAACGCACTCTGGCCTATCAGGAGTCCCAGTAAAACTTCAGATACCTGCTAATACGAAGAGGTGGTGAAGGACAATCCTCAATTTATGCATTGCAGCACATAGAGGAAGTGTTCTCAGATCACTTCCTCCCAGCACTTGTGAATGGGAATCCACACTGTAGTAGAGCAGCCCTTGACAGCTATCGCATCTCCTGTCCTTGACCTGTACCTGGCCAGCCTGGTCCCCACTGGAACCCAGGGAACCCACCCACACTGCTAAATATACACAGAAATGCAGAATAACCCACCCCTCATACAAATAATATGAACAGCCCACACACCACACACAATCCCCACAAACGCAACACCACTAACAATATACATACATGCACACAACCCCACATGCAGCCTCTCACATGCAATACCCCAAACAGTCCCCACTACCAAGCACACAATGTGACATATCCATCCACACACAATTCCACAAGCAGCCCTCATACACAGCCCACATTCATATGTATCATACACAATACCATAAACTACTAATGAACATATACAATATAATAGCTCATATACGCACAAATACAACGATACAAAGCAATTACAGTATAAATAACACAAGCAGAATACTGCAGCATACACACCTCAATCTAAAAAAATAGGACCGGCACGCTACGGACCATCACAATCCTATATCGGCACAGTGCTGCTAAAAGGTTGCCTACCCCTGCACTAACATATGCTGTGCCCTAATTGCCTATCAATAGCCTGTTGTATGTATACAGTTAGTTTGGCTGCCAAAATTAATGGAACCCTAATACACACAGGGAGAACGTGGCTGAATTCTACTTTGACAATATGCATTTTTATTTTTTTTAAATAAGTATCTTCTGTACGTTTTATGAAAGTGCAATAAAGGAAGACAAACGGTCAAAACAAACTAACAAAGCAAAATATTAAAAGTGAAATGAAACCGGCAAAGAAAAAAACTATAAAGAGTTGGGTACATTCACCATGGCGCAAACATTTCATTTAAAGAAAGACAATGTGATTTTAAATTTTTTTTTTTTTTAAAGAACACTAAAGACCCAGCTGAGATAAAGTTCCCACTTTATTTCTAAGATTCCAGTTGGACCTGGAGACACTTGGTATAGAAGGAGTAGATTCACTCCACGTTAAGCTGAACTCAGCAGGTATTCAAAGACGAGACGTGAAAGGAAAGTTAATGTTAAATTCACTTTAAGAAACATAGCAACGATAGATCCTTGGTTAATGCACCTGAATGCATCTGAAAAAAACAAAATGAGAATCCAGGTTTTTAATTTTCAAATACTTAGAAAAGGAATGACCTACCTGGTTTGCACAAAAAAAAAAAAAAAAAAGTGTAAACACTGTTGTGTTATATGATGAATTTTACTACAATTAAAATGTATATATTTTTATATTTAATGGGATGTACCAACAATACAAGGCTGCTCCCTGTATTTAATTGTATATTCCTGCCTATTAGTTATGTTACCTCGGAAAATCTTTCTTGAATTCATTTTTCGAATACATTTTTTCTGCTGAGATGCCCGTTGTTCATTTGTATAAAATGTTGGCGTTTTTTTATTTGTATTTTTTGAGGCTTGATACTAAACTAGTGAATTGACATCACATCTGTTTGTTCAAAAGCTATGCATGGGCCATACGTATTTATTGCATCATAGAAATATATTTATTCGTAGTGACACTGAAATCGGAGGGGAAGACAGATCATCTGTGCTGGACAGAGGTTTTACAACCAGCGCTCTTCTCATCTTGAACCATATTACTAAATATATGAAACAAAAATACATTAATAAATTCTGCTATGGCAGCCTCTATTTTACTTGTCTGACAGCTGCCTAGTCTGCCCACCCAGAAAATGGATGGATAGTGGACAATACCCTAAATAGTGGGCAATCAGAAACATTGGCAGCTGGACCAAACAGGCCTACGATTGGAATGAGAGAGCCCGGCTATAGGATTGTAACCGCCACTAAATTCTACACTACAAACAAAGTCCTAAACACTCCCATCTTTAGAGATGTGCACATACTGTGTTCTATTTACACTTCTTATAAGCCTTGAATTTAATATGGGTTTTTTTGGTTTGTTTTTTTTGTTTACCTTCAATAAAAAAATGTATGATTTTATAGAAAGTGTGAAATCATGTTTTGTTTTGAACTAATTTCTGTGTAACTGTGCAAACGTATATCAGACACTGGTTATAAAGATCTAATCTGGGGCAAGATTTCACCAGTGAATCAAATACCTTGGCAACCAGTGGAATGTTGTTGATATTTCTTACGTTTTAGAACATTGGCGCAGAATTACTATGCACACAAGTAAAAATATGTACCGGTAATTTGAACTTCTCACTGCAGGCTAAATGAATATTAATTATCCATAGACAAACTACACAATTGGGTGAATTTGCACTGAACTTGTCACCTTAATAAAGCCACGTTTGTAGCCTGTAGATTAGAATATTGTTAGACTATCCTGCAGATTCATTTTAAATAAGTAATGTTTTTGTTTCAGTAACTTATTGGTTTTAAAACTGGGAGAAAAAAAATAGACTTTAATTCAGGGAACAATTAAACATCTAATAACCAGACTACCAAAGAGAAAATGACAAAAATACAAAGACGAGAAGAGGTTTTAATTCTATCAGGTGGCATAAACCCCTAGATTCCACATTTTGGGCACATTTGTTGAGCTTTTATTTTAGTTCGGCAATTAGTTCCCCCTTGGGGTTAAAAAAAAATATGTCGATCTGTCTGTCTTTATGGTCTGCCCAAATACAAGCAACTATGTCTATTCTTTGTGAGGATTTTGTTGCACAATTGGGGAGTTTAAGAAGTGGTTTTAAATAAACTATCTTCCAGGGGAATACTTCTGGAATGATGTCCTGCTTGCAATGCCCAGGATTATATGCGTTATGTTGCTTAAAGAAAAATGCTGAGTTATTATTTAAATAGGTCTGAAATAGATCTTGTTCTATAAACATCTATTTATCAAGGGTTTATGGGATATGTAGTTCAGGCCCAGCAGCAGTTCCATTCATCGTATAGGATGAAAAAAAAAGTATAAATGGAACTGCTTAATAAAATGATAGCCAGAAAGTAGCAATGTGATTATTCCCATCAACAGGGAATACAGAAAGCTGTGCACAATTCAAAAATGGACATATACATTGTTCCTTTACGATCAAAAGAAGAGGTGACCGTCTTCTATATGTATGATGTTTTGCCAATCTCTGCAGTCATAAGCAACTATATGCAGGGGAAACAAAAATATTTTTAAGGCATCCGTGAGAAAAGGTTCATTGACAATGACAAGGAATCTACAAATACACATGGAGAGGATATCAGGAAAGGGAAACAGGACTGCCAGACAGATTGAAGAAATGATCGAACAATTCCAGGTTACAGGCAGCCAAGTGCATTAACCTTTTATATTCGGTGTGGACACTCCGCTGGGTGTTTTTGTAAGGTACTTCTAAGCGGAAGTGCGCACATATATAATTATGTTATCAAACGTATAAAGCGGTAAAATTCAGTGCGTCCGAAACCCCGACCCTTGTTCAGCTTGTCCGAATATCATGGGGAAAAAAGATTTAGGAAGACAATTAAGATTAAAAAAAAGGCTTGAAATTGGGCGAATCCACGAACTGCTAAATATAAACATTATCTAAATAATATAAATATTATGTATATACTTTGCAATACACTGCATATTTCTGACATTTGGTTACCAGATCAAGCGACAAAAAAAGAAGAGTATTAAAAAAAAAAAAAGTGCGTGGATGTGTGTATGTATATGTGTGTATATATATATATATATTAAATATATTCTTTTTTTACTGCTATTGGTCAGTTTTCACTTGATCTGTGAATAAAACTTACATTTTCGTGACTGTCACCTAGCCATTTCTCACCTTTTTTTCCCCATTTTATTTTATTTGCTCCCTGGGCAGAACTCCAAAGGCCAATTCAAACGAACATATTCGGCCATCTCACTCGTTTTTGGAAGCTTCGGAGATGCGGAATTCAGCCAAATGCCAACGTCTCGATAATGTGTTACACATTATAACTTGCTGACTAATACATTTTATGTTTGGGTTGGGGGGCACACACAGATAGGGTTAGGAACACTCCAATCATTAAAACCAAATATTGACAATAATCTGGACTTGTTTTCATTGGATACTACCTTTTTTTTCCATTAATCAGCTTGCCGTAACCCTAATTAACAAACGAGATCTAAATGAATAAACAGTAGAGAATTACAGTACGTGAAACACCACAAGTTCAGAATACCAGGAATGTGATCGTCATGTTCCTCTGTGCTAGGAGCTGCTGGTTTCGTTACCAGAAAATCTGCCCAGACATTAAATTGTGTCCACACGCCACACAGTAAATGGCATGACAGTATACTAATTGTAACTTCCCATCTAAGAATGCGAGATCCATAAATCTGTCAGCTAATTGTATCTCTTTAACACCTACTTCCCTATTTCACTACATAATTTAATAGACCAGGTGATCCATGCTACAACAATGGTATAATGACTAAAACGAATACGTCCACGTCCTATGTGTAAATTAATATAACCAAAACACTGTATGTGTATAATGACAATATTTAACCAGGAAATGTATGTTTAGTGAATTTCATCACTAGTTTCTAGGTAGCTCCAGGTTCATGTTCTCAGTACCCAACTTTTACCTGGTTCTCATTTTTTTTAACCCTGGAAGGATATGAGCTTTCTGCAGAAAGTGTCATAATACTGCGTAATAAGGATGCGGAGATACTGAACTTTTGTTTTTTCTCTAATTAATCCACACAGCCCTTAGCTGCTATCACTTATACAAATTACAGATGGTCCTCGTTTTGCGACCTACCTGTTTTACAACGGCTTGCACTTACGACCAGCTCTCTAGCGGGGTGGTAGGTGTGAGCAGTTGTGGGAATTAGAGGGATTCCCTGCTCTGCTGCGTTCCTCTCTGATCGGGGAAATGCCCCTGAACACAGACATGCGCACCAGAGCAGGGAATCCTTTAATCTATGTTCGGGGAAACTTCCCCGAACATAGATTAGAGGGATTCTCTGCTCTGTTGCGTTCGTCTATGGTCGAGGACATTTCCCCGAACATAGAATGCAGCAAAGCAGGGAATCCATTAACTCCTCACTGACCAATTCGTTCTACGAGTGGGTTGTAAGAACGGAACCCGGTCAGTAAGCGAAGAGTGTCTGTGTTGAATGAATTTTAGTTTTAGCCGTCTAAACAATGTTTGCAATTTCACTGGTGGATCACACCAATAGACACAAAAGCGCCATCTGTCCTCAATGCTTATCTGTGATAAGATCTTGACAGAATTCATCAAGCTTAACAACAATGAAAGTGAATCAGGGTTCTGTGAGGGATTTATCTTGGTGCATTTAACTGCATTGAAAAAAATAAATATATATATATTTTTTTAAATAGTGGAACCCATATCGCCTGATAGATAAAAGACCACAACAGACTTAATTCAATTTAGATATCTTTTCATATAGGGTTTCATTAAATGTCCATATGGGTGTCGTCGTCGTTAATCACGTGACCTCAAGAATGATACTCTGACATCTCAACTTTAAGAACAAACAAAATGGTGATTTAACGGATTATGCTATTACATCACAGGTTAAAAGTTAGTGATAGCAAACACAATCAAGAATAGTAGCCAAATTAAAAGGAAGGACAGGGAATGTATACCGGACCCCAGAGTGGCCAGCCGGGCTTAACATGTGCCTAAAAAGACGAGAAATCGTAGTAATAAAGGATGCCTAGGTCAAGGGATACAGAGAAAGACAAAAATGAGAGAACAAGTCAAGGTCACAGGGATACAAAGAACCAGAATCGTCAAAAATACCAAACCTGGTCAGCAATGGGAATAACAGAATATTAATAAACACACTCTCAGGCTAACAAGAACCACGACAGGGCAATGATTCCCAGAAAGAGGGGAACCTGTATATGACAAAGAAGAATACTACTGGGCACCTTCATCACCCTGCACCAGGACACACAAAGAGGTGTGACCTGTGCAGAGTAGACCCAGGTGTCCAACAAATATGACATCACAAAAAGATAAGTATAAAGTTTATATGGTCGTGTAATTCCAAAGAATGCGTGTAGGTGGGACAAGGTTGCCACGGAACTCCGGCAACCTCACAGGTAGTGTAGTGCTGTCTGCACTTCCGTGAGGAGAATGCCGGGTGACCTCCAAGCTGGAGGTATCCAGGAGAGTAGCGTTCACCTCAGTGAGAGCGGCGTGGGACCGGGACCTTCGTGGCTGCTGTGCGGCACACCCCTAAACCTGCAAATGCCACGAGGCAGCCTCAGGTATGGCCGGAACCAACAGACCAGAGAGACCAGGAAGAAGCATAACCATGAGTTAGTGAAGAAATGTACTGGGGGTGGGTGGAGAATTGTCGAGAGCTTTATAGATTAGAGTTAATATTTTAAATTGAATAGGGTACAGGAAGCCAATATAAGGACTGGTAGAGGGGAGAGGTGTGAGGAATGACAGGAAAAGAAAAGAAACATTAATTATAGACTGCAGAGAGGCAGAGCGGTTCCTGACCAATTAGGAGAATTACAGTAATCAATGCGAGAAATTACTAGAGTTTAAACAAGCAGAGAGGCTGACAACAGAGTCTTAGTATGATGAGGGAAGACAAGGTCACATTTAAGGTTATTTACGAACGTGAGAGTTAAAGTTTAATGCCACATTAGCCAGATTGAATGTAATTATCTAACTCTGCTGTGTTGCCAGTGCAGCAACTGTGACCTTCAATTTGAATTCCCACTTTATTGAATAAAACTGAAAAACTTGCACATGGCATTAACTCCTATCAACACAAAGCTTTTCCAGACGTTCACAGAGTGTTTTACACATGACCAAAACATACCAAGTTTGATCAATTTTAGCGTGTTTGTTCATTTGTAGAAAAGTGTTGCCAGTCGTTTAGTCAGTCCTTTTGGTTGCTGAATTCAATAAAGGAAAAATGTCTCCCTATAAATGTGTTACTACCTCTCATGTGATGTGGCTGTGATCGCTTAAAGGACCACTCTAGGCACCCAGACCACTTCAGCTTAATGAAGTGGTCTGGGTGCCAGGTCCTTCTAGGGTTAACCCATTTTTTCATAAATATAGCAGTTTCAGAGAAACTGCTATAATTATGAATGGGTTAAGCCTTCCCCCTAATCCTCTAGTAGCTGTCTCATTGACAGCCACTAGAGGCGCTTGCGTGCTTCTCACTGTGATTTTCACAGTGAGAGCACGCCAGCGTCCATAGAAAAGCATTGTAAATGCTTTCCTATGAGACTGGCTGAATGCGCGCGCAGCTCTTGCGGCGCGTGCGCATTCAGCCGGCGGGACGTAACGGAGGCGGAGAGGAGGAGGAGAGCTCTCCGCCCAGCGCTGGAAAAAGGTAAGTTTTTACCCCTTTCCCCCTTCCAGAGCCGGGTGGGAGGGGGTCCCTGAGGGTGGGGGCACCCTCAGGGCACTATAGTGCCAGGAAAACGAGTATGTTTTCCTGGCACTATAGTGGTCCTTTAACATAATGAATATTGTATTGGGTCCTTTTTGTGAACCAAAAATGCCAAAAGCATGGGAAAGGTATTGGAAAACAACAGATTTTACCTCTGAGGGCATTTAGATGGAGGTGAAAGGGTCATTAAAGGCTTGCTGGAAATGGAAGGCTCTGCACTATTTCATCTCTCTCTATATTGATCTCTCTTTTTCTGCTGGTATGCAACCCGAAGCATTAGTGCCGGCATTTAATTATTATATTTCTCTTTTATTCTCATTCTTTTGTAATAACTCCCCGGCAAATTAAAATAAACAAACCCAGGAGTCACACCCATGCGTAGTGCTGAACTTTGTGCAGGTAAAATGAATCTCTAAATTCTATTTGAATACTGTGTGATTTGTTTTTTTCTGTTACTAATAATCAAAATAATAGAAAATAAAAGTTTAATGAAACAGGGAAGCTCAAGGAAAATGCTAATTTGAGGCTAAAGCAGCAGATCAGGAAATTAAACCAGCTCAGTTGGAGATCATTTCCAAATCAGCAACTCTGATAGAATTGTCACATACAATTCTTTCACTTTATTTAGTGCAGCAAATGCTGTTAAATGTGTGTTTGTTGGCGGGGGCGGAGTCAACAGCCGACCAGAGCGGACGCGTTACAAGAGAGCTCCGCAACAACAAGCCTGTAAAAGCACCTAAAAACGCTCTTTTTCGCAACAAAGACACACCAACAGCATGGGGAAGAAGTCCAGACGCCAGGGACTTGTCAAACTAGCGGGATCCCAGGATATTGGAGATCTCCTGCTCCGGCCGTCCAGGGCCCATGGCACCTTCGCGCCGAAAGAAAATGGCGACTCACTCTCAGCCTCCTACGAAGAACGGTTTATGGACGTGCTGGACGAGATCCCAGACGGAGGGGGACTTCATCACCCCTCCTCCGATGAAGACAACGAGCTGCCATCTACTAAGGGCGACATCAAAACGCTTCTCCGCAATATCTGACAGCTATTTGCGGCAGACATTGCGATTGTGCACGAAGAAATACATACAGTGAAGGGACATGTGAAAGCAGTAGAGGCAGACACGTAGGGCCTCTCTTCCAGATCCCTTGCTATGGAGGCACTAGCTGAGCAGAGCTCCAAAAAGCCCAAGCACAACTTACCACTAGAATGGACACCATGGAGGACAGGCACAGAAGCAGAAATATTAAAATCAGGGGCGTTCCTGAGTCAATCACTACGGAAGAGTTACCCCACTACACCAGGAGGCTGCTGAGCACTATACTGAACCCCAAGCAGAACAAGCAAGTCATGGTAGACGGGATATTCCGTATACCAAAAGCAACTAAGGCCCCAGCAGACTCATCAAGGGACGTTATTGTTCAGTTCCAGTCAAGATCAGCGCAAATACTAGTAATGACAGCAGTGAGGGGAAAACTTACCTGCCCCTTCGAAAATGCTCCCCTCATGTTCTTCCAAGACCTGTCCAGACCAACGCTACTATGGAGAAGCCCGTTCAAACCTCTGACCACGACTCTTCATAACCACTCCATCCCATACTGCTGGGGATCTCCCAGGAGCCTAATTTTACCACAAGGAGGGAAGAACTTACGACTTACCACCGCCACGGAATCGGATGCAGCGCTCCAGGACTTGGGAATACCACATCAGCTGGAACAAGAGGCGCAGGCTACAGAGCGGAGAGCACCACATAACTGGGACATGGCTAAGATTGTACCGTTCCAACCGCGTGGGACCCCTAGAATGGGCCAGGTCCCCTCATCCCCACTCTCGACCTCCAATAGCACTGGGAGGAAGGAGCAGCACCAGCAAGGCACCTGAGATACCGACAGGAACTCGCACAACCTTGTGCAACAGGAATACTCCCCTTCTCCACATCACACTTAACTGCGAACAGCATTTTAAGTTTTTCAGCATGTATGCATATTCTTAGTGGAAAGCACCAGAGGACTGTGAGTAATTACATGTCATTAACGCCCAGGGAAACCGAGGTACTAGCAATTGTTGCGCTAATCGGGCGCCTGTATCCGCAGACTCATACCAGTATATAAAAACGCTGGCCTGGCTCTTTGTACTTATTATTAACCGTTTACACTCCCTGGCTCATAAAATGTCAATGTCACAATGTTCGTTTGCTTTAGTTCGCAAAAGGTCAAAACTCTGTCAGATACATATATCAGGTCCTGACGTTTAGAATTTAATTTGCCTGCCTGTGATAACGAATACATCCACACAGTAGGTGAATCTATGAGTATTTAAATGGAAAGCTGACTTCATCTAAAGTGCAATGTTGTTTTATCAGTGCAGAGGAGGGAACAACTCTAAACCATTATGGAGAGCGTAGCCCATGGATTGTCCCTTAACATTGGTCTCCACCCTATGCACAGAGACACACAATAATAAAGTAATTAGGGTAACACAGGCTTGACAACACACACCAGATCCAAGCCACGTTAAAACCTACGAACTAATACTACAACCCCCTAAGCAAAAACCTCTAAGGATAGCAAAATAGCACAACACTATAAGTCTCCCCCCTTCCTCTCCACATATCATCTTTAGTTTTAAATGCAAGCAGATGTGTCGATCTGAGGGGACCACGAACAAGAGAGCAACAGGGCAGAAGGCAAACCACAGCCATTACACTGCCCATCACGCATAACCTAGACACGCCACACAACCCTCCCCCCACCCCCCCCAACCCGCTCTGAGCTCAGGGTTACAGAGCACCTCACCGAGCCTACAATGATAGCAACTGAATCGGCTCCACTCCAGAAGCTTAGTATAGCATATACTAGCCTGACTATTAAGTGTTACCTTTTTTTTTGTGTTTCCTTAAAGATATTGTGCACTGTATATACATGTCAAGCCTCACTACAACGATACATGCATTTAAAAATCAAGAATTTATAAAGGGAAAGAGAAAAAAAAAGGGAAGGTATGCATTTCATATTCCCTTGTTAAATGATTAAGAATTTCCACTAAACTAAGGCTGGCAATACATATAGCCTACATCATCCTTCGAACAGGCAAAATATATGATAACTGCCACAAATGGCATTACAAGACAAAGCGGTTCCCTTGTTTTAATGTCTGCCATTTTACTTTTATTGTACCTCCTCGCTCTAGTTAATGCCTTAAAGGCAACTTGTTTCCAGTGGCCCTAAGCCTTGTCAGCGGTCAGTACAAACCATATATATGCAGATATAGGCCTAAAAAAATCTTCTATGCTACCATTTATATCTCTCATAAGCTAACTAACAGGTGCAGCAAGTTATTGCCACTATTGTTTGAGTCTCATAGATTAACTTGGATACCCTACAACCTGTATTATATGCTACTGGTGGAACCGTGACATGTAACTTAGCTCCAAGGCCACAAAACTGTTTATACCAATCTTGTTATTGCTTGTGCGACCTGCCCTTAAACATGTTTTATATCTTACACTATGCATAGTGACATGATCACTTCCTTTATACTCGTATCCTAAGAATGTGCAAGTCTCACCTGTTACCTACCTGTTCACACAGAATGTTGAAGCTTGTTTGACCACATAATTTAAAAAATGTGCATGTTCCTCATACGTCATATAATGCATTGTTTGTGTTTATGGAAGCTTGCCTATGCTAATGTGACATATTATAAGCTTGCCTGTATTCTATCATATATGCACCACCAAAATAAAGAATTTAAAAAAAATAAATAAATGTGTGTTTGTTAAATGTTCAAATGAGCATGAAATATTAAGAGATGCATTTCCGGTAGTTAAAATGTACGATGTATTTTATTCATCCATTTTGACAGATTTCTTTCATATTTCTGGGCTGCTTTTATTGGTGTCTAAGGAGTGTTTTGCTATAGCAGACTTCAGGCATCGCATCAATTCATCAGGAGGGGGTGACAGAGAGTCTTGCTCAAGTTTTTGAAAGTCTTCATCACACATAAAGAATGTTAAAATTTCTATAATTTTTGTGATATCAAACATTGCGTGTTGTGGTCCAGGGGACATCACGAAGGATCCATTGGAGAGTTTTTCACAGGCTGAGTCAAACTCTGAATTCTCCAAGTCATAAATTCGATTTTCTGCAATTATCTTGAGGAAAATATAAAATTCCTTGTAATCAATTCCAGTGCATGATTTCATTATAACCTGCGAATTTAGAAAATACATATTAAAGGCCTGATTGCACTAAATCCATCTCTACGTGTATCTAATATCTATTGATCTATGATCTCTTCTGCCTCTGTCTATCTCCATCCATCCCTGTACATGTCTCAGTGTCTATAATATACAGATATTCAAAGCAAGAAAAACACAGACATAAAAACAGATAAAGAGGAGACAAAAGTCATATCTAAACTATCAATAAATATTCAAATAGTAATTCAAGCGGCTTGGTCACTTTTCTAAATGAATCCAGTGTCATTCTATTTCTCCTTGTTTTTATTTATTTTTTGAATTCATATTAGTTTTAATAGGGAGCCTTTGAAACATTTTGGCAATGGGCAGGTGTTTAGTAAAGTTCCATTTTAGCTGCTAAGTAAATTTACCCAGAACCCATTAATAGACTCCCACAGAAGGGCAAACTATTGACACCACGGACAGAGGAGAACTAAATGGAGGCACCGGGTGTTAAGATGCAGTGCAAGGAAGAAAACATAGAGAGAGACGCTTTAAAACACCAATGGATCTCCTTGTGAGACATTACTAAGGTTTATTTTGCTGTGTTTTTAATATAGTATTGTAAATTAAAATACTTTTTAGTAGTAAATTAAGTAATCCTGAATTATAGGAATCTGTTTCCTGTCAAATTAAAGAGTTACATTTAAAGGAACACTATAGTATTTCTAACACTATTCCTCTGGAGTGGCTGTTTTGGTCTCCGGCCCCTCTCAGATTTTACTTGCCTTTTCTCCATCACTTCGCCATCACTGCGCCTCAGCTAGCCCCTCCTCCATGGCTGCGATCATAAATCTTGGTGATCTCAGTTTTTCCCATAGGAAAGCATTGGGAGGCTATTGGGCATGCACGGCAGAACAACAACCTCCGAGAGATGCATTGAATCAGTGCATCTCTATGCTGAGCATTCAGCGTCTCCATGCAGAGCACCTCTAGTGGCCATCTGAGTGACTGCACCTAGAGGTGTTACTAGGCAGTATCTAAACACTGCCTTATCTATGAAAAGGCAACATTTACAGTCCTAAGACATCAGGACTGGTGACTATAGTTTTCCTTCAAAGATTTCCAGTGTTCTTGTCATGGCTTGGATTTGGGGGCTTGTTTCAGTGAAAGTGTGAACTCTACCTTATTTACAGTGAGGCAATGCGTAGTGCTGAACTTTGTGCAGGTAAAATGAATCTGTAAATTCTATTTGAATACTGAGCACAGCTGTATATTGACCACGAGAAGAAAACAAACCTTTCATAACATCAACAACCACCCCACAAATGTGTGACATAGTGCAGATGAATGGCATGTATAGATGATGGAAGTGCACTCAATTCTTCGTCTGGAATTCAGGGTGCTCAAATGGATAAGTCCTAGTACCAAAAAAGGACCAATTGTAGCATTTGAATATAAAAAATAATCCAGGGACTCCAACGAATTCCAAAATATAGGCAATCTTTGTTGGAACAAGGAACCAAACAGCAACGTTTCGACCCCTAAGGGCCTTTGTCAAGCTTGACAAACGGTGAAACATTGCTGTTTGGTTCCTTGTTCCAATCAAGATTGCCTATATTTTGGAATTCGTTGGAGTGCCTGGATTATTTTCTATATTCATAGTGCAGATGAAGACAGAAAATGAGAAACTGTTGAGTTAAAACGTAGGACAGAGACATTGCAAACCTCCTCAGCTACAGGAAGCAGACGACAAATACATTGTTACCTGGCAATGATCGTGCCAGTTATCCATTGTCTCCTTCCATTCCCCAATCTCCTGGTGAACCGCCTCCAACTCATTGCGAAGGAACCGCCACATGACAGACACATTGCAGCCATTCACCCAGTTGTGGTTAATGGAGATTGTGTCTGCCTGAAAAAGAAACAAAATGAAAATCAATGCACCTCATGTAGGACTATAAAAAGACCCCTGACAAAAAGTGTTAATTTGCATCTCGAACCAGAAATTCTGGGAGAATTGGGGAAAGATGTTTGAGCAAAATTACTGTGTCCAATTCGTATTATTCCTTAGTTCCTAATTGAGATACGTAGATATAACAACGATAAATTTAGAATTTCCATAAATCCGTGTGGAGTTTCCCTGTGTGTTTAATATCTAGCTATACATACCCACCTACTCCCATCCCCCCCACACAACACCAGTGTGCTTGCTTACCAAGTTGTACACCTGATGGTGCCAACCACTTGGGATAAAAATCACCTGTCCAGCTTCCTGTACGACCTCGATGGGTGGGCAACACATGTACGACTTGGGATACAGACTCTGGTCTTGAAGCACAGTTGACGTCACGTCATATGGGAGGTTCCCACGATGATCTCTGAGATAGTCCTCCTGGCCAGGTGGGAACAGCAACCATTTCTTCCGCCCACAGATATTGGCGGACCAGCTGTATGAGCGAAACACGTCAGCATGGAAAGGTGTCCTGAACAACAACAAAAAGTTACTTTTACGAGTTAACTTGTTTATTTAATAAAATATAATTTAGCGTTGGAAGAAATGTCAGCTGAGCTAATTTGGCCCAGATATTCCAAGCTGGTTATTAATGTATCACAGCTGACTGCAAATTAAATATACTGCCTTCTCCCTGACCCTCTGATATTATCAATATAGAAGACACTGCTGACTAGTGCTGGCAGCCTGGTGTATAGATGGTACATGCCGGTCCTTGGATTGTTTAGATGATTTAATTACTAATAAAACTGATGCCACAGATTTATACACCGTACACGGGTCGCATTTCACTTTCTCTCTCGCTCCGCAGATAAATCTTGGTGTTAAATGTAGAAATAAAAGAACATACTGTCAGCTTCTATCTGCTACTAACCATAAATACAAGTGTGAAAAATCCCTCTATCTAGAACATGACAATCCAGTCCATTGGTTTTGATGGAGAACAGTCAAACCCAATATTTCTCTTTTCTTTTTTAATTTTAAGCCTGTTTCATCTCATGCTCTTTTTCAATTTTTACAACTTCAATGGAAATAAGTGGCAGAAATAGCCCATAAAAACAGCGATACTGCCATCTCCTGGTCAGAATAAGAAAGTGTATTCTAAATGTTTTTAGTAAAAGAAAAGTGACACGCATTTAAAAGGGATGTTACAAATCTGTTTTATGTTTTTAAACATCTATATATCATGTGACGTGAAGCAGCCCAATATCTATATGTGTTTCAGTTTTGCTGGCTCGAACTTTTTAGTATTGTTAAGAAAAAAGTATAGTCTTAAAAAGATTGTGTAGTGCAGATACTTTATCCAAATAAAAAGGGTGTAAGCATTTAATCACTGGGATTATTCACCGAACAGGCTGAAAAGCACAATTTCAGAGAAAATGAAAGAATTAAAAAAAAAAAAAAAAAATTCTCAGATTTTCTATTCTTCAAACTCAGCTATTTTTGTTTGTTTAATATCTGCACTTCCCATTTTAGAAATTAGCCGTGTTTGTATTTTAAGTTGCTTTTTTGTTCATTTGTAAAATTGAAAGAAAAATTAAAGATGCAATGGGAAGATTCTAAATCTATTTCTACAGCCGTACAAAATACAAATATTTAACTCTTAAAGGACCAACGATGGTCAATGCCATCAGAAAAATCTTCTAACTGGAATCATATTCCAAAATACAACAAACAACTAAATTATACATTATTAGACAGCTAAAGCCGCAGTATCTCATTGTGCTTTAATGTGGCACTAAAATCAGCAGAAAAACAGGACAAACCAGGAGCCAGTGGGTCCCATATAGACAAAGCGATAATCGTCTCCAGCAATTGCATCCCAATATTCATTCAACCAGTCGGAAGAAAAATACTGCGGGGCTCTGTAAGCATCTTGGTTGGGGAAAGCTCTATAAATGGAAAAACAAAAAGTTACACATTAATTGTGTTAATTAGAGGGACGCTCCACCGGCCAAACACACACACAAACACAAAAAGTAAAAACCCACTGTTTAGAAGATATAGCCCCACTGAAAACAAGCATGCGTTTAATTGTGCATTTGTTCATTGTGGGTGACTCTAAAAGCATCTTGCAAAAGCTGCAGTTCTCTTGTCTGCAGCATTTTCAAACCCTAGCCTTATTTCCAGCATAGAATTTCTGTGACTGTCTAATCACAAATTACCTAATGCAGTCCAATGAGAAGTCTTTGCAAGGCAGATGCTCTGGGCAATTGCTGCCTCTTGTGTTTAGCTTCACTGAGCCAATGAAACCAGGAAGTAACAGGACCAGTCATCTGACAGCAAGGGGTAGTCAATTAACAAGGTTATGTGCACATTTCTATTGAAATCTAAACATTTTGTAAAATGAAAAAAAATGATGCATTCTTCGAACATAAAGCATTTCAACAAGCTAAAGTGCTTAAGGGGGTCTATTGTATCCCTTTAAATTATCAGTCCCGGACATGAACATACAATGTCTGCAAATAATGTGAATATCAAACAAATCTGTACATTTACAATATTTCAGAAATTGTATAAATAGCTCTGAAAATGAAATAAATGAAATTGTTTTACTGAGAGAATATTCAGCTGCTGAAGTCTAAATAATTTGATATTATTATTAGCTATCTTATATTATGTTACCAAAAATATTTTGGAAAATACAGGAAACACTACACTATGCTCCTTTAAACTAAGAGAATTAAGATTCTGGTAATAGGTACAGTAATAGAGAATACAAATTCTGGCACACTCCTACACTACCGGAATAAAAGGTCTGGTACTCTCCTTAAGGTTACAGTACTATCCTGTTCTAAGAGCATATAAATTCCGATATTCTCCTATACTATGGGTGAAATATACCAATATATGCCTATATTAGGGGGATAAATGTTCCAATATTCTCCTATATTAAGCAAAATAAAGATTCAGGTATATTTCTATACTAAGTAAATATAGATGCTGGTACTCTCCAAATACTAGGGAAATAAATGTTCCAGAACCCTTCTATACTATGGGAATAAAGGTTTCAGTACTCTCCTACACTACAAGAATAAAAGTCTGGTACTCTCCTATACTACGAGAATAAAAGTCTGGTACTCTCCTATACTACAAGAATAAAACTCTGATACTCTCCTATACTACGAGAATAAATGATTCCGGTACTCTCCAATACTACAAGAATAAATGTATCCGGTACTCTCCTATACTACATGAATAAACATTTCCGGTACTCTCCTATACTACATGAATAAACGTTTCCGGTTCTTTCCTACACTACATGAATAAACGTTTCCGGTACTCTCCTATACTGCATGAATAAACGTTTCCGGTTCTTTCCTATACTACATGAATAAAAGTTTCCGGTACTCTCCTATATTACATGAATAAACGTTTCCGGTACTCTCCTATACTACATGAATAAACGTTTCCGGTACTCTCCTATACTACATGAATAAACGTTTCCGGTACTCTCCTATACTACATGAATAAAAGTTTCCGGTACTCTCCTATACTACATGAACATTTCCGGTACTCTCCTATACTACATGAATAAACGTTTCCGGTACTCTCCTATACTACATGAATAAACGTTTCCGGTACTCTCCTATACTACATGAATAAAAGTTTCCGGTACTTTCCTATACTACATGAATAAACGTTTCCGGTACTCTCCTATACTACATGAATAAAAGTTTCCGGTACTCTCCTATACTACATGAATAAACGTTTCCGGTACTCTCCTATACTACATGAATAAACGCTTCCGTACTCTCCTATACTACATGAAATTTCCGTACTCTCCTATACTACGGTACTCTCCTATACTACATGAATAAACGTGAATTCCGGGTCTCCTATACTACTACATGATATAAACATGAATAAACGTTTCCGGTACTCTCCTATACTACATGAATAAACGTTTCCGGTACTCTCCTATACTACATGAATAAACGTTTCCGGTACTCTCCTATACTACATGAATAAAAGTTTCCGGTACTCTCCTATACTACATGAATAAACATTTCCGGTACTCTCCTATACTACATGAATAAACGTTTCCGGTACTCTCCTATACTACATGAATAAACATTTCCGGTACTCTCCTATACTACATGAATAAACATTTCCGGTACTCTCCTATACTACATGAATAAACGTTTCCGGTACTCTCCTATACTACATGAATAAAAGTTTCCGGTACTCTCCTATACTACATGAATAAACGTTTCCGGTACTCTCCTATACTACATGATTAAACGTTTCCGGTACTCTCCTGTACTACATGAATAAACGTTTCCGGTACTCTCCTATACTACATGATTAAACGTTTCCGGTACTCTCCTATACTACATGATTAAACGTTTCCGGTACTCTCCTATACTACATGATTAAACGTTTCCGGTACTCTCCTATACTACATGATTAAACGTTTCCGGTACTCTCCTGTACTACATGAATAAACGTTTCCGGTACTCTCCTATACTACATGAATAAACATTTCCGGTACTCTCCTTTACTACATGAATAAAAGTTTCCGGTACTCTCCTATACTACATGAATAAACGTTTCCGGTACTCTCCTATACTACAAGAATAAACGTTTCCGGTACTCTCCTGTACTACATGAATAAACATTTCCGGTACTCTCCTATACTACAAGAATAAACATTTCCGGTACTCTCCTATACTACATGAATAAACATTTCCGGTACTCTCCTATACTACATGAATAAAAGTTTCCGGTACTCTCCTATACTACATGATTAAACGTTTCCGGTACTCTCCTATACTACATGAATAAACGTTTCCGGTACTCTCCTATACTACATGAATAAACGTTTCCGGTACTCTCCTATACTACATGATTAAACGTTTCCGGTACTCTCCTGTACTACATGAATAAACGTTTCCGGTACTCTCCTATACTACATGATTAAACGTTTCCGGTACTCTCCTATACTACATGATTAAACGTTTCCGGTACTCTCCTATACTACATGATTAAACGTTTCCGGTACTCTCCTATACTACATGATTAAACGTTTCCGGTACTCTCCTGTACTACATGAATAAAAGTTTCCGGTACTCTCCTATACTACATGAATAAACGTTTCCGGTACTCTCCTATACTACATGATTAAACGTTTCCGGTACTCTCCTGTACTACATGAATAAACATTTCCGGTACTCTCCTAAAAAGTGTCTGCACAGAGTGAGTCTAGAAAAAGTGTAAATAAAGCCTTTTTCCCCCAATTTGTAGAAACCCTTTAGCGCTAAGAATATGTTTGTTTTCAGATCAGATCGGTACCTGTGCATGTGCCAATCCTTCAGGTAAAGACATCCATTGGCAGACAGGTGGTTGTTTTTTATATAATTTCTCCAGTAAGTTATGTATTCCCGAAGTGGGATCTGTTCTTTGGGATTGGAGTTATATTCTTTAACATCACAGTTTGCCACAGGAACGATCGCATCACCTGTCATTCAGAAAAAGAGAAATGTATAAAATAGAACTGCAGAATGTACTTATCAAATACCTCAAAAGATGTTTGTGCTGAAAGAAAATGATTTTCAATCTGATTTCTACGGTGGAGCTTAAACAATCAGTAAACATGTCAGAAACCAGAAAAACGAAACGTATTTAATCACTAATGCAAATATCAAAGCCATAGCACCGGAAGTGCTCTCAAAGGCTTTTTATTAGTAAGCCTCCGCACAACACATACCTTAGTGTCAGTGATACAGGGCATACACTCAGCACTGTACTTTATGGGTAAAGGATATGAAAGAGGAACTGCAGTGATACCATTGTTGAACTATAGGGATGGGGAAAGGAATTATACTGAACATATGTACACCAAAATGTATCCTTCTTAGTAACAAAGATTTCATGTTATTATTATTATTAATGTGTTTGGTATAAAGAATACAGGGGACCAGTATTCTTGATTTTTCTTTCCTTGGTATTATGTACTATACATATACCATTGTGGGTCAGCTACCGGTTCTTACCAAAATTCTGGAGCAGGTGATGCCAATTTGGACTGTTACTATCTGTGACCCAATCCTTCCGACTCCCCCAGTTCTCTGTGAACTTAGCCGAGAAAAGACATGGATTGTTTGTGACCAAATAATTCTGAAAAAAGTTGTTGTAACTAAATGAATCTGGATCTTCAATAAAGTCTATTTTATAAGTGTTTTGGGGGATAATTTTAGTATTTTCATCTAATGTCCCATCCATAGGTTCTTCTGGGTCATTTGAATGTTAATATTTTTGAGGTCCATAAAAACGCTTCTTAATGATTCTTTTTCTTCTTACTTTTTGTAACGTAGCCTGTTTGAATTAGAAAATATGCTCTAGTTACAGTAGAATTGAATATAGTTATATACAAAATCGAAGTTTTTAAAAATAATACATTTTTTAAATACAAAAATTGTTCAGTCCATTAAAGCAAATTAATTCGGCATTCACAATTGTGTTCCCTCTTGCCATCCTACATGTGTATCAGCAAGTTCTGCGGATGGCTTCACGCACATTCCACCTGTGTAAATACCAATCACATTAGCCAATCATTAGAGGAATCACTGAATTAATTACACCCACGGACACACAGTGTCATACATGAAATATGATGACAATAAGGTTTTTCCAATCTGACTGTTCAGTCTAATAATGACTCATACACCTCTCTGAATTCTTATTAATTTTTATTTATTTGAAACATTATTGTAAAACAAAATAAAAATGAACCAAACACGCTACAGTTTTACCAAGCCTGTGTATTCTACGAAAGCTAAATCAGTCCTATGAATCTGCAGTCTAATAAATCACTTTGAAAACACCTGTCTAAAATTACTCTACAGTTTCACAAAGATAAATCTCTCACCTCTACAGCTTCATCAGTCTAAAAATATAACTGTCCCAACTCACAGGTATAATAAACCAAGCTACAGCCATCACTCCAAATCCTTACTTGTCATAAGTAAAAACAAATAAACAAAACCACACTCAGAGTTAACAATCTCATAAATCCCAACATTGCCACACCAGTCTTCTCTACAGCCTCTCCTGTCTAAGAAATAACTGTAAAGCATTACCTATCCAATAAACCACTCAATCAGTCTAATAAATAACTCCACAGATTCACCAGTCCAACAAGCCTTTTTACAGCCTTACAGCAGGTTTTTATAAAACCTAATAACCCACTCTACAAACTTACTATTCCATTAAATCACTCTACAGACCTATCAATCCAATAAATCACTCAATATACTTACCATCAGTACAATAAATCTCTCAAGAACTTCTCCAGCCAAATAAACCTATACACAGTCTCACCTGTGTCATAAATAACTCTACAGCAGGGGTAAGTCACCTTTGACACCCCCGAAGTTGTGGACTATATCTTCCCTGGTGATCTGTCAGCATTCTGGCTGTGAGCATAATGGGAGATTTAATCCACAACATCTGGGGTGCCAATGGCTGCCTTGTCCTGCTCTACATCCTCATCAATAATCAACATTACATGCTCACCAGTACATTAAATCTCTCTTTATCCTCACCATTCCTTAAACCGACTCAATAACCTTACTTATCCAATAAATCACTCTGCAGCCTCACCTGTCTAATAAATCACTCTGCAGCCTCATCTGTCTAATAAATCACTCTGCAGCCTCACCTGGGCATTGGAGAAGACTGATTGCCAGCCTCATGCCATGTGACTATGGCCCCTTGGACGTATTGCCCTTTAAAGACATTATTTGGGCTTACTGGATTTTGAAACACTTTTTCTGCCACTTTGAATACATGAGAAAGGTGTGGCCCTCCCCCGTTTCCTGTCTATTGTTCTCCAGCAGGGCGTTGTCCCAGGGACACTGCCAGACCAGTTGGAACTTGTAGCTATGGTTTAACCCCATGGCGATTTGACTGTGTTTGTGGTATCTGAGCGATGTTCGGATATAGTGAGCGCTCAGATCCAAGCTTCTGGGGATAGGTTGAATGTGGGGGTTCTGTTAAGTATAATAGGAATTGTGTATTTTTATGTGTTTTTACTGTTGTTGTGAATAGAGCCATTTTCTGTATGCTGGAGGTAATTGGCTTACCACACCCAAGCCATGCTTGCAGGCGGTCACAAAGGGATTTCCAACTAATTTTTAACCCACTTAACCAATTTGTATGATTTTGACGTATATTTTTGTATTTGAAAATGTAAGTTTTATGTGAATGTGATGTATACTTTTGGAGTTATGAATATTGTGTAAAAATGTGTATTTTCCTGCCTGTGATAATTACATTAGACCATTGTGTTCAGTAATTATATCACAGGCAGAGGGGAGGATTTTGTGTGGGAGTGTCTGAGTGTATTGTACGTATTGATTGGTTGTTCTGCAAAACCCCGTGGGCAGTACTATTGTAATGGGATTCCAGCATGGTCAAAATTTAGTAGGCTGAAACCTCCACATGGCATATGCTAATTAGTATCTGATTACAAACAGTTGGATGAGTCATCAGTATACTGAGCATGTGTGGAAGTGGGTAATAAATTCCTTTGTCTTTAACAAGCCACGTGGGCTGCCCATATAAGGTGATTCTGAATATCCTGTGTGCTGATTGGGCTGAGGAATATAGGAGGGGTTATACTGTATGGGAGGGGACATGCTGCCAACAAAAGGCCTCTGCACCATGCTTTCTTCTCTCAGATCTTTTTGGAACAGGAGTTCATCTGAGACCCGATCGGTACGTGAATAAAGGCCTCTTACTTCCTGAATACCTGTGTCCATATCTCTATGTGTGGCTTCTGCGGTTTGTTCCTGTTATTCCTCCGGTAACACTATGTATGTAAAATGTGCATAAAAGCAGAGTGTTTGATTAAAAGCTTCGGTTCTACTTCACCCTCAATTTGGAGTGTAGTCTCTTATTGGGAGAATCTGCTACAAGGGATTGCTATGCTCGTCATACTCCCTTGCTATAATCACTAAGCTCTTGTAAGAGCTTGTTCCTGCCTTCCTCTCTGGAGGAGTCTACGGTGGTTATGGTGTCTGCTGCAGTGCTTGGAGTCCTCGGGAAGCGCTAGGAGCATCCATCAATGGGGGTACCCAGTCAGGGTGCCAGGTGATCTGTTACATCTGTCTAATAAATCACTCTGCAGCCTCATCTGTCTAGTAAATCACTCTGCAGCCTCACCTGTCTAATAAATCACTCTATAGCCTCACCAGTGTTATAAATCCATCTACAACCTCTAATAAATCCCTCTATAGCCTCACCAGTGTAATAAATCCCACTATAACCTCACCAGTGTAATAAATCCCTCTATAACCTCACCAGTGTAATAAATCCCTCTATAGTCTCACCAGTGTAATAAATCCCTCTATAGTCTCACCAGTGTAATAAATCCCTCTACAGCCTCATCAGTGTAATAAATCCCTCTACAGCCTCACCAGTGTAATAAATCCCTCTACAACCTCACCAGTGTAATAAATCCCTCTATAGCCTCACCAGTGTTATAAATCCATCTACAACCTCTAATAAATCCCTCTATAGCCTCACCAGTGTAATAAATCCCTCTATAACCTCACCAGTGTAATAAATCCCTCTATAGTCTCACCAGTGTAATAAATCCCTCTATAGTCTCACCAGTGTAATAAATCCCTCTACAGCCTCATCAGTGTAATAAATCCCTCTACAGCCTCACCAGTGTAATAAATCCCTCTACAGCCTCACCAGTGTAATAAATCCCTCTACAGCCTCACCAGTGTAATAAATCCCTCTACAACCTCACCAGTGTAATAAATCCCTCTACAGCCTCACCAGTGTAATAAATCCCTCTACAGCCTCACCAGTGTAATAAATCCCTCTACAGCCTCACCAGTGTAATAAATCCCTCTACAGCCTCACCAGTGTAATAAATCCCTCTACAGCCTCACCAGTGTAATAAATCCCTCTACAGCCTCACCAGTGTAATAAATCCCTCTACAGCCTCACCAGTGTAATAAATCCCTATACAGCCTCACCAGTGTAATAAATCCCTCTACAGCCTCACCAGTGTAATAAATCCCTCTACAGCCTCACCAGTGTAATAAATCCCCTACAGCCTCACCAGTGTAATAAATCCCTCTACAGCCTCACCAGTGTAATAAATCCCTCTACAGCCCCACCAGTGTAATAAATTATTTTGCAGTTCCTAATAAATCCCTTTTCGTTAACACTCTGTACAAACTCCACGTTACCAGCTTTGCGCAGCTCGTGCTTTCGCCCGAGCCGAGATTCCTGGAGCACACTGTACGTCACGTGATCACTGCTGGGCCAATTGAAAGTCACAACTGCTTGTTTCAACACTTCCGGGAATGATACACAATGGAGACATAGTCAGTCACTTGACTTGTCTCCAGCCAGGCGGCCATTTTACTGGAGGTTTTCCCTCAGAGTCCATTTCCGTACAGGCTCCGGAAACATGGCGCCCTTAGCTCACTGCAGGTGCTCTATCGTGTTGGTTCATGTAACATCCAGGGCTGGGAGCTCTAGTGATTAGAACCTCCAGCAGCAGCAAAGCTTATTGTCATCGCCTGGTCCCAACCCGGACAGACCCCAGGAGCCCTCTGCCCTCTCCCCCTGTGCCAGCCGGACCTGCTGTACCCGGTGTGTATTACATGGCGACTGTGGCGACTAACAGCCTGTGTGGGCGACCAGTCATCACAATGGGCGACTAATAACGGGTTAACACTGTAATAATAATATTATACACATTTATTAAATGGGAGCCATGTAATAATAATTATATATACATTTATTAAATGGGAACCATGTAATAATAATAATATATACATTTATTAAATGGGCTCCATATAATAATAATATACACATTTATTAAATGGGAACCATGTAATAATAATATTATACACATTTATTAAATGGGAACCATGTAATAATAATATTATACACATTTATTAAATGGGCTCCATGTAATAATAATATACACATTTATTAAATGTGCTCCAGGTAATAATAATATACACATTTATTAAATGGGAATACTGTAATAATAATATACACATTTATTAAATGGGAACCATGTAATAATAATAATATACACATTTATTAAATGGGAACCATGTAATAATAATAATATACACATTTATTAAATGGGCTTCATGTAATAATAATATACACATTTATTAAATGGCAACCATGTAATAATAATATACACATTTATTAAATGGGAATACTGTAATAATAATATACACATTTATTAAATGGCAACCATGTAATAATAATATTATACACATTTATTAAATGGCAACCATGTAATAATAATATTATACACATTTATTAAATGGGAACCATGTAATAATAATATTATACACATTTATTCAATGGGAACCATGTAATTATAATATTATACACATTTATTAAATGGCAACCATGTAATAATAATCTACACATTTATTAAATGGGAATACTGTAATAATAATATACACATTTATTAAATGGGAACCATGTAATAATAATATTATACACATTTATTAAATTGGCTCCATGTAATAATAATATTATACACATTTATTAAATGGGAACCATGGAATAATAATATATACATTTATTAAATGGCAACCATGTAATAATAATATACACATTTATTAAATGGGAACCATGTAATAATATTATACACATTTATTAAATGGGAACCATGTAATAATAATATTATACACATTTATT